CAATGAGATGTTTCTTGTTGCTTTTAAACCTAATAAACCAATTGAAATAGCAAATAAATTCGCATCAAGGAGAACCACTCTACTAAAATGACCTAGTCTTGAACAAATAAAATTGAAAAGTACCAACATGGTTTAGAAATTGTTCGTGTTACTCCAAAAAGTTTAATACACCCAAAAGAAAGCAAATGCACACGGTAAAAGTTGCCTTTAGTTTGCCAGCTAAAGACCAACCTATTCTTTACTTCAAAATTTAAATTATGTATATTGGGTGAATGCCTGTACAAATGTTGCATTTATTCGCGCAAATGTGTGTCGTCAAATACACAAAACACGAAAACATTAAACAAAAACTGTCCAATTATAATACTGACGGCAGCGTGCGTGGTGTTGCTGGCAAAAGATGAGTAATCAGTAGGCCTATAATAATTGGCCAATTTTTGTTTAATGTTTCCGTGTTTGTGTTTTGTATATTTGACGAATCTTCCCAGTTATGAAGAGGATTTGGAGTATGTTTTAACTGGTGACAGCTTGAAAATGAACCTTTAGGTTCGAAACCTGGGTCGCTGACCAAAATCTGGATCACCGACAGTAGGCTACTTTGTAAAAAACACATAGACAGACATTACTTTGGACTTAAGTTTTAACTTGAACAGTACAGCATTACAAACTGTTTGTCAATTAACTTGAATTTATTTATTACACATATTTGTTACACACTACATATTTTATTGCATCACTGGCTTGGTTATTGTTATCTAAGTGTTGTTATTTATTAATTATCGTTACTCACCGTTGTTATTTATTAATTTTTACTCAGTGTTATTAATTTTTCATTGTTAGTTGTTATTTATTTTGAGAATATTTATTTATTGTTACTCTATTGCACTCAATCTTTGTCAGTTTTATTTATTTAGAGTATTACCTATCATAAATGAACAGCCGTCCATGTATTCACTCTTGATCAGTTTATTTGTTAAGCCCTACTGTTAAGCATGCACAACAATGTATTTAACTGTATTGGTTGTAACCGTTGAATTAATAAATGAAATGAATAAATGAAATGAATAAATGAAATGAAGAATGCAAATCCATAGGCTAGCACAAAATTTATCTCAAACTCATTCCTCATTTCCACCCTCCTTGTCTAACTTACTTAGAAGCTACAGACATCCTAAAGAACTCTTAGGCCCATGGGCCAAGTTGTGTAACTGAATCAGTGTTTCCACACGACCAAAAAAATAATCCCGCTTACTGGGTCGAAAAATCCCGTTTTATCCCGCTTTTAAATTCGTGAAAAATCCCGTTTTATCCCGCATGATTATGTTGGTACAATACCTAGTATTAAACTTTACGTATCATTTTTATAAGTTGTTTAAACATCACTATTATATTTTGCTACAGTATTTAAACAATTTGAGTTAGTTTTTCTCTAAAATTGAGTAGAAAAAAATTAAAATAGTCGTCACAGCCGAAAATCCCGTTTTATCCCGCATCCCGTTTTAATCCCGCTCATGGTCTAAAAATCCCGTTTTCGGGATAATAATCCCGCGAATGGAAACACTGAACTGAATATCTATTGTATACAAGAGGTTAAGTTACCTTGTTTCTGTCCAAGTAATCCATAATTCGTCGTCATTAATGCGACCGGTTTCGATGTCTATGGCATCATTGTCAAGCTGGATGTAAAATCGCTCCTAGGAGGTCGTCATGAGTCTTGAAAAACATGTAACACGTAACACATTTAACACGTACACAAACAAAAAACTATAAAATGCATGGCCACACAACTAACTAACAACACGGCGGCGGGTACAGGGTGTAGGTCTAGACTGACGCCGTGTCTTCCTCTCCCCACCTTCCCCCTCGAGTTATCAATATTTCGTCGATGTTTAAGGCTGTCTCATAAACTATATTGGATTCAAATGAGGATTTATCAATTAGGATGTATTGGGGGTGTTTTTTAAACCATAGTAGGTACATTAAGCAGAGAAATGTCTAAAAACCAAGTTATCGTTTCGAACATTTAAAACTTCGGATAAACTTTCATCAGTATTAAAATATAAGAAAACAAACCGTGCTGATCAAACAGCAAATTCAGGTGTATACAAATTGAATTGTGACAGTTGTCCAAGCTTTTATATAGCCTATTGGTCAGACTTCACGCCCATTTAAAACACGTTTTAAAGAACATCTCCTGAAACCATCTGTTAACCAACATAACTCTGCATTTTCCGGACATTTGATTAGCCTAATAACAACCATGAATACACAGATATCAACACCAATCTAAAAGTTCTACAATCCCATAAAGGAAGAGGAAGCTTATTGGATACTATTGAGGAATATGAAATTTACAAGGCCGGCAAAAAACATCCCCAATACACCCTAAATGATAAATCCTCATTTATTTTGAATCCAATATAATTTATGAGACCCAGCCTTAAACATCGACGAAATATTATCAACAGCTGGTAACAAGAGGGGGAAGGTGGGGAGAGGAAGACACGGCGTCAGTCTAGACCTACACCCTGTACCCGCCGCCGTGTTGTAAATGAGGTGTGTGGCCATGCATTTTATTGTTTTTTGTTTGTGTATGTGTTATGTGTTAGGCCTACCAGTGGCGGTTCTAGGACCATGTCAAGGGGGGGGCTTGGGGGGTGTGGAGCACCCCCCAACAAAGAAGGGGGGTCCAGGGGGTCCTCCCCCGGGAAAATTTCGAATTTTCAAAGCAGTTTAGTGACTTTCTAAGGCCATTTTTAACACCCAAAACCGTGCCCAATTGTCCATAAACTCCCATTTCACCTGTTGTTTGTCATGAGCAAATAGACATTTTAAAAATTAAACTATGACGATTGCTTTCATGAATTTCAAAACACACTGTAGACTACGGCCATATCCTCCTAAAAGCCGTTGGGCGACTTTCTACAGCCAGTTTTAACGTCTAGAACTGTGTACAAAACCTCCCATTTCCCCATTTATTTGTCATGAATAAGTAGACATTTTTAATTAAATCTACAGTAACTATGACGATTGCATTAATTCATAAATCTCAAAACATATTGTAGGCTACGGCCATATCCTCCTAAAAGCTGTTTACTGACTTTCTAAAGCCATTATTAATGTCTATATCTGTGGCCAACTATTCAAAAATTTCTCATTTCACCTGTCATTTGTTTTGTCATGAGCAAGTAGACATTACAATAATCAAGCTATGACGAACTTGCATTCATGAATTCCAAAACATAGGCCTACTGTAGACTACGAAGCCAAATCTCCTAAAAGCCGTTTGGTGACTCAAAACATAACGGCTAGAACTGTGTCTAATTGTCCTATAACCTTCCATTTCTCCTGTTTTATGTCACGCAAGCAAGTAGACACGTTTATTAACCTTACGTTTTTCTCCATTTCATAGATCTGTCACAATATTTATAGTATTGAATTCAGTAATAGCATTGAATATATAAACTTTAACACTTAGTGTTTATATAGTCAATGGTAATAGGCTAGTGGTGCTACCGCTGATTGCTGATTGATGCCTGTGTAAAGTTAGTGGCTAGCAGACCATTTGACAACTAACTCAGGAAATCAGCTGTTTCCCCGTCCTCGCTCGCGCGCTCGGCGCTCGCCTTTGCCCTAGCATGTCAGCTGACTGCTGTAAAAATTGGATGATGCGTACAACTTTCCATAGCGTAATATTGTTTTATTCGTTGTGCTATTATTGTCCACAAAGTTTATCTATGTGAAACTTAATACTACTCCTGCCATCGCTCATTAAGTTTAATAAACCTACGTTGATGTCTGTTTTATGACAGTATTTAAAGGACGAAATGTACGTTAAAATTTATTTTTCCAGGGTCCAAGGGGGGGCTTTAGCCCCTGTAGCCCCCCCCTTGGAACCGCCACTGAGGCCTACGTGTTTTTCAAGACTCATGACGACCTCCTAGGAACAATTTTACGCCCAGCTTGACAATGATGCCATAGACATCGAAACCGGTCGCACTAATGACGACTTAAGGATTACTTGGACAGAATCAAGGTTACTTAACCTCTTGTATACAATTCATGAAGTAATCCGGAAGGCAATACACAATATGAATATCTGTTGTCTGACAATAGGCCTAGGCTATTAATAACCTAGGCCTATTTGATGAACGATGACGTCTATATGTTGATGACAAAGACGAGGGATTTGGGGTGGACTTCCGTATCTGTTGGCATAAACAACAGAATGAAAATAACTTATCGATCGATATATCAAATGAAACAATTGAATAATCGTTATTTTCATTAAGTTGTTTGTGCCAACAGATACGGAAGTCTACCCGGGATTTGTTATCATGTATAGGCCTAGTAGCCTACATTTATTTAAGTTAGGCCTACCTAAGCCCAATTTAACTAGGCTACCATAGGCTAGGTTTTAATAGTTTGCAAAAGATCTGATTGGGTAAGGCCTTTGACTATCACTACAACTTCAGCAAGTTTATCCAATACTTACCCAATGGTAAGGCTTGATTGATAGCCTACAGAAAAAGAAATTGTGGGTGGTGAGCTCATCAATAGAATATGAGGATGGTTGATAGGTTCCCAACTATGTTAGGCATAAATACCTAGTAAATCCAAACTTTATAAGCCTACGTACAAAAACTTAGGCCTAGGGCCTAGGCTAACTTGTTAAAAATTGATTAACTTAGATTAATCCAAACTAGGCTGTCTTAAGTTAGTTATAAAGCCTGGAGTTGTAGATTGTTTCCTTGCTTTACCTGACCTCGACAAGACAAAGTAAATGATTCATGTAAACAACATGATACCTTCAGAAAACCTACAAATTATGACTTCCTGCATTTACTTCTAAGCCTAGAAGCATACGTATTGGCTAAAAACGGTGACGTTGTTATTCTCTTGACCTTCCGATTTAGTGCTTGAAATTGCACAATAGGGTAGTTCTAAAATTAAGGATAACGGATAAGTCAATTACAGTTAGCCTAGGTAGGCCTACTTACTTTCTTCGGCATTTACAAGTGCAGCAACAGCAAATAGGAAGATTAAATTTCTAGCTCTGAAAATCATGTTCTCAGTCACGCCCGTTTATCAAAACTAACAAAATCAAAACACTCGACTAAATATCACGCACAATCACAAACTAAAAAGATAAGCTTAGTACTTTAAATCCACCTAATGCTGGAGTTGAATTATTATTGTCCAATTCACAGTCACCAGGCAGAATGATGTCCTCGTCCTCCCTCTTTCTTTGCACTTCGCCTTCGCCTCTTCGCCAAGCCAAAGCCAATCACAAAGAATCAACAATCAACGAGTCAACGAGTCATCCAATTCAACCAGTCATCTGACCAGTGTTGCCAATCCAAAATGGCCCAATTACCCCCTCCAGAGCAAAGAATTACCCGCTTTTTCTCAAAATTACCCTCAACAAACCAAAAATTCCCTTTTAACACTCTTGCCTGTCTCTAAAAGTAACGAATACAAATCCTGATAAATTAGTTTTGAGTAATCCCACAAATTAAGATGTAAAGAACTAAATATAGGACTTGAGACTTGTAATTAACCTTCATAATGAAATTTTCAATCTTACTGACCTTAAAAAAATAATTACATTAAGTTACTTAGGCCTACAATGATTTGGTTTTTTTTATGATAGCCTATGTGATATAATTATTTAGTAAATGAGAAAGTACTGTTAAAAATTTAATTTTTTATTAGTTTTAGGGAGAAAATATAGTTATTATAACCAATCAATATTATTATCCCCCTGTTTTATGTTTTTCATCCTCTTTAGAAGTAGACTAGAGACTAGACTATATAGTTCGGCCGCTTAGAAAACGACCTGCGCGCTAATGCTAAACCAATGCTGGAGGAGGTCGCTTTCTAAGCGGCCGAACTATAGTACATACGGTATTTTCCTTCCACCATGGTATCAGCCTAAGGGACTTTGTTTTATCTATGGTATCAGACATTAAATTAAGGAAGGCCAGGCAACCAAAAGTTTTTCCACTCCAATCCAAAAGAAAAGACTACAAACAACCGTACTGACTGAAACTGAACCGAACCGACCGACTGAACGCTGTAGCCTACAAGCCTACTAGTGACTGAGTGAGAACTGAACCAAACTGATGAAGGTTAAGAGAAGTAGTGTAAAACAATAAAAAGTCTATGAAATTACTTTAATTTAAAAAAAAACACAGGGAAATATTTTTAGTTTAGTGAAATATAAAAGTAATAATACGAAAAACAAATAATATTTGATCAGTTGTCATTTACCCGCTTTTTACCCGCCTATTTGCCATTACCCGCAGCATTACCACCAGGTAACTAAATTACCCGCTTTTCGGGTAATTACCCGCTTTTTGGCAACACTGCATCTGACTACAGAATACAGAAAACCAGAAAACACACTCGCATCTGATCCTGACTAGTCAGTCAGTAGTAATGGAATTGTTTTGTAATACCTAAGCACTTTAAATACAGACCTAGAGAGCCTAATAAATGCAGCAGTGGATTTTTGATCAATGGTCATTGAGTAACTTGTTCAGAAAAGTTGGAATGATTATTTTATTTAATCAATATGAAAGATGATTAAATTACTGAATACCGTGCGCTAATCATCGTTCTTTTACTATATCGCGTTCCTTCTTTCTTCTCTTTTAGAGCAATAATTATCATCTTTGGCCGACTGTATGTAGGAAATCGTAGACGTATGGTAATGGGCCTGCAATATCTCAAAAGGTGTCCATTGGGAGATGATCAATTATGCTAATCTGAAAATGCCTTAATGCTCTTTCCAGACCTCCTTCAAATCAATTAAGAAGCCACAGAGGGCACTAAATTTTAATACATCGAACTTCAGCGTCTAAAAAGTGGTATACCCCAAGCAATCTGCGCTCACTAATGGTAATAGGACATGACTACTTCCACTTGACCCAATACCCTATCGACAAAACATATAGATTTTAAGCGCAAAATGTTTAGCCCCAGAAGTGATAGAGATCTAACGCTGACCTACGCTGGTGTCAAAAACCAAAACACGGGTCGGAAAGGTAGGACTTGAACATGGATGTAACAGGATGTAAGGAGGAACGAGGAATGTTTGCTCGAGCGCCACAGCATATCATTCTCCTGTCACCTGGTGGATATGAACGCGTTCTTTACGTCAAGATAAATACGTCCCATTGCATGTTTGGCTTGTCCCTTAGATATTAGTAACATTGAATATTTATTGTAAACATAATTGTAAATTGGTTTGTTTGGACCATTGGAAGCAAAATAAAATAAAATAAAAATAAGAGTGACGAGAACCACAGTGCGCTACCAGTGGTTGTAATTCTCCGCACTCCACACTGCCTCAACTACTCATGAATGGCATCTATGGTCGAGTGACCCGGACGAAAACGGTACTGCTGCGGGGACAAATCATCTACAGAGACTATCTCGGTCAGTCTAACACGATGTCAGGAATCAATCATCTTTCCATACTCCAGGGCAACGGAAGGTGGAAACGTCACCCATGTTTAGCAATTGGAGACCTATCCTGGCTATCATCTCTAAAACATACCGTTCCCGCGTGTTTGTTTGAGGTCCCTCCTCTTTATTTATCCCAACGGCTTCGCCGGTTTCTCCATTTAATACAGTTTGGTACTAAATTAACAAGATGACAGAGATTGCAATGATAATAAATACAAGCTAACAATAAAGAACTGGTTTTGACCTAAGAACTATAATAAATATCAACAAATATGCTCTACTTTATAGTTATAATTGTAACAAATGATGGACAATAGCAAGCAACAATAACAACAACACAAAAAAATAGACTATGGCAATGGTATGAATTATAAACTATGCATAAGCTATAACAACAGACTTAAAGCATAGATAAAACATACTCCCTTAGTAGATTTCTCATCCTTATGGAACAGCTGAAGACAATTTTATTGTTAGTTCTGTACGGTTTATGTAGAGGTCGTGTTTTGTTTACAATTTGTTTCCCGTTATTACAGCCATTTAAAACCTCGTTTAACCAAATAATACGATCTAATCATAAAAAATAACCTGTCCCCTAGTTATATAACCAAACAGTAAAGCACAAATCAAGAAATTAACCCTAAAATAATAGAAACAAAATTTCGTCGACACTAGCGCCCATGTGTCACGTACATGAACTAGACACGAAAAACGTGCTTCAAAATTTACAATGGGATGAGAAGTCTACTTGTGTTGGTTAGTCTATGCTTAAAGTTAGCGATAACAATGCGAAGGATGACTAGCATGACATTTTGTGTGTGGGTACATGCATATAATATGACATGGGCAAGACGCTGCATGAACCCCCCCCAGTCACTGTGTTTATTCTACCCTAGCATTTGAAATCTCCGCAATCAATCACCCCACTATCGGTATTGAGGATCTAGTTCTCTAGCGAGTTGACTATCTGGTGGTACTCTGCAATGGGCTGGTCAGCTGAGAGCTCTGAGGTAGGTCTAACAGGAGAAAAAAGTTATACCTCTGCTCCACACCCATCACCCATACGAAACCGTGGAAAAAATTGTCTGTATTCCTTTCGTTTCCGTGTCCGGAAATCAGACTTCGCTTTTCCAAAAATTAGCTACCGATATGGCTTTGTCATTCGCATGTAAAAAATCATCTAATGTGCAAGACTGGTCTAGGCGTGGGCAGATCAGCAGATGGCCAGGATCCTGAACAGCACCACACGTGCACAAGATGTTTTCTTCGTCTGGTAAGAGACCCCATTTCTGCATGTTTGTCTTGCATTTTGGTACCTCGACCCTAATTCGATTTAGGGTCTTCCACACCGTGTATTGAAGGCCTCCAACAGGAGCCTGAAGAGGACCTGATCCTATCACAGCCCTGTCAAGACCACCTTTAGCTCCAGGCCACGGCCTTCGAAGTGATAACGTCACAAGTAGGGTTTTAACAGCTGTTTTGTTTGGAAGCAGCTACTGGTAATTATGTATTTACGAAATCTTGGTTACTGGAATATGAAAATATTGACAGCGCTTTAAATGTACAGATATAGATTTTCAATTCATATTGTTTTGGTTTTCAATTCTGTATGATTTATTTTCAATATTTTAGTGAATTTATGTTCATAAATTTAAATCAATAAAGTGCGAATTAATGAGCTGATGTTAATTGTCTTACATGTTATCTTACGGGACGTCTGACACTATAAACAACCATACTTACGCGTTGCCAATTCTACCAGGCCGCGGCCTGAAGTTAAAGGCGGCCGTAGCCCTGTCCTGAATGTTTCGGCTTCTAGTCGTAATATCACGATATTTGTTCTGCTCCTTTAGTATTATTGTATGTTGATATCAAAAGTCCTTGGAACAAATATTATATAATTTGGAAATATGAGACATTTCCATTAACACCTAATTCACTAATTCCCATTAATCCCATATAACATTTAAATAAAAGGTTAAAATACCTGCTTGTCGCCTTGTGGTCCAAGTATTGTCCTAGTGGATTATGTACATTTCGGCGCGAGCGCCATCGTCGGATCCATATAAGAACTGTTTACACTAAACTTCCCTGAACATCTTACGCACCTCTTCAGGGAAGTTTAGTGTAAACAGTTCTTATATGGATCCGACGATGGCGCTCGCGCCGAAATGTACATAATCCACTAGGACAATACTTGGACCACAAGGCGACAAGCAGGTATTTTAACCTTTTATTTATTTGTCAATCAATTGGTCCGGAAACACCACAACAAAATATGAAGCATATAACATTGTTGAATTCGACGATCCAGTCAACTAGAAATAAAATGACAAATTTGTAAGAACTTCGAGTCTTCATGGTCAAATCCATACCATCGTTCTGTGCCATATAAAGTCGTCGGATAACAACAAAAACAAACGTCAATTCGCCCAATGTCAACGTCTAGTCTAGTCTAGTAGTCTAACGTCAATCTCAATCGGTCAATCCCCAATCCTAATATTATTGTGAAGTTAAATAGGCTTTACCTTTTATATTTACTAAATTAATACTTATTTTAATACTCTTGCTTGCACTCGTATTTACTTTATGTAATTTGTTCGTACTTGTCCTACTGTGTACCAGCATTTAGTTAGTTTCCCAACTGACGAATTTGTTTCAATATTGAATAATTAATTTCTTCGTTTACTGCTATTGTTGAGAAGTGAACATTCATTGAACATTGAATCGAATTTTATAGATCTTATTTGCACGTCATGCAATTTGATCAGATTTAACTTAAATTTCTTCTATTTACGTACCTAACCTATTTAAGGAATATTGACTAACCTAAGCCTACAATGGAAAATCACGTCGTTGACATCGATTGGCGATTTGGAGGTTTGTTGTTCTTACTATCCTGCAGCTAATTGGTTTGTTGATGTTCTCTCTTATTTTGTAGAATTGCCATTGAATTGTTACAAGTATAATAAAAAAAATAGCTCAGGCTTTACTGAATCTCTAAAGCCTTACTCTCAAAGTATTGTAGCCTAACTTATTTGGTTTGGCTATAGGCTATCTTATTTACTGATAATTATAACAAGATGGAGTTAGAAAAGTTAGAAAATGAAGCCAAAGCTACAGCTGCTAAACATGTTATCAATATGCTTCAGCGTACTGGACAGCTGGAAAAGGTTGATCAGTTTAAGAGACGAGTCAGTAGGAAGAAAATATCTGTTGAAGCCATGTTAAAAACAGCGATGCAAAGTCAGCTTGATGGGGTTTGTGTTGGTCTAAATCAACTATCAACTGCCCTCCAAGATATACAAGAGATTCGACAAAATTTGAAAGAAATTAATGAATCATTTGCTAACATACCAGAGTTGGGTATCAAACTTAATGAAGTGAAAAATAAGAATATTCAGCACTCACAGTTTGTAACTGCAATGGAAAACTTGAAACATTTATTTACTGTTCCAGAAAGTGTAGAAAAAACAAAACAGTGGATTAATGAAGGGAAGCTTTTACATGCCCATCAAAGTTTAATGGATTTAGAAAACTCCCGTGATGATTTGTTGTTTGAGCTACACAAAATATCCAATCAAAAACAAGCTGATAAAATATTACTGAAAGCATATTTTGAAGAAGTGGAAGGAGTATCTTTGGAGCTTGAGAAGCAGCTGAGGTTGGTTCTTAGCCGAACATTGAACACAGTAAGAAAAGAACCAACTGTTATTGTCACTGCTTTAAGGATTATAGAACGAGAAGAAAAAGCAGACGAATTTGCCCTACAAAGATTCAGTAGGAGTAATTTCATGCCTCCAGGCAGACCGAAGAAGTGGAGGTCAATGGCAATGGAAGTACTCAAGAAGTCAGTTTCACAAAGAATTGAAGGTACCCAGGTGGATGAACGTGAAAACAATAAGATGTGGCTGGTTATGTATTTGGAGCTAACTAGACAGTTGATATTAGAAGACTTGCGTGTTGTTAAGACACTTTGTGGTCCTTGTTTTCCTCCGCATTATGATATTGTCAATGAATTTGTTAATATGTATCATACTTCACTCTCTAGACACTTGGAAGAAATCATCCAAAGTGGTCTTCAAGGCAATGAATATGTGTCAGTGTTAGCCTGGGTTGTAAATACCTACCCAGGACCGGAACTGATGCAACATGAGGAGCTAAATATTGGTATTTCGACAGTAGGGCCTCTCTTGAGAACGAATGTCATTAATGATTTGCAGCACCAATACCTTTCAAACATGGAAACAAACTACGAAGATTGGATGCAAAAAACACTTGAAACTGAGAAACAAGACTGGATCAATGGTGTAGCCCCTGAAGGAGATCAAGATGGCTATTTCCACACTGCTGCCCCTGTTATTATATTTCAAATGATTGATCAAAATTTACAAGTCACGAAGACAATAAGCCAAGCTTTGACTCACAAGGCTATGGTTTTAAGTATTGACCAGGTTGCCAAGTATGGAATCATGTATAGAGAAGCAATAAGAGAGTTCAAATTGAGACATTTTGAAGATCGTAGCAAAGTTCCTTTCTTCACGCATTACATGATAACAATAGTGAATAACTGCGTACTCTTCATAGAGTTAGCTCAGCAAATGAAACAGCACTACTGGAAAACTGATTTCAGCAGTGAAGAATCTTCAGGTCAATTCAATCTCCTTTTAAAAATCTACCAAGATCTTCGTAATGAAGCAGCAAAGTTCCTTCTTGAAGAAGCTTTTCTTGATTTGGAATCTCACTTCCAGGATCTTATAACTATGAATTGGGTTTCCAGCTCGATTCCAGTTGATACTATTTGTGTTACGCTGGACGACTACTTCCAAGACTATGTACACCTACGAGTGAAAAATTTTGAATATGTCATAACTGAGGCAGAGAATTTAGTTGCAAGGAGATATATATCAGCAATGCTTCAGAAAAAAGTTACGTTTAGATCGTATGAAGAAAGAAGATCGGCAGGTAACAAAATTCTGAAGGAAGTAAATCAGATCAAAACTCTGTTTTGTAAAATAGCTCCAAAACTAGGGAATCGAGTTGACTCCCCTTTGGAGACTATCAAGAGCTTAGCGGAGGTGCTCAAAAGTGAAGATCTAGAGATTTTATCTTTGGATATTCATAGTCTGGTTGACAAATATCCAGACATAACAGAAGATCAACTCAGTCGTCTTTTGAGCCTGAGAGGGGATCTATCAAGAGCTGAAATACGTGAAAAATTGTCATACATATTCCAAGATTCGTCTGGACAGAAGAGTACCTCGTTTGTTAGGAGTATATTTGATCAGATCTTATGAGACACACAATCATTTACATCTACATTCCCAAGCTAAGGTAGGACTACAATATAAGTTACCTCAACATTATGTTAAGTTGACACCATTGCATTGACAAGAAGTAAAGAAAAAAGTGTAAATATATCATTCAATATTATGAAATAGTGTTGAAAGTAAACCAAAACCTTATTTATGTTCAAACAAGTTAAAAATGTGTTCTCATAAAGATTCGGAAGTAGGTCATTTCTTAAGGGATCTTTTACCATAAAATATATTCTCTTGAAACCAATTAAAATGTATTTTTTATTTAATGGATTCACATCACTCACATCATTCACATAATGGATTTTTACAGGAAAATACAATACTTCTATGGAAAGTAAATGAAAGAAACGTCTTATAACACTTAAAAGATATATTTACGCTTATACTGTTACTCACAAGACGGTAAATATACATAAAAGTAAAAAGTGGATATAAAAGATAAAGATGTAAGTGGTGATCGATTTTGATTGGACACTCCAATCATCATCAGACCCAATAGGCGATTCTTGTGAAAGAAACATAACATAGGCGTCTTGTGAGTAACAGTATAAGCATAAGATATGTTTTAAGTGTTATAAGACGTTTCTTTTATTTACTTTCCATAAATTTAATAACACTATGTGACAACTAACTAGGCCTACAGTTGTTGAGTGCATTAGTGTCAACAATCATTTACAATGTTAAGGCCACGTATGCTGAGATGACACAACGCAAGCAAGCCAAGTTTCATGGCGCAAGCCATGCAGCACAAGTAAATGACACTCGGTCACCAAGATCAACTCCTATACGGAAATTGAATTTTTTCGCTACAAATAGTAGGCTATTACGTTTTAGGTATTAGTTTGTTTAATATGTTATTAGCTTATTGTAAAACAATTAAACTCGTTAAGTTTAATCAAAATATATCCGTAAACAACTCAACTTGGCATTACAGTCCGTAAAAAAGATAAGAGAGGGTTTTACATGTTTAACTTATGTTGTTTTTGATGTTATTCAAATGTAATCCATATTTATTAAGGTTAGGCCTACTGTAAAGCTTCGGTAAACTTAATTGTTTGGTAAACTAATTTCAAGTACTGAAAATTATTTTTCAAAACATCTTAGCCTATCACAAAATAAAAATAGCCTATGGGAATAATAAAATTGCTAATTATTAAGCTCCATTCCAATATTTTGATCATGCCATTAAGCACACTCTTGGTTAATATCATCATAGACAAAATAATGAAACATCCCTATGAAAAATTAAATTAGAATTAAATCCAAATGCTTGTCTATGATATCATACAACACGAGTTGCGTTACTTGTGTCTGTGCTACAAACTGTGACATGCTGACCTACATGTGTGCCATACACATAGACATACACATGTGCATCTCAGCCTCGTGTGTCTCAGCATATGCCTGGCCTAAAACTTTAGGTATAAATAGGGCCGCCGCGTAGTTTATTGGCACCCGGGGCGGGATGTTGTCAGGAACCCCACCCTCCCCCCAAATACACAATGAGTGATGCTTGTTATACGTATAAAGTTGCGTGGCGAGTTGCATCGCTATCTGCGTTTTAATGCCCAACAACTATCACCTTAACGGATTGAATTACGTTGAAACGTTGCAAATATAATATAAAGTGATTGGTGTCAAACAATATGTATTTGTTCACCCCCCTGACCGCGGCGGTCACCCCACCCATGCGACGGCTCTGGATATAAAATTATGCCTTCCTGATCTACTGTATTTTATAGTTAAACATAACACATACTTTACTTTACATAACTTTGTAAATTCTGACTTTCTACTCAACGTCAATGGGAGCAATTACAATAGCAAACTGTGGAATAAAATAACTGATGATTGAGTAGTTAGTGTTAAATGATATCTTAATCCTTACCTTTGTAGCAAGGGCCTAGTTAAATAATGATACGTTAATTTTTATTTTATTCCAGTGACAGCTAAGAGCAGTGAGAAAAGTCAAGAAGGGAAAACATTTTTGCAGCTGAGAATCACTTACAAGACTGGCGACGAATTGAAGAACTTCCATGTAGAAATGGGTCTTGACCAGTTTTATACCTTTCTTCATGAGCTAGAGAAAGCAAGAAGTGTGCTTGAATATGGCAGCTAAACATTCAACTTCATCAAATTGGGTCGTGTATGATGATGTGCGAGCCCATACATAAGAAGCGTTAAATATTTTAATACAAGCTGTCATTTTGTTAGGCTACTCTTACATGTGTTTAGTAATTATTTGCTTTCATAAGCCATGGTTTAGGATCCTGACTATAACCATAGACAAAAATAATTAAATATAGACCGTCAGCTGTGCTGCGGTTACCATAGGTTCTGGCACACACCGCTGAGAGCGCTATGTAGTTATGGCCCGGTACGTAACTACTTGGCGCTCCCAGCGGTGTGCGCCAGAACCTATGGTAACCACAGTACGACTGACAGTCTATTTTTAATTCTTTTTGTCTATGCTATAACTGAGAAATGTATTATTGTGCTGTATATTCAAGTAAAGAGAGCAGTCATTGATTTAAGTTTATTTTTTATTTAATTACTTTTTATCTACAAAATAGTAGCTTAGTGTAACCAGATTGTATAGACTTTGTTAAAATATAAAACTTCGATAGTGAAGGGTGTTTTTTTAGACGTGTACAGCTTAGAAATCACATAAACACATAAAAATTATGTTAATTACCATGGGAATGAATTTATTGGTACCTTTGTGCCATTTAAAAAATAGTTTTGGGAATGTGGGTGCCGCGGCTGGCTCAAATGAAGCTTAATCTCTTAGTCAAGTTTTTGATCCCTAGATCCAGTATCTGGGGCCTTCTATAATTTTGAGAATATGGGTGCCATCAAATCCAGCAGTTTTGTGGGGATCTGTAAACCAACTACTGTAGTACCTAAAGATAAACCACAACAGTTGGCCGATTAGTAAGCTAACATCTGTTGTGTATTGCCGCTATATAGCCTCAGCTGCTGGATAACATGATTGAAAACTTGACTTCCAGATTGTGCTTATGTTTAGCCAGTCGCAGTGTCAGGTTAATTAACATAGCCTAATTGTAATAATAAGTGTTAGGGCCTACGTGACATTTCAAAGTGTTATAAAGCAGCTTTTAAAACAAAGACTCTTTATACTACCGCTTCAACATGTTATTTACCATAAATAACGACCTAAAATTTCCTTTAGAAAAGAAGTTAAGTTCTTGAAAAAATTTGTTTTATTATGATTATGTGCTTAACAACATAGTTATTAGTCTTTCAAACACAAAACAAACATTTTAGGCTCGGTTAAATCTAAGCGTTGAACGAAAATAGAATGTTAAACACGGATTAACTGGTCAAGTCGTAGTATAAATACTCAAAGGCTGTGAAAAGCTGCACCAGCTGATCGTAGTCGTATTACGTGCCTTGTAAAGCACACGTTTTGTGTTGTTTGGTTGGAATACTGGAGTAAGTAAGTAAATGCAGCAATTAGCTACATTGCGTGCTATAATCTGTGCAAGGAACCACTTTGTTAGGTAACTGTAAGAAAAATATATTTGTTTGAAATGCAGATAACACTATAACTAAATGCAGTCGAAGTTTACTATTTACCTAGCAAAGAAATACATTTTGTTACTAAGCCTTTGTTGTAAATATTCTTAATCAACTGTATTGCTTTTGCACTCCAATACACCTTATATTTACTCATAAGTTTAGTTTTATTTCTCTACCCAAGATGGCAGTTTTTTTAAAGTGTAGCCATTTTAATTCAGTTAGATTGAAAAGTTTCACATAACAGTATTGTTTACTTTCATAACATCGTTTTACTCATACCAACATGGGTAACGGACCAATGAGGTTCAAGGATTCAGAAAGAAGAATTAAAACTGTAATGATTCGAACTTCAACTAATCAGCTGTTCAGGCCAATATAATTGTTTAGTGGTGCAATGCGATTAGTGTTTGTTTGGTACAATTTTTGTTGCATCACTGTCAGTGGCAATGAGAGGTTATTAACGAAAACATAACCTCTCTTAGAAGTTATGAGTAGTAAGTAATATTTAGTACCGGTAATTAACCCTCTATCTGGCGCTGGTCGATTTTCGACCACTAAAACGTGAGTTCTCAGTGGCGCTGGTCGATTATCGACCAAGACGACATGGGTCGGGTTTTTCTATTATTAAAATATAAAAACCCAATAAATCTTATACCATTAGAAAGATGAGATTCTGAGGATTCATTTTCATGAATAAAACATTATTGAGTGAGTATTATTTAACAAGAAACACAGTTTGAGAGTTCAAAATAGATTTTGGCGGTGGAAAATTTCACCTAACTACAAAAACAGCAGTCAATTAAATGTTATACAATATTATTTCATATTCTGAAACTACAATAAATTCCTTATAGTGTAGTCATTTTAAATCAAAATTTCTCCATTACCTAAAAAAACTCTTATAAGTGTAAAACTTGGTACGTATATTGAACTTTACTTCCGGAATAACATACTAAAAGTCCTCGGAAAATAAACTTGTGCTACGGCCGCCATCTTGGAAAATGGTGTTCAAAAACCAGTTTTTCCCCATCACTCAAAAACTATTCATCCTATAAAAGAACATTAAATAGGAAGAATGTTCGCCAAAGAAAGAGCTGAGTGAAAATTTAAAAACGTACGTTTTCAGGAAACACACTTTGCAAATTTTTTTCCCCTTTTTTCAAAACTTTTATTATTTTTTTGATTTCATTAACATTTGAAGTTTCATAAAATGTCCATGGTAACGCAATATCTTTGGTAGTTTTTTTTTTAAAGAGCATCTTTAGTGGAAAAACACAAAATCCTGTCACGACCATAACAGACGTTTAAATGAATATTAAAAATACTTAATATTTATTTTTATAACTATGTTTTGCTATAAACTAATTTACTTTTATGACCATTATACATTAAAAAGGTCACTGAGCTTTTAGTATATTTGGTCTTTCTAGAAAAAAATAAAAAACTCAAAAAAATTGAAAAAAAGCCAATAATATCTTTTTAAGTTTGTATAACTCCGAAAAAACTTACCTGAGACCCGAAAAATCGTTATGTTTGCATAGAGGCGTGCTTCTTTTGTGTATAAAACATTGAAATATGACAATATTTTAATTTTTGAAATTTTTATGACAGAAATCATAAACGTGATGGTCAGGGACAAGCGGTACGGTCGTGAATTTTATAAAAAATCTAAATCTTTCTAAACAATCCTTTAATTATACTATTAGTTATAATAAAAATATGTGTTTCAATTGAACTAAACTGTTTAAATTACAATTATATTAAAGTTATTGTCACGACCAAACACACTATAATCCATAAGGCTGGATAGGTCGTGAAAAAACCCGCGATGGTCGTGAAACTTTGGTCGTGAAATTACGTGTTATTTGGCTCTGTTCTGGCGGTAGCTCTGCACCTCATGTTCGAGGATACAAAGTGGACTTCTAGGTTAATCTAGCAATTGAAATATCTTATAAACAAAAATTAACACCATGTCTACTTCATCGAATGACTATGTACGGTCATGGACAAACCAAAATTACAAAAAACACAACCTTTCCTGTATTAATCTTGTAATTCCTCCTTTCAACTCGAAACGACCGGCACTACAATCCTGACGTACACCCCGAACTAGTCTCTAAAACCAACTGACTCCATCAACGCCAGGCTTGCCACTGTCGTGCTCCAAAGTTGAAAATTTTTCCCAAATGGTCGTGACGCCAAATCGAGGGACAGACTTATTATGTCATGGTAGTCAGTTTGCAATGACAATAAAATTATAATATGCTCCTTTTTTGTAAGTTTAATAACCATTGATGACATAAAAATATGGCTTTATATATTGCTGCATGAATAATTAGTCTAAAAACAGCGTGAAAGTTGGAAAATGTACCCTAGGGACACGTCATGGTCGTGAATTTCGAGACTTTAAAAATACGAAAAAAATACCTAGAACCTATTTAAAACCAAATAAATGTGTGTAACATGTTGCCCCCATCCCAAAAAATATTAAAACACATAATAATAAACTACAAATCCAGTAGCTACGAAGTAAAAGGCCAGGGACATGAAAACGTACGTTTTTAAATTTTCACTCAGCTACAACTTTTGTATTAAGAATATTTCGATATAATTAACCGTTTAGCCATAAAATGCAATAATTATAAAATTAAATTTGAAAATTCGTAAAAAAACATTAATTGCGATTAAAAAAGTTTTAAATAAACTATTAAAAAATGTATTTTATTATTTGTATTTAAAAATTTGAATTTTCGGAACATTTTCATACTATTAACATAACTTTTCCTTTCCATTTATATTTGCTGTGACATTTTAAATGATTTCCATCAATCTTATATGAGCGTAAAACTGGATCGGAGGGTTTTTCCTGATGTCTTAATTCAATCTTTTTCGGCACAACGACTCTATCTTTTATAGATAACATCATCAAGTGACCAATTTAGGTTTGTTCAACTGAAGACTTTGTCGGGCAATCGATTTTTTCAGGTTTCTGATGCAGAATTGTTGGATTTCTTCGACTATGTCATCGCTTGTTTTTAGCCAGCCAGGTGAATGTCTTTGCAAAACACTTTGGTGCCATTAAACCAGCTTCAAGTTTCTTTATCATCAAGTAGATTTCAATTCAGTTTAATTTAGCAATAGATATAAACTATGCGAACCACTTGTGCCATAAACCGTCGTACTGGCGTCAAGCGTATGAGTCGCAATAGCGGTCCACCACCGCGCAACTGTTTTGCGCATGCCAAGGCCAAAGTTTCCTTCCTTGCTACAAGGGAAATAAAACTTAGTTATTTTAGCTTCAATTTGATGTATAAAACGTTTAGTTACCTTGAATAGTACCCAAACAATTATGATTTTAAATCCCGGCATTCTTTTAAAAACACCCTTTGAATCAGTGGAAATAGGTTAAAATTGTATGTTGTAAAAATCTTTAATACAACTAATTATTTTTTAATTCAAACAATTATCATTGTACTATATCCTGTTACATAATTGCCCCAACCTTATTCATCATTAGACTGAAGTTCTACTGCTTACCAAGAGTTTCCGCGTTATTATTATTATGCTAGTTTATTATGGTATTCTAGCAACGACATTTAAAATTTCACAGAAAATATAAATTGAAAGGAGAACTTATGTTACTGTTATGAAAATGTTCAGATCATTCCAATTTTTTAATTAAAATAATAAAATAAATTTTTAAATAATTTATTTCAAACTTTTTTAATGGCAATTAATGTTTTTTTTACGAATTTTCAAATTTATTTTATAAATATTGCATTTTATGGCTAAACGGTTAATTATATCGAAATATTCTTGATACAAAAGTTGTAGCTCTTTCTTTGGCAAACATTCTTCACATTTAATGTTCTTTTATAGGATGAATGAATAGTTTTTGAGTAATCGGGGAAAAACTGGTTTTTGGACGCCATTTTCCAAGATTGCAGAATCATGTTTATTTTCTGTTGATGCATTCTATTATTTCCTAAGTGACAAAACAAATTTGGTACTTTTTCAAAAAAGAAAATATGTATGTCGAATTTTTTAAAATAATTTTATTTTATGAGTATTTAAAAAAAAAATTGATATTTCTGCATGGGGAATCATATTTTACACAAAGATCAAATGTGTAAAAAAATTATTTTGTGGTTTTCTTGTGGGTTGCTTTTGAAATTTCTAACTTGCATGATCCAAAAATTTGCAAACCTTTTGCTACTACGCCTGAACGCATTGCTAAGAAAAAATTTAAAAATTATTTTTATATTATTATATTCTACATTTATCACTGAAACAGAATATATATATATATATGTGTGTACGTATATTCACAAATAAATGTTTTGAGGCTAAATACATGGTACCACTACAAAAGGTTAAAGTAGTGTACGCAGCTCACGTAAATAGTGTTAACGGCCCTCATAGTTTTTGAGGCACTCACCTTACTGTTACCTACAACCGTTTTTTAAAGTAGCCGTTTCAGTTCAGTTCTTAAAACTGAAAAGTTTCACATAACAGCATAGTTTACTTATATAACAGCATGGTTTTACCTAACAACACGGGTAGGATACCAATGAGGTTCAAGGAAAGAGAGAGAAGTATAATTGTAATGCTTCGAACTTTAATTAATCTGCTATTCACCAATTTAATTGTTAAGGATTAGTGCAATTGGTGATTGATACAATGAGTCGGTGCATCAATGTCAGTGGCAATGAGAGGTTATGAACGACAACATTACCTATCTTAGAATCTTTGAGTAGTGATTATTAAAAACCGGTCGTAGGTAAAGTAGTGAATGCAACTTGCGTAAATAGAGTAACGACACTTAGAAGTTTTTAAGGCATTGCCAAGGCTCGTACCTTAGTTAATACTATCTTTATGTGATCGTTGCGAAAACTGCTATTGTGTTTGGTGATACAAGCAAAAAGCAATTGACAACTCAAAACAGAGTTTAAAGAGTTACTTGACTCGAGACACAATATGAAGACCTGTATAACAAAATATTTAGTCAAAGTTGTTAGGGGTTAATCATTGGTTACGCAACTTAGCTTATCAATCAAGTACTTCATCCTAATGATTCAAGGAAATATTGAAAGTTCACATGTTCCTCGATAAATTTATATTTACACATTAACATTTAAAAGTTTACATATTTGAAATTTGTTTTTCAATTATAAACCAATACAAAATATACATTTTCAGTCGCATATTTCACTCCTAGAACGTTTTAAAAACCTACTATTCACACACTTCAGGAATTACAAGTACAGTATAAAATAACAGATTGGGGAAAAAGTAATACTAATTCTCTCTTTGTGCAACTGGAAATAAACAAGAAATAATGATAACAATGTTATACTGGTGTGATTCAATTATGTTCCGTCTTAGATGCTTGAATAACTAGTTGCTAAAGAAAAAACTAAACAATCGCCTCAACAATTAAGACAAGGTGATAATTAATTATTACTACTGTACTAGCTGTTTTAATTTTCATCCAACAATCAAGTCGGCAAGATGCTTCACAGAGGAACTACAAAGGGTAAGTGGTACAACTAACTAAAACCCCTCTCCCCCCAACCATGAGAGAGCTTAATCATCCAACGATACACAAACAAATTTAGTTTCTTTATAATTACATTTATTTATATACATAATTATATATATATATATATATCTATATATAAATATAAATGAAGGATTCAGTAATGACCAGTAATAAGTTATGTTCCCTAAATTTTACACGCTCTTTTAGTAAACTAATTGAACTTTAAAAATACTCCAAATACGACCATTTTAACAAAACATGATTTTACAATAAAAATACTCTCTAAAAATTCAAGTGTTTAAAGCATGGAGTTTCATTAGTACCAAAACTTTCAAAAGTAAGTCTAGCACTAGGAGATAAATTAGTAATGGAATAGCGAAACATAAATTAATATCAAGTGTTGTGGTATCGATCATAAACTAAACTTAAACTAATAGGCTATTCTTTGTATGCAATACAAAACAACATGAACATATCTACATAATTTGTTAAAATGCACTATTTAAAACCAATGCTTAGCAATTGTGTAACAGTCAAAATATATCTAATCTACTAAAAACCTACTAACTACTGTTGGAATAGCATGTACTTAGTTGTCCACTAAAATCATACTCGAATTACTAAAGAAACACAGTAAAAAAAGTTTACAAGTAACTAAATCAATCTGCCTAACTCATAAATGTACGTTCAATTATAAAAGCTACAATCCAGTAGTAAAATGAATACAGTCAGCGATTATACGAGTTGAATTATTGGTCAGGAGATTGGAGAATGTTGATCCAATGAGCTTGGGCTTCTCCTTCTGTTGGGATGCGTATCTGTACCAGCTGAACAGTCCCCCCTTCTGTGGACAAGCATTTACAGTGAGTTTTAGGGGAGAGTCACATAAGGGCCAAATCATGTGAGGGTTATTGCCGCACCAATAGTTGATGCCTCACCAACCTGGCAATGGGCTGCGCTAGTGTCGCCAGGACCCTGTCATACGGAGTGCTAGCATCAGAGGGGCGGATTTGCTGCGCGACTACTGGCAGAAAAACTGGAAGATCTTTTTGGAGTGATCATGTTTGACACAGACAAATTTATTCAATCAACCAACATTCGATAGTAGGGAAGGCATATTGAGGCGTACTTAGGACCTCATCATGGTCCTTTCTTACAGTTAACGTCTGTTTAGGAATATCTGTGGGGACATGTGAAAAAACTTACATATGGAAACACACTATGTTGGCTGATTTAGAAGTTAACGCTTGATTGTCATTTCACGGCTGTGAGCATAAAGATAAATAATCTTTATAAAGATAAATAAATAATTATAAAGATAAATAATCTAATATAAATAAATAATCTAATATTGTGCAACAATTGAACCTGCCTCCGCACTCATAAGTCCAAAAGTACTTATGGAATAAAATTGCCATTTCAACAAGGCTAATACTATAAAAACAATGTTACACGTTTCATTTAGTTTTTTTTATTAGGCCTATTTTTTTAGCACATTATTGAGGAATGGTTGTAGTAGCTTGTTTACCTGTTTGTACAGTGGCAGTTTGCTCAGTGTAGCCGTGTCTAGAGGATGGAACCACCAGGTGTCTCGTACCGTCCTCTAGAGTTGTTATTTCAGTCACATCAGCAATCTCCGTAGCTTCACCATCTAGAGTCTCAATGCCTCCAGGATTGGCAAAATGAACCTGCACAGAATAGCTTTTGTTTGATTTAATATTTTGATATACATATTTGGTTAGAAGTTTCATATTAAACCAGAATTAATTTTGAACATAACTTATTGTTAAAATGGTCAAAAACTATCCGTTGTAGTATAATTAACCACAGCATGACATAGGCCTAGCTGTAGTTAATTATATTACAACAGATTGGTTTGATGGACAACAGTTAGGCCTAACTCAAGTCATTCTACTAAACCTTTATTAGTTTTATCTTATCTTTTACAGAAAGTGTTTACATTTGTCATAGAAGACATTGACAATTTTTCCAGGACCGCAGGAGATAGGGTACGAAGGTGCATAAACCAAATGCAGTATAACAATTAATATTTTTTTAAAGCAGTACTTTCCAAAGCAACCAGATTTTTGCCGAAGACCCAAAGGTCAACATTTTTTCCGAACCCAAGTAAAAACGCCTAGCCCACAAACTCATACTTGTAAACGTACCTGGCCATCAATGATGAGGTGCTGCACAGTCTCATCGTACTCTGTAGCCTCTACGATCTCATCAGTCTCCACCATTCCACCATCATCTCTCTCCTTCAGGATCACATGCTCCTTCAGTTCAGTTATGTACATCTTGGTATCCTGATTGTTGTGGTCCATCTCCTGAAACCTCTCCTGTATAAGAAAATAAACCATAATTGACAACATATTTTTAATCAACTATATTGAGTTTACTATCTGTTTGATAACCATATTCATGTATTATCACAGAATTTACCTGTAAACTACGTCTCTGAACTGAACTAAATCCAGTGGCTTCTGTAATTTCCATCCACCGTTCAAAATGAGGACCTAACTAGGCATATCTACTAGATGGTATGTACTGAGCTATCACTTCAGATTATGGTCTTGTCGGGATGGACAAGGGTCCCGAAATGTTGGAGAATAATATATTTCTGATCATCAGGACAAGATTATATTTGATTCAGGATTTTCCAGCGATGGGATTTGCTCTATAAGTCAGTGATTTTGCCGCTTCACGAGTGGTGTTGATGACGCCTCCCCGTTTGCAGGAGATGTTGCCAGTATGGCGAGTGCCGATAATGATGTGTCCGCAATTGCAAAAAAATGTTCACAATGGTTCTGCGATCGAGAGTGCTGTTCAGGATGGCAATGTGACCGTGAGACTTGCCGAAGATGGTGCCGCGAACATAGGATATGTTGAAGATGGTACAATGACTGAGACATATTGACGCCGGTGCCGTAACTGTGGGACATGTTGACGATGGTGCCACAAACGCGGGACTTGCGTTGACCATTGTGCCGTGATTGTGGAAGATGTTCAAAGTGGCGCCGGGGTCATGGATTATTATCATGATGATACTGTGATAACATCATAACACACCTACACATAACAAAATTTATGATTCCTTAAGGTTGTACTGCTTTTCTACTAGTAACCATATCAGGCCTTAAAAACCTAAAGTTTAAAACAATTTAATTATGGTTAGCTAGCAGTGTTTTGGAAATCGGGTTGGAAATTAAAATCCCAACCCCCAAACTGAGATTACAATCCTGTCCATCCCTACGATTTTATTCTACATACCCTGTAGGATTATCGTTTTATTCGTTGGATAATCTAGATTTTTGGTGGTATATTGTTTTGACAAACCTATAATTAAGGTTTGTATATAAACATAGTAAAGACAACAATGATTGTGTTTCTACTGACCACAGAGTCGGCAGGCATGAGCTTGGTGTTACCATCGCTGTCAGTGACAAACGCCATCTCCATGGCCTCAGCCGTGTTTTGCGCCAAAACCATGTTGTCTTCTTCAGTATTTGTCAGCCGCGGCTGGTTCACGACTATTGTGTCGTTCAAGTGACCCTGTGCAAATAAATTAAACAGGAGTCAGTCTATTGTTGCTCTTATGATTTTTTGAAATAAGATACACATTAACCTAATTTACAGGATTAATCATTATGTCCAAGGCTGTATAGAGAGTGGCTTATGTTTGTAGTTACATAAATAAGATGGTGAAAAATTCTTTCTTGGTAACAGAGCATGACAGATTAAAACACATAGGGAACATAATTGAATGAAACAATACCAATAACAAATAGACTATTCCCTATATGGGAAATTCGCTAAAACCCAAAGGTGAAGTCTCCTTGTGCATGACTTGAGTTGCATAGAAAAATAACCGTGTGGGAATTTGATGTAAATAAAAGTTAGATTAGTAAGCAACAAATATAGTATGACAAAATATTAACCTGAGTCTGCATGTGGTTGTACAGAAGAGGTTTTCTCATGAAGCCCATGCCACAGACCAAACATTCGTAAGGCTTCTTGTCACTATGTACAAACCGATGGGCATTGCGGTTGTCTCGGCTGTTAAATGCCTTGCCACAAACCTGAAACATTGTTCAAAAATTAACGTCAATAAAAACTAATGGAAACACAGTAAACACTCAACAAAATAGGAAACAATCTCTTAGTAATTACAAGTTTTGTAAAATTGTTTATTCTTAACAGGGTGTCCATCAGCTCCGTTCAATATAAAATTCTAAACCTTTTTGTACCATTTCACCATATTTTTAAGAATTAATTGTCAGTATGTGTAGTTTGGTGGGTACAACTCCCTAAATTTCAGATGCTGTGAGTTGTTCATTTAGCGAATTAAGAGGGTGCTATTTAGGCTACAGCTACAAAGTTTTTTTGCTTTGGCTGAATACATAATTTGTTTTAAAAACCTATATAGTTCTCCATTGCTGCTTACAACCTCAGATGAAAGATTAAAATTAACTGTTTTACATATTTTATTTCTATGGCTTTATCCTTAGAGTGTCTTTAAATTAAAATAACAGACTTTTCAGTGACTTCCGTGACCAGTAGACATTTTGTTCAATCAATCTCATTGTAGGCCTACAATGTGTGCCAACACTCAACTTAGGTTTAAAGGAAAGTTCAAATTACTAAGGCCATATATAAATTACTATTAAAAATTAAGTTACAGTACTTGACACATGATTGAACTGAACACGAACCTCGCACAGGAAAGGTTTTTCGCCAGTGTGTATGCGTCGGTGCTTCTTGAAGTGTTCAGGGTAGATGAATGTGGCGGCGCAGACGTTACACTTGTATGGCCGCTCACCGGTGTGCGCCGCTTTCATGTGGTAGTCTAGCAGCCGGCGTCGCTTGAACCCCTTACCACACTCCATACACTTGTACCGCTTGTCATCGTAGTGGGTTGCTCGCTTGTGAGACTGAAGATTGCTTCTTTGACTGTTGGAATTTAACAAATCTAAGTCTGCTGAAATCGGCTGTGAAATTGTAAATAAAATGTGTAATGTGATAGTTTTGGTGCATGTGTTTTTCAAAGAATAGCACCTGCTGGAATTGGCAGCTAGGAAAACCGCTGTAGCAACATATCCAGCAGTAGGCTTGAGCCGTTACTATACAAGAATAAACTGAACTGATGGATATTAGTGGCCACATTGGAAAGGGAACCCTTGACATCTGCCATGGACTTAAAGCCTGTCACGCTACTGACTAAGCCACTGACTTACCAATTAAAAACTAACTTAATGGAAAACATGTTTACAGTCAAAAGAGTTCCACCCCACCTGATAAAATTAGACCATTAAAGGAGCAGGCCTTTAGCAAGATCCACTCCATCACTCAGCCACCCACTCATAATTAACTCCCTAAGAAAGAACGTCTTTAAGTCCAGAAAACCACCAAATTAACATAACATCAGTAGGAGGAACCTTTTTCTCTTAACGTCATTGGCTCTTGACGTCTTAACTTGATGGTGGTTTTCTTGCTAGTTTTCCCAGGTTCGCAACATAATTTTTTTGAGCCAGACTTTTTTGGGATATGGATTGAATGAACCTTCCACGCAAGTAGTGGACATTGTTTAAACGCTTTCATACTGATATTGGTAGATTTAACTGATTTAGAAGTTGAAATGAGGAATGACAGAAGATCTGTCATGCATGTGGAATGTAATACTAAGAGATAAAATAACATTGCACTAAACGAGTTTAGAACTCAACGTTTCACAGTTGGGTACAAAGCCATTCAATAAATGTATAAATACCTGAAGGTTGCACCGCAGAACTCACACTGGTAAGGTTTCTCGCCAGTGTGTGTTCGCTCATGATCCCGGATCTCAGCTTTACGTGCAAACGCTTTGCCACACATGCGGCAGATGAAAGACTTGTAGCCTGTGTGTATCACTGAATGGACCTCTAGGTTACGAGACGTGCTGAACCCCTTACCTGCAAAAAGTTAATATAATGTAGGGGAAAGCAATGAGAGATTGCCTTAAACTAATTCAGATTCAAGAAGAATGCAACTATTGATAGTACTAGACATTTTATTCTCGTAATAAATTTTTGCCAGTAATAGAATAAAAATAAAGTTTTGTTGAATCAAGCAAACAATAGAGTGCTGATGTAAATTGCTGATTTATTTTGAATACGCAAATTATAACCAAGCTGATTATAATAATTTTACCAAGCTGAACTTAACATCTGTAGATTTTTTCACACCTACTACCACAGTGACAAAAACTTGGGGAGGAAATATAGTTTTTTGATTATATCACAATATGTGAGCGGCTCATTCAATAGTCTTAGTAAAAATTTGGCTACAGCTAATTAAAATAGTGTATTGTGATTTAGCCTCCGGATAACCAATATTTCAATAAAGTGGTTTAAATACCTGCATAAAAGTTATCCAAAATGTTGCTGATCCATTGACATCCTGATCGGCCTGATGAAGATCCCTATTGTGGATTGAAACCGGTTGCCGTGAGCAACATTTTGGATAACTTTTATGCAGGTATTTAAACCACTTTATTAAAATAGTGTACTTCAACATCTACAAGTCAATGCCGAAATGGTGTTGAAGGAACACAACTCACCACAAATCTGGCAGACAAAGTTCCTCGTCGGACTGTGGGTTCGCTCATGTTGCTGTAGGTTAGCTTGGGTCAGGAATGATTTGTTGCATTTGTTGCAAACAAACGGTCTTGGCCGCTCCAAGTGGGTCTTCTCATGGGCCTTGAAAGTGTACTTGGAGGCAAAGTCCTTCCCACACTGGGAGCAGATGTAGGGCCTGTTGCCAGTGTGAACATTCATATGTTCCTCCAGCATGTTACGTGACCTGCGAAAAGTTAGGAGTTAAATGCTTGTTATGAAAACTTTACGGTAATTATATGGTTTGTCTATGTAATTCAAACATGGAAGTTTGTTAAGATTCTTTTGCAATTAGAAACCCAATCTGAGTATCAACATAATTCTAGAATAGAACTAAAGAACCGTATACAGGCTTACCATAGATTTAAGAATAAATTTAAAATAAAACACAATTTTCTAGAACAATTAGGACATTCAAACCAAAAAAATTCTATAAGTTTTTTTTTTCTCGTATAGCCTAACTATTAATTCAAAAACAGCAAATCAATTATTTTTTATCACAACTATTCAATATCCAAGTTCAATTAAAGTGACTTTACCACAGATACGTAAGATACAGAGGAAATATTCAATGGTACACTAAGTTGTGTCTAGCACCAGTCGCTTGTGTCTAGTTCAAATTCTATTGGCCGTCCCCTTCCGCTCTCCTCTCCCCCCCTAACCATCACGTACTACAGTGCTCACGCTGTAGGAAGAGCCTGTGCAGTACAACTGCAAGTGTTGTAAACAATAGCCGCCTGGGCTGTTCCTGGCTCGGTACTGGTATATTTCCGCCCCACCATTCCCGAGCTAAAAGCGCACGGTTGTTTCATAATCATGTTTCCTCTGTATATTCTACTTTTCTGTGACTTTACAAGAGGAGTATTCCTTGATTTAAATGTTCAAATATATTTCAAAGTTGGCCTAGTTATTTAACACTATATGGAGGTATCAAATTATTGTCAAAAACATTATTTGTAGAAGTGAGTGAACAACTTTATTTTTTAGTTAGGCCAAGCGTTGGTTAAAAGTTTGAGTGATGAGAATAAAGACAGATAGTTATTTACTTCTGTGTTAACATCAAAGAGCAGTCAAGATTGCACAGGCAAATATTTATGATGTTGCCTTGATTGTGGAAAATGTTCACGACGTTGCTGCGGTTGCACAGAACAATAATGATACTTTCGTGTTCGTAGGAGACAATAACTTGAAATTAATCAAATAATACTATAATCTTCCAGCTCCTATTTTTTAAGTTGATGTTTAATTCTACATCATAACATTAAAATACATTCTGAAACAAAGAAATGAGACCAATCAAGACAAGTTCCTTATATACAAAAGCTCACGGCACAAGCTTTTATGCAGAAGCTCGACTCAATAACTAAATTATGTGTAAAAAGTGTTCTTATTTCTGCAATGACCAGGTGCATCAGAACACCAGAACGGAAAACTTGTTACTAAGGTACATCAAAATAATCAGAGGCAGGCCCTAAAGCTGTCTAATAGTGGACTAGCAACTTGTATTTTCCAGTTGAAATTTTTATTTAAGCTTACTGCTACAACAGAACCTTGATAAAAACTCTCCCGTGGGGATTATTATTAAATAGGCTAAAATAAATAGGTTAAATAGGCTATTATTGAACTTGTGTTGACTACCTACTGAGGTTTTCAATAACTTGTTATTAGAGGTAAAAAGTAATGTAAAATCAAGTGTATATATATAAATAACACTAGATATCAAGAATGGCTAGTTATCGAGGTTCAATTGTAATACCTACCTTTAGAAATTGTTTCACATTAAATTGCAATTTGTGTAATTTTAGTTTCAAAATCACCACAAGGGCAAAATAGAATTGCCACGCAAAATTGAATTCATTTTTTGTGTATGAAACTTATCAAACAAGATATTTCCAGAGGATAAAAATTGCAAAACTGCATCATCCTATAGTACATATGAGAACTTTCTAGATCTATGGTAAATTTTAAAGAAGAAAAACTGAATCATAATGCATGTATATTATACTGAATAAAATCCATTTTGTAAAAAAAGACCAAGGATTTAATCATCATACCCATCAACAACTTACAGATATCTTTTCCCGCACTGATCACACGTCCAGTTTTTCACTTGAGGGTAATGTAACCTTTTATGCACTCGGAAAAGTCTTAAATTAGAAAATATCCTATGACAAACTTCGCACTGGTATTCTCTGTCTTCGATGTTAGTGTGTTCGTCTAAATGAGCAGAGAGTTCGTTGCGTTTAAAAAACTCCTGTCCACAAATGTCACAGATGTACAATCTCAAGTTGTGGGACTCCTTTAGATGGTGGGTGATGCCTTTGGCATCTGCTATGAACTTCTCTTCTGCTGAACAAACGAGGCAGGTGTAGACTGCAGCGTCTCTGCTTACCACCTGCGGACATAACATCAATCAAATCAAATATGATAATTGATTATTGATGGTAACTCGAATTCTGTTATTGAAAGATTACTGTAAACACAATAAAACTAAGAGTCAATTATGAATAGGTATTTGAACATTTTAACTAAATAATTTCTTGATTGGCATTGTACGTGTTACTGAATTTACAGAAAATAAATAACAATACTCTAATAGACCTAACACTTTTCAAGGGTTATTAGACATATTTTTGTTTACTTTCCGTAACATTTTAACGCAAACACTAATTTTACCTCTGCCAATTGCTGGTGACCTTGGCCCAAATTTTCCGAGCTTGACCTACATACCTGGTAGGCTTACAAGGAAAAAAGAACCTGTGTCCTATGCTAGATTATTGTATTGAACTAGCCAAATCATTAGATGAGGCGGCGCTTTACTGTTGTTTAATGTTTGTAGACAGTTATAATTAGAGCAATATCTAGTTTTTACCAACACACAATATTTCAATTACACTTGTTTAGGAGAATCAACATTCAAGTAGCAAATTTTTTCAGGGTTTATTCAGACCTAAGCCATTTTTTACTTTCAAAAGATTGACAAATAATATAAGTAGGCATAAAAAGAAGTAGCAATGAAGAATGTTTGGTTCCCAAATTGCATTCATAGAATTTTGTGCTTTATTAAACAAACACTTCAACAAATCTTTTACATAAATGTGCATTAACAATTGCATGTTCCAGAACTTGCTTAATTAACAAAAATACTCACCATAGCAGGTATCAAAGCAGGCATTTCACCTTTTGATGGGGATCCTTTCTTTTTTCTTAAAAGGCCTTTCTTTCCTAGAACTTTGTCGGTTAAATCTTCTTCCATAACCTCCACCTACAAAATAAATAATTAATAACTAGAAGAATATTTGTGTCATCATTTTTGCAAAATAATCTAGCAATTCTAAACTGTAGGTTGAAGTTACAAGATGTCTGTCTATTTTATTCTTTAACTTAGGCTATTTTTTTTTTTTTAAGATTCTGATAGTTGAATTTTTTTAAAGGCTGGTAGTGCCTTGTGTCACATAGGCCTCAGGTCTGTGTGTAATAGGCCTAACAAAGTAAGATGTGAAACAGTACAATACAAGAACGAAATGTTCTGATAATTTGGCGACACCACATCGCAGGCGTTTTATATTGGTGCCATGTATTTTTGTAATTGTCGCTCTACTAACTTCACCACAGACTCACAACTTAAACTTGGAGCATTAATGTTGTACCGTAGCTATTTGAACTTAGCTCCAAAGGAATATAATATACACAATCATGGCAATGTCAAATATTTTACCTTAATCTGTACATCTCCAGACTCCGTTCGAGATAGACTCCCGAGCTCAGCCAATGTGGGAATGTAGTCTTCATCATCGTCTGTAGCAAGAGCAATACAAGATGCAGATGTATTCTAATTTGTAATCTCATTCTTACATGAAAAATTGTTTATTGAATAAAAACTTATTTATTAAAAAAAAAAATGTAAAGACTTACTTAGTGTTAAAAAATAGAAACAGTTTGAAACCCAAATCGATATTGATTTGTTTTTGGATTGTGTTACCACATAAACTCCATACCCTTAGTTCAATCATACTGGTTTCCAAACTCGTCCGAAAAGTGGTAGGTTCACAAGTTTCAACAAGACACAGTTACGTCTGAACTTGAATGAACAGTGTTTTTGGCCTTGGGGTACCTCAAAACAAAAATCTAAAGTTATTTACCTAATTAAAAACAGTTTGACTCTCTCATTCGTTACTTTAATTAATCCAATTGACTTTAGGCTCCTTCACTATGAATTGGCATAAACAAATGTATTCTTAAATCTACTTCTGTCTTCTAGGTGGAAATACCCTAATAACTACTTACCAGCATCACCAACATCTCCCGTGTCATCATCATCATCATCATCGCCCTCTTCTGTCTCCTTATCACCTTCAAGTTGGCCCAACTCAATACTATTGCCACTTTTGTTCTCCTAAAACATTACCAAATAACAATTTGTGCATACACTATAGCCTATGTTGTTGGATATTGAATAATGATAGTGATTGCAACAAATTCCTTAAAACCCAAAAATCTTCTTATTGTTGTAATTCTAAAATTTGCTGAGTAAAAAATGTGTGATATAATTTTAAAACTAGCAGGTTACCCGTCCTTTGCACAAGGTTGGTATATAAGTATAAAATGCTTATTGCAGTTGGAGAGGACACGGTTTAAGAAAATTTGGTTCTTTTAATTTATACGGTATGTTATAGTATAGCAGATCTACCAGAGCCATAATGTTCTACCACTGCACCTAAACAATAGAAAAAAGTAGTTCTCATTGAGTACTACAGCTTTTTGTTGCTAGTTGGTGCAAATTAGCTGTTGTCATAAATGCAAAAAATAATAGTGCTGCACCCGTTGGTAAACTTTAAAACTTGTTAATGCTATTGCTATTTTGTGCGGAGCCCGAAAGGAATTTGAGCTAAGGATATGTCTACATGTTAAACGGGAATGTCTGTGCCCATATACAAGACTGGCTGTATTCATGTACAGCCATATATTCACGTAAGACTATATAGTCCAGGCGCCAAACGGGTTGAGTATGCACTGAAAGTCTGAAAAAGTTTGACTTTTGATTATTGTTCGGGACATCTAGTAGATGAAAAAAAACGATGATGTCGCATTTCAAGGGTGGTCATAACTCGAGGGGGAGGGGGGGAAGTTGCGCGCGTCAGTGGTTTACGTTTCCGCGTCTAACTCTGAAACGGTTAATGATAGAACGGTGGTTTAAGCGTCTATCTACGCCTAAATATATTGTCTTTCAAAAAGGTTATTACAACTTTTCTTCTATCTCTTATACTTTAGGCGCTAATCAACATTTATTGAAAGAAATAAAATTTAAAAATGAAATATCGGAAATATTGCGCTTGTTTAGGGCATGTTACAAACTATTTATGGTTAGAAAAACTAACAAGTAGTACAACAACACCAAGTTTAAGGAAATTGGTGCAAAAACAACAGAGCTACGTTGATTTCAGTAAGAGTATGCGTGGGAAATTCATAGTAGTGTTGACCGTAAATCCAGTATCGAGGCGCGCCAAAGATAGCAAGCTGCGTACGTGATCGGTTTGAATGCAACAGGCTCATTTAAATTTAAAGTAACATTATTGTGTTTTGATATGGAACCTATAAACGACGTCAACAAGGAAATACCACATAAATATAACAGATAAAATTATTATTAATAATATTAACTAATTTACTACATAATGTTGTACAAGTTTCAGTTACTTACTTTTAGATGTATTTGAGGTACACTAAGTTTTTATTTTATCCCTCTTCAATTTACGTTCAATTAATATCAATTTCATTTACATATTTACACTATTTACAATGTTTATTTACATTTTGGTTCAAAATTCAGCTTTTCTAATTCTGATGGCTAACTTGTCTCCCTAATCTTCGCTCTCTTCATATTTTTTTTACATTTTTGAAAGAGTTCTTGCAAGCACTTCCACATTTACATTATGAGCAACAAGAAGACTTGTTTTTGAGCAACCACAGGTGTTCTTTGAACAGTTTTTGCACTTGCAGGGTTGCTGGGTTGCTGGGTTGCAGATGCTGGAGTTGCTGGAAGAGTCATTAGTAACGGGCGGAATGTATTATTTTTGTCTTTGTAATATCCATAGCTTTCCAGATCCAATGGTTCAAACAAATCTTTGAAGAGAGTTTTCCCATAGATGTAACTGAGCAGCACATCTATGTATGTGCAGTTTATAGCAGTCAGATGTGCATGCTAATTTGCTGAGATTTTGAATAGCAGATTGAGTGGTGGAAAACTCAAGAAAGCGACTCTCATCGCATGATTGGCCTTTCTTTTTAATAAGTTGAAGGTATAGCAACTCTAATTGGTGAATAGATTCCTGGGATATTGGCAAGTGACACAATGACAGCAGTATAGGGTAGGAGTTTTCATTTTTCATAAAGTATTTAAATGCTGTCTTTTTTGTCCTATTTTACTGGTAGTGTCGCATCCGGTTAAAGCTAGAATTGCAGGCAGCACTTCGCATAAATCTTTTCCTAAGGATGATGCGGCAATATGACATCCTAAACCCCTTCTTTTGTCCCCGGTGCCAACTCTCATCCATAATCCTTTACAACCCAGTTTTTCAAATTCTACCCAGAACCTGATACCTAGAACAAACACGTCTGTGTCCGGGCTATGGATAATAACATGCTCAACGTTTGTGTCAGAAGTAAGGCAATCTTTAACGTGAATATACATTCTGGTGTCAGCTTCAATATGATTACTAGCTAGGTTTGGCATTTCAGAGATCTCGCCGGTATCATATTTAGAAAAACATTTCTTTCCCTCTGCAAAACAGCCAGATAAAACTAATAGTTTTCCCTTTGGAATACGAATGGTTTTCAAAATATAATTGGAAATGTATTGGACTAGATCATGTTTGTTTTCTGTAAACAACAAATATCGAGACCACTGAGTGGGTATTTTCGTCAAGTCATTGTGTATTTTAACAACCAAGGGGAGTTTGTTGCCAGCTCTTAGTTTGTGTTCGACACATTTCATTGAAGTATCTTTATAGGAGTCGTAAACAACATCAACTCTTCTGGTATTTCTTTGGTTGAGTGTCATTTCAATCTTAGTCATTTGATGTTTCCCAAATTCTTCAAAATATTCCATCTTAGAAACTACTGCGTTTGGAGTGCTATGTATTAGAGCCATTCCATCAAAAATGTTGACTTGATTTTGAAGTTGGTCTAAGGTTTGCATAGGCTCGGTGCAATGTGACTCATTTGCTATGATATTGATTAGTTCTGACTTAATACTTTTTTTTAATTGTCCATTTTCAAGAGCTAAGCTAGGAGGGTTTGGCATCAACTCGTGCTTCATTACTTCATCCAAACTTAATTTTCTTTGAGAGGCCAACAAAATCGTCTTGGAAATGCTATCATCTAGTGTTGTTTTCTTCTTCTTCTTGTTTTCTTCTGTAGACATGGAATTAAATGAAAAAGTCTTATTACGATGTATTGGGGCAAACAATCCTTTGTTTTTTTTATCCATTCTTTCAGTTTTAAAAGATGTATATTTATCTTGAGCTAGTTTATCCATACTAAGAAGGAACGAGGCGGCTGTATCTGATGGTGACAGTGTCCCACTAACTATGTTTCTCAGTGGAGTATTTGAGTCTGCGAAAGGGTTGTCATGTTGCAAAAAGAAGTTTACTACAGTTTGCACGTCTTGTTCATCTTTTTCGATGCGGCTGACATTCCACTCTTTGTGCGTCGGCTGAGCGTCCCCTGTTGGGTCTTGGGCTAGGTCACAAAAGTTGAGGAGTGTCGTTGTAACATCTGCTTTGTGATGGTAAAGAAGACACCATCTCTGTACAGCATGTTCATTTGAGGACAATCCAATCAAACCACCTTGAATCTTCGATGAGTGGATGAGAGATTGTTCTAGAGCCTGGTCTGCTGCAACACTATTGAATTTTCCAGGCGTTTTCTTTACCGAAAAATTTCCTTGTTGAAAAGCATTTTCTACCTCTACGGGAAGGTTAGACATGTCTTCTAAATACATAACACATCCTCGGACGTAGTTATAGTGGTTAAATAGTAGGCAGTACGAAATCATTCTTTTGACCACATTAATATGCAGATTCCAGTTCCCTTCTCTATCTGCCTTGACGCAATCCAATAGAAGCTCAACCATATCACAGTATTGATCCCAGTACTTGAATGTTTCGTTTTTGGCTGTTTTTTTCGTTTCTAAAGTTATTAAAACTCTCAAAGAATTTGCTGTGTTCTTCCTCTATAAGCTCGAAAACTGGTGAAGCTTCTTCCTTGAAGCCCATTGTATATGTTTGCAACTTCTTTACAAGATCTTTTGGAAGCTCTTTACCTTCTAATTCTATGTGTTCTTCCAAGAACTCCTTGAACTGTAGTCTTCTGCATGCTTCGTACATAATCTTGTGTACACGTATTCCTCTATTATAATGAGTACCATGCAATAGGTACAGACTTTATTGTGTTTTCGCCATACATTCCACTTTCTATAACAATGTCTACAAAGCCTGAATCCTGTAAATACTGACCTATTATTGATAGAAAATTTTTGGCCAAGTGAAAGGTTCCTATTCTAAGGAAAAGTCTTTCAAACCCAGTTGTTTGTAGTTGAATTAATTTTGCCAGTAAATAAACAGCCATGTCACAACTTAGAACTGCATACTTCTGGCCTAGTTGATCATTTATTCTTAAAAAGTTACTCATAACAGTGTACACAGCATCGCTGGTAGTTGGTGGTGCTGGAAATATAACGCAAAATCCAATTTTCGTTACCGGCATGTCAGATTTTGACACAGCTTGGTTAAAAGGGGTCCAACCTGGCACTAAAGCTTGTTTAGGAAACAAAATATTGTCTTTGGACTCCAGATCGAGCCGTGTAAGTACCCAGATCAAATCGCCTCTATTTGAGACATCTTGTTTAGTGTCAGTCGGTTGACTAACATGGTCAAAAGGCTTTGGAAAATGATCGGGGTTTCTTTTTATAAGGGGCCCTTTTTTCAACACTTGACATTCAAGTAATGTGTTTTCTGGAACTTTCAATCCAGTTTAAGGCACAGGAATCTTTTCTACCTTAAATTGGCGCATATCTTCAATACCTGCAGGTTGATAAAGTACCATTGCTGTGACGTGTCTGGTTGATTTTCCATCAAACGTATCTTCCTTAAAATCATCGTTATCTATAGCGCCATGAATAAGGACACTAGGATCACGAACAATGTTTGAGGGTACCGGTACATCAACTTCATTACTTGTTACAATGATATGCGTCAAAACTTGGTTGTTTAGCTTGGTCAGTGTTTTGTAACTTATGCAGTGCCCTAGCCTGTTCAACACACTTAGAATAAACTTCGATCTCGTGTAGTGGTGAATACATTGCGCCAAAGCTACATGCTTTGGAGTTAATTCTCGTTCAATAATTAAATTATGTAAATCCATGTACACTGAAATACATTTTCGTTTCAGGTCATCTGTAATTTTTTTGTCTTTTCCTACAACATGGCTAAAAAACGATTCCCAGGCTGTCGTAAACTTAAATCCATCAAAAGCACTACTAATGGCCGAGTCAGTACATAAAAACCCATTTAAGTTAAACGAATTTTGTTTTGCTTCATTTCGTAATGCCTCGGTGTTGATGCAATTTTCCGATAGATATCTAATATGCTCAACCAATTCGTTTGGCTTAAAACATGTTTTGAACACAACGGATGACTTTGACCTATCGGTTGAATGTGAAAAAAGAAGAGAATCCCCATAATGTGAAACCAACAAGTTTTTTGTTACTCTGTTATCAATTTCCAGTTCACTACAGTTACTTAGTTGGCGTAACCGCTCAGTAAGGAAGCTAACTTCAAAACACTTTTCATTTAAAGCTTCGTCGATTTCCGAAATAAGTTCAGAAAAAGCATTGCTCAATCTGTCATGATTTTCATGATCAGATGCCCTCTTTTCTCTCTCATACTGGTACAGCACGTCTGCCGCAAAAATATCATTAACATCTCTGCAAGTACTTAATCTTACAAATACTTCGTCTTGCCTTTCTTTGCATAATGCTAGTAGCTTTTTAGCTGTGTCTACCTCACTCAATCTAAAAGTGGCCGTTTCACCTTTTTTTTAGCCTGCTGGCAAAATATACATTTTAAAAAGGTACATTTTGGTATACCACTTCTAGTGACTAATGTGTTAGAAGTGCATGGTACGTCTTTGTCTTTACTGTCAAAACTTTCATCGTTTTTTTTACTAACTGTCAATCGTTTTTCGCATCTTTCTAAATTTGTTTTGCTGACATAGGAACAGTAGCAGTTTCTGTGCCATTTTAGCAACTCCTTAGTTTCATCGTTTATCAAAGAGTTTACATTATCTTGTCTGCGATTACTTGCTTCCCTTACTCTCTCTAACGACGATAACTTAAAATTCTTAATAAACGTACCGTCGTCTTTTTCTTGGCAAAATAGACACAAGCCATAATCAAATGTCTTTGTCTTTTTTTTACATTTAAATCAAACGCCATTTTCATACCCCATAGTAGCAATTTAATAAAAACTGATTATGTTTTCTGTAAGATGTACATTTCCGTACTTCTGCAAAGCAACTAAAATTACATGAAATATTTGGAGTTAGTTACGTTCATGCAATTATGTAGTTGTAGTCAAACGTATACTTGATTAAAATACTGTATGGACAACAGACCTTGGCATTAATAAATGGAACCAGCCACAAATCACAAGGACAATACACAAATCACAATATTCATTTCTAAATTACTCACTAATAAATGGTTAACACTAAAATAATAAAACATCCAAACACGTCTAATCACAACTTAAAACCGTTTAGTGTTTACTTCGGACACAATAATGAGACAACAATCAAAATTATTTCACGTTAAAATACTAACGGCTGGGTCGCGAGCGACAGCTGACGCACAGTACGCGTGCCTCAATGTTGCGTCTAATATTACAGTACTGAAATCAACGTAGCTCTGTTGTTTTTGCACCGATTTCCTTAAACTTGGTGTTGTTGTACTACTTGTTAGTTTTTCTAACCATAAATAGTTTGTAACATGCCCTAAACAAGCGCAATATTTCCGATATTTCATTTTTAAGTATTTTTAAATTTTATTTTTTTCAATAAATGTTGATTAGCGCCTAAAGTATAAGAGATAAAAGAAAGGTTGTAATAACCTTTTTGAAAGACAATATATTTAGGCGTAGATAGACGCTTAAACCACCGTTCTATCATTAACCGTTTCAGAGTTAGACGCGGAAACGTATACCACTGACGTGCGCAACTTAGCAGGAAGTTTCATTTTATAATAAGCAGTTTATGATAAAAGAAATCAATGTAATTGTGATATTGACTACTATTTTGGATAGAGAAGAGATAGGGAACAATGGATTACACCATTCTTTAGCCTAGCCAAAGAATTTATAGACGTGGACATATTCTGAGGCATTGCCTAGCTATATAAGCTATATTATTATTATATTTAATTACATCAAAATTTAAAACATTAAGTTACCAATTTAATTTTCAAAAGTATGATTTAAATTATATTTCTGTAAATAATAAGTTTGTTTTAAACTAACTTATCAATAAATAATTGAATACCTGATTAACATAAAATTATAATTGTATTTTTTATAATTAATTTGATAAATTCTTGGTTACATTGATTTACAGCTATTAATTGTTAGGACTATAGGCCTACTTGTTTATGGACCTAATTATAACACCAAATCTTATCTTTGGATTGAAACATTTTACAGTGAAGCCAATTCTTCTTTTAGTAGGCTCTATTATGACAACTATGTAAACAGTTAGAAATACCAAGAGGAATATTATTGAACCATGTAAAAATTCTGCCAGTTTGTCACAACATTTTTAACCCTTTGTATACAAATCACATTATGAACTATTGTTTATCCATGACTGTGTATTGACTATATAAAGTCTTGATAAGTCTTCCATATTAGTTGTTTACAACTAACTTACCATATCTTGTTTGGTTTTAACTTTTACTTTCATTTAAATACAACCCCCTATCTTATTTGCTTTATTACTTCAATGCTTTACAAAGCCCTAGCTTTCATACTGTTTTAAAATAAAGCCTTTGAATATAATTGTTAGTTAATTTCTAAGATGGGTTCTATTCTACTCTATAGTGCTATAAAGAAATTATTTTCACACTACAAACAATATTATTTATAGGGTAAAACAAAAATAAAAGTAATAGGCCTATGTGTTCAACATAAAACTTTCCTGTGGGAAATTAATACTATATTAAAGGTTGAACTAATTTTTTACCTAACTTTAATTGAAATTTGCTGGAATTAGACTGAATTGGATACCTACTTTAACTTAATAACTGGCTTTTACAGTAAGCGTGTAAGTAATAGCCAAAAACAAATTCTATTGTGTGGAAATAAACCTTTTGATGGTAACAAAATTCTTACTCAAGTGCTTTCTAAAAACCAATTGATAGGCTATGTTAAAATATGTATTTACTGTATTAATTTGCATGTTTTAGCCCTTGTAGCACAATAATGAGAATATACATTTTACTAAAATCTTACAGTTAAAATATGACAAAACGACCAGCTTATTTACCTAAAACTGATGGGATATGACACTGAATCTATCCACAAGTGTGACGTTTTATGGATCATGCAGCATGGCTAGTTTTTCTAGTGCGGCCTTGGTCAAAGCATGGCATCCCAACATTTATAGCAAAAACTTAAGATTCTATTTACAAATTATAACACCAACAATGATGGGGTTAAGCGCCAAGATACACATATTACACATATTAAAATATTTTAAATATTTACCTTCTGATTGTCGCTGAAGACGATGGTGACATCATCATTGCTGGCCGAACTCTCCCCACACACTTCAGCAAGAGGAGGCTTCATTTCTGGACTTTTTTTCAACCTAGCAATAAATTTTGTTTTGTAATTTACAAGGCGATTTGTAAACCTGGTCGCTTAGTAAACTTTGACCAACTCTATACAAAAGACACAAAGCAAGGTTAAAAGGCAGAATATACTTTCAAAGTGAAATCTAAGTAGGCTATCCTAATTTTTTTTATAGGAGGTCTCAATCAAAATATTGTTTGTGCTGAATCAAAAACTACTGTGTTTTTTCAGAGACATTTGAATCGTAGAATAAACCTAAATATTGAACTCAAAGTTAATTTATTCATCAGATGGTGATTTGGAGAGTCTTAATTGAAATGGCAAAACTAATACCAAGAAAGAGGAGGAAGCTATGAAAAAGCAGTATCCAACAAGTAATATAGCCTAAAGGAACAAAAATAATATTGCACATTAGGCCTATATTGAGCTGGGATGAACTTTGTTAGTCTTACTGTGTTTTCACGCAGAAAGTCAATTTACAGAGGATTGGATATAATTTTGATTTTAGTACAACTTGACAGTTGTTTGCGTTAATTACACATTTTAAACAAAGATAAAAAAATGCTGGTTTTAAGTTTTGCAATTGTATTAGTTAACTTATTTACTTGCTCAAGTGATTGCAGATGGAAAAAGCATTTATAGGCCAAAAATGGAAAAAGATTAATTGCACGTAAACAAAAAGTTATATTTAAATACCACCATTGTAGCAGTCTTCACTTCCAGTTTAGAAGCAAAGAAATCTTAATATCAAAAGGCAATTTTTCCATATACATTTTAATTTTTTTCAGAGATGACAAAACTGTTCACTTTCAAACTAGGTGATGTAAAATACATTTGCTAATGTTAGCAGATAAATACCTCGGTCTTCCCGGCCCCTGTTTTATTCTGGAAGTTTCAATCACTGATTTTTCCTCGTTCACGGCCTCATCAGGAGGTAAGGTACCATCATATTTCCTTTAAAATAAAACATTCATAATTTTGCGGTGATACAAATAAAAATCCATTGCACACAGAAATACGTTGTCAGGATCCCCACTCAAGTTTAAAAGTGAAGTTCATTTAACAACAATTTTGACAGTAACACAACCGAAATGAACCTTTATTCTTTAAATGATGGAAGACAAAGCATGAACAAGAAATTAATTACCTAATAAAAAAACTACACAACATTGACAAGTAATCTTTGTTATTAACTACAGCAACATCCGATGTGTAAAAAGTCTCACTAATTTAACAAAATGACTGCCAATAGATCTACAAATAGACCAAAAATGTACACTGTTGGCTAACTTAAAATATGGTCATCAGGTAGATAAATAAAACTTGATAAAGTAAACTAGTGAAGCTGACAATGTTGGTACAAATTTTTCAAAGTGGGTAGGCCTACTGGTACTTATTTCAGACCAAAATCAATTCTCAATTCTCGGTACTGTTACTTAACAAATACTAGGCCTATTCGGTACCGCCTACAGCCTATTCCTTCTCTAAAAATGTCAAACGCTGACATAAAAATAAGAAAAATATGTTGACCAACATAGGCTACAACAAATAGCTATCTATCATTATTGGTGTATTTGCAATTACAATTCATAATTTACTAGCAGGAAAAGAGTAATATCTGAGGTATTATCTGCGGGGAATAGTTCTATAGAAAGAGAATCTGGGCTCTTCCTGTTTTATAAGCAAATCCAAAACTAAGTGAAACACATTTATACACTCTGGCATATACAACAAAACAACCAAGTTTTACAAGTTGATCAAAATACATATAAGTTGATTAAGTTAACTACTATGTCCACAGCTGTTTGCCCTATTCCACGGCACGGAGCCCTACTTGAGTACCGAGGTAGGCCTACCGGTTCCTTTAGTGTACAATACAATACCTAGCCTATTCTTTATTGTTCATTCGTCAAGTTTCTCAATTCTGGTAACTTAACTAAGACCAGTGGTACCTGGAATTCCCTTTATACATAAACAGAAAATAATTATGAATAACATCAAACAAACTTAACTCATTAAAGAAACTTATGATTCTTACACAATTTTGAAGGAAAAGAAAACTTGATTGTACTCACGCCAATAGAAACAATTGAAGGCAATAAATAAGAAAACATTAACTTACTGAGAAGAAGACGATCTAATCAGATACACATGCTTCCAGTTTTCTCACCTACCTCACAGTTTTGATGTAGTTGCCCTTAACCTCCAACTGAATTTCTGTAATTCTCTCTTGCAGTTCATCTACTTCATTAAGGAGCTTGTAACACTTTTTACACACAACTACACTATGGACTAAATTCTCTTGAACTTCTAGATCCAAAACTAATTCAATGATTTTATAGACAGGCTTGTCGGACGTTGTCACATGCTGTTGAAATATCGGACAGCTGTTCCTTGTGGACACGCCAACACTAGCATCACAAACGAGACACGACGTGTTCTTGCTGACAGAAGGTTTCTCCGTGTCAGCAGTCATTTCTCATAATCTGAAAGACCAATAATAATCTTATGATAGGAAATATGAAGCATAAAGGTAACACATCTTAAAAGTTTCTAAATTTTTAAGATGTTTTCAAATTTTGCAAACAATACCCTGGGCTGGTTGAAACAAACTTGAAAGATTAGTGGAATATATTCGGCGCATTAGAATATCATGTGTATTGTTTATTGAAAGTGACGTTTAGATGATCCAAAACTATATTTTTTTTGTATTATGATTAGATACCGTAACTCTGTTTTATCTTTTAGTAATAATTAAGAAGTCATATTGTCCTTATCATAATATTTTTTTTTATTTCAATAACCTTTTTAACAGTTTATTACAAATAAATGTTTTTCCTAAACAAAATTTACAAGCGTTATACATATGTAAACAGATCAATGCATTCCTTAGCAAGCGTTGGACGTATATATACGCGCAAAAATTATGTTAAATTTATTTTTTAACCCCAACCAAATTATTGATCCTGTAGTTAGTGAGTGGATGTTAATGTACCCTACAAGTTAAATAATCACATTTTCAAATATTAACAAAAATAATAATTTTAAAAATGGAAGATAGGCCTAAATGTGTTTCAACTTATAATTAAGTATGTTGTTTACTTTATTCCTAACTAGGCCTGCAAAGTCACTTTTGGATTTTAGAAAAAAAGTTGGATATGATTCAAATAATGTGTTATAGTCCTTATAATTCTAAACAAACTAATGCAACCCCCCATTGCTGTAAAAATTACGGTTCAAAAGTTGTAGAAACTTTTGTGATTTTTCCCTACAAAATTATAATTAGTTACTCCCACCGCTTACCCATGATAAAGGTTGTTGACAAGCTTATTTTTATGGGAGAAAGTATGTGTCAGATTGCTAATACCGTTTATTTATATATGTGTTTGTTAGCACGATAACTCAAGCAAAAATTATCCGAACAAGTTCACGAACTAGCATGATCGTTCCACGGGAACAGAGGTTTATGGGATGTTTTAAGGGGTAAATGGGGGGTTTCCCATTTTTTACCCTAAACACATTAAATTTTGCAATTTCTTTCCAAACCATTTTTGAGCTTGAAAAACAAATAATTTAGTACATTGAAGCATTCATGTACCGGTATGCCTAATCAATTACAGAAAAAAAAGCCAAAAAAAGTGTAAATTTAAAATTACTACATGTTGTTCTTATGAAGAATAATTAACACGTTCAGTGTGGTAGGTATTCCAACAGGTGCTCGCCAATGGCACAGCACCTTAACAATGTACACAATTGACAATCAAATAGCCTATTTCAATCTGACGAATAACAAAAGAGCAGCAGTGATTGTACTACGTTACCCTGAGATTGGACCTAGTTCCCTAAAACACCCAAAGGTAGCAGCACTGCCTGGATCAGCAGTCAGTGGCTTTGTAATATGGCTTGAAGAGAGAAAATCCCTAAAACCGGGGCAAAAGTGTTGTCAGACGGGATTTTACAGGAAGTTTTAGTACCAACCTACACCAAAATAAAGGTAAAAATCTATGCTACAGGGTAGCAACGATTTTAATTTTCCCCGGCAATGGCTGAGCTCAAACTGAACTAATGTAGTGGGGGTTGCGCAATTACATCAATTGATGTAGGCTGATAGGAGCAATTGATGTAGTCAGCAATGAACGTGTTAAACTGCAGTAGCTTGCTTGTCTATGCACGTCTTTAATGAAATTTGGAAATTTTGTTTACTTCATACTAAGCTATCAATATTGCAATAAAAACCCCTATTTTCTTCCCTGTATCAGCAAACCTAAATATACATTAAAAATAACACTAATGAAATATAGGCCTAAAATAGGAAATAAATATGACAATTTTAAGGGGATAATTTAGTAGAATTCCAGCCAGGTAAGTAGGTGGAAATTTGCTTTGTCTGCAGGTTTGCTGCGCGGGGGTATTTATGATTTTTTTTTATCTGTTTTGACTACCTATTTGATGTACATAGGCTAATAATCAATAATGACTAAATCAGTGGCTACACTTATCCGCTCCGCTCCGAACCAAATTGGTTCAGAACAATCCTCCAGGGAGCATTTATCCGCACTTTCGCGGAAGCATTCGGGGCAGATCGGACAAGTGTAGGCCTAGCCACCTACTTCCGAAATTCGGATGAGGATAGGAGGTACCGTGTACAATAATGAAAACTACTTTAACCCTCCAATTGTCCAAACCTGCAATCGCAGGGTTTTATTAAAATGTATCTTAGAAACTTAAAAACAATGTAAAGTATATACTGTTTTATATATCATTTTGTTTGGAAAATTATGGGCTTCAAGGTAACATATAAAACATTACAAAAAAAATTTCCAACAATTTTTGTGGGGTTAACATTTCTCAAAAACTATAAAATAAATTAAAAAAAATTATGTTTGCGCTCAATAAATTGTAATAGTTTATAGGTCTACAAATATTTTAAAACAGCCACTTTATTCAAAATTTTATGAGGATTCCAAAAATATAATAATATAAGGAAGTAGGTTTGCAAATAAATTAGTTATGGGCAAAAAACAGATTTCGTACATAGCGTTTAGCTAAGAATGCATAGCCTAACCATAGCTAGGAATCTGGCTGATAATTTACATTAATATCATTACCTACTTCTTCAGGTACATCAACCAGCCCTTCAAAATTACTTAGGCCTAAATCTTCTTATAATACACCACGTAGGGTAGAGTGGGGGAATTGGGACCCGGGGGTAATTGGGAGCTATTTTTTAAAATTTTAAAATTTTAAAATTTTGTATTATTTATTTTTTTAACAAAATTGTAAATACGTTAAAGTTTAGGCATTCTAAAGGGGTTTCATCAAAAATTATTGGATAATTGTAATCTTGTGTTTAATGTATAAAAAAAATAAAAAAATTAAGCCGTGTTTTTTCCCGAATGTTAAACATATGGCAAAACTTCAGCGTGGTAGTATTTCGAGCTATTTTTATATATTATATGAATTAATAATCATACCAAAATGTATTTTTTGACACATTTAAGGTTTAAGCAATAGTTTGTTAGGGCTTTAAAATTTTAAAAAAATTATAAATTAATTTTATAAATTTTTTAAAAAATGGGTCCCAATTACCCCGGTGTGGGGAAATGGGACCCATATTTTTCTATCCCACATATAATTAATATTAATATTATAATTAATCCCACATATAATTAATCAATAATCAAATGTGGCTGCAGTGGTGATTATCATGTATTATGTGTAAAAACAGAATTTTGAAGTAGGTCCCAATTACCCCAGCATGGAGTAATAGGGAACCAGTCTCATCGCGTGGTTACATCGGTTTGGAATCACAGATGTACAGAAAGGTGAAAAATTTATTTTACAACCACTTGATAAAAAAATAGGGCCTAAAAGAGTGAGCTAAGCCCATAATTGGCCTGTTTTAACTTATAATTGGACTGATAACAACCATTTATTAGAAATTCTTTCGGCTGAAAAAGCAAAATTCCGGAAAGTTTGCATATGACCAGAGAAGAAGTTTGACATAAAATATACTTGTAGTTTTTTTTATTTAACTATACATGTCTTTAACAGTTTAAATCTATATTTTATGGCTGTTATCTGCTCTGGTTAATTTTTCCCATTTTATTTAGAAAAAAGTGTAATGTTTTGGAAAAAATAGTTTGAACCGTTCTAATGTCCTAAAAAAAAATTTTTTTCAATAAAAGTATGTTGCATTTTGTTTATTATGTTTTCATTTTCAGAACCCTATTACCCCCACAAATTAATATTAGGTGCTTATGGGTTTATAAGCATAGGTCCCAATTACCCCATGTGGGGTAATTGGGTTCCAAATTAATATTTATTTTTTTTTCATAGTAAAATGTATTTTAAAAAATGAAAAACAATGTGATAAGAAGACAAATTACAGTTGGAAACCTTGTGCAGGCTCATATTTTGATTTTTTCTGACAATAAAAATATAATTGAAAAAAATAAAAACATGGGTCCCAATTCCCCCACTCTATCGTATATCACTACTTTTGATCTTGACCACTAAAACAATGATAAACGTAATAAAACACATCAGTCATCGGTGCGAGGTTAACCAAGTTGTTTACAAATACGCACGCACGTCAGCTGTCTGCTACAATATTTTCGGAACTAAAATGAAAAGCGTCTAGAAACAGACATCAGGAGAAAGCTCAGAATCTGACGAAAACAACGATACCAATCTCGATCCAGTTAAATCTGATTCAGTCAGTCCCAGAGCCTTCGCCGTAAACGTGTTTGTGTGTCGCAAAAGCGACGCATAACACCACAGCGGGTGTGTTGTGCGTTCATTAAGCGATGCTTAACATTCGGAGGGTTAAAAAGTACTGCAAACCGTAAACGAGCTAACTATGCCCTATGTAAACATTTTTTTTATAAATTACACAGCTAAATATAATATATTATATGTTAAAGGAAAGGCAATTTGGAGGAAAACGGCCTTGACCAAAATAGATTGTATTATGTATTTTAAAATATGAACATACGTACATATTTGAACATGAACATGGTACGGTAATCATTTCCAAGGTAGTTGGGAACGTGATAAATTATTTATTATATTATGTAAAAAAGTTATTTTTAGGATACAGGCCTGAACATTAAATAAATTAAAAACATAAGAAAGATCACCAGATTTAGTCAAACTCCAAGCAGTTGTAAAGTAACGACAACCATACTGGTTGTGTTGAAACCTATTGTATAATAGGCTAATCTTTGTTTTTAAGGTAGATATTTTTTTACTTTAACTATGGATGCAAGATTTAAAAAAACAAGTTACTTTCAGTGTAATAATCGTCTTATACTTTACAGCATTTTTTACTTCACGTTTTTTGTTAATCTAGGATGTGAATTTTTGAAATTATTATTTAAGTTAACGTGTTTGTAGCACTTTTTACATAGTGTTTAACACATAGTGTTTTTACATAGTGTTAGTTTTTACAAAGTGCAAAAACAGTCTAGGAGATAATATAAATCAACAACTCGATTCATAATAACCTAAACTTTACCTTCCTAATCTAACCTAACTTCAAAACACTTCATGAATCCGCATAAGTTAACACCAAACCTACCAACCTCACATGTCTAAATAAGAACTGAAGTAGTTCATTGTCAACATTCAGTTTAATTTACAAATGCCTCTAAGTTACCTCTTTATTTACCTTTACCTTTACCGGTTCTTCATCGTTGCCCAGCCATAGCTGGATAGATTGCGTCAAATGAAAAATTAAAACTTTAAAACTTTGTCTATATACACTATATACAAGGCGGTGGATCATGATGTCCAAACTGAGTCAGGGGTTTCGAAAAATTCCCTGATGGAGTAAAGGGGCCTAGTCTTCAACTCCCTAGACATGTGCGCTACGAACGCTTTCACTGGCAGGCCTCTGATCTCAACACTGAGACTATTTAAACTTACTGTTTATCATCTTAGGTTTCTTCTTCTTCCCTAGACGATAATTTCAATCGTTCATGTTCGTGTTAGTCAGTAAGTTCATATTAAGTTAATGGCATCAGAGACCAGCCGACATGAGGCATTACAGTAATATAAAATTCAAAAATTCGTAGTTAAGTTAACTTAAGTTAATTCAGTTTTTGTGACAGCAGAAAAAATGTTTGCACCATTGTTTTCAGGTAAAAATCTAGTTTCTAAAGATCCTATATTAAAAACTACTATTGTACTCTTGGTCCCTCATGGTAATAATTTCCCCTTTTAGTTACTAGCCTATAGACACTTGGAGGGTTAAAGAAACCGCCATTAAATTAAACTAACTTAGGCGTTAGAACAAAAAGCAACTGAGGGGGGCAAAAAAATTTGGCATGCATTTGTTCTTGTTAGGTACCCTAGGCCTAGTACATGGGCTACCTACCTTAGACAAAAAGTTGAGAAATCTCGCCAACTGAAAACAAGTTTAAGTAGGTTTAGGCCCCCTAAGCCTAGAATAAGTTATTGGCTTCCCTGATCACTGCACTAGATAAAAAATTGGGACTAAAAAGGGAACCAATCCTTCTGAAATTGAGCATAGCATGGGATAGGCTTGAGTATACTAACAAGGGTATCAATGGCGTTTAGATTGAGTAGGTTATTTAATTTAGGCTAAAAAAAAATTAATCAGTTGCCTAGGCCTATCTTATAATGTAAAGTAGTGATAATTTGGTACCTAGGTAGTTAAATCATTTTAATCCATCCACAATTAATTATTGTTGTGTTGTTGTTTAGCCTTGGCTAGTTAAGGTTATGTAAATAATATTTTTGATAAATAATTCCTTTGACGTTTTATTAATATGCACTTGCGGCTGAAATGATGAAACTAACTTCGTCATCGTCAGTATAGAATAACCAATATTTACAATCAGCACAGTTATAAACAATACCAATTTCTGTCGAATAGAAATGCATAAATTCTTAACTCGACAAACAGTCTTAATTTTCAGCAAACACAAATTTTACAAAGTAAAACCAAAAAGTACCTACTGTTATAAGTTGCCAGCCCTGCCCGTGTAAAATGGCGATGCAAGAGAGAACTTTCGTCGCCCAGCCTCTCCGCGAGAATTATTGCGCTGGAAACGGTATCAGAGAGAGGTGGTAATATCAATCTACCTCTGGTACAAATCATATATATGATTATTCTTTGGTAATTCAATTTCAAAATAATTAATTGGTATTCATATAAAAAGTTATTTTACAATATAAAATTTGTTATGATAATTCTTGTTATTATTCTTTTGCAGTGAAATAAATAACTTAAGTAATTTCTTAAACATTTTAAATAGATGTTGCAGCCAAACATTTTAACTATCGGTAATTTATATTTAAATTTCGTGTTTGTAATACCACATTTAAGGGTTTTTATTGAATGGTTATTAATTCGTTTGTGAAAAAGCAGCCTAATTGTAAAATTTTCGTGTTGAATGGAGTTTTTCCCATTATTGTTTGAAAAGCTATCAACTGTTCCTGATCGTTGTTGTTTAAAAAATAGCCTTTATTCAAGGCCCCACTTTATTTTACATTTTTTTGAAAATGTTTTTATTAGCGAATTTCCCTATAGGGAAGTAGCTATTACCGTAGGTGGCATGGTAAGACCTAGCTTCGGGACCGACTTACTTTTTCATTTTTATGTCCCCAGAGGCCAAAAACACCATTCGTTAAAATTTATATATATGTATATGTCCGTGAACGCGATAACTTAAGTAATTTTGGTCCGATTTTGATGAAATTTGGTTTAAAGCCGAAATTAACTTTGAATGAGTTCGCGAATTAGCATGATCGGACCAAGGGGAACGGGGTTTTACGGGGGGTTTTATGGGGTAAAAATTTGTTTTTGTCATTTTTGACCCCCAAAACACAACATTTCCCAATTTCTCTCTAGGCCTTTTTAAAGAGCTTAAAAAACAAATAATTTAGTAAATAAAAGTGTTTTTGTATAGTTATTGGTAACGGAGAAAATTCAAAACATTTAAAATTTAAAATTGCTATGTTATTTTTATAAAGAATATTGTAAAATGTTAAAGTCCGTTTGTTTATGGATATATTTTTATCAAACTTGGTAATTTTATTTATTTTATACTAAGCTATTAATATTTTACTAGAAAACTCACTTTATTAGTTCCTTTGTTGCAGCAAACCTAGGTACTCGTTAAACCTAATGTTAAATAGATTTAATTGAAAATCATTTCAGATAAATGGAAATTCGCTTAGTCGGCAGGTTTGCTGCGGCGGGGGTATTTACCGTGGAAATAGCCTTATTCATTTTTAAACGGTTAAGTACCACTTTACAATAGAGAAAAGTTATAACATAGATAAAACATACTGGTTATAACCAATACAAGACAGTAAGCAAGATTTACAAATAAATAACACAGATAATAATATAAGCATAATAGATAACAGTAGTAACAACTGAAATCTACTTAACGAAATAGTTATTTGTGCAACTAGTGAGAAAAGTGAGCAATTGACAGTTACCATAAAACAAATAAATTTGTGAAGAAACATAACCTATTTTTACACAGAAGTGAACTTTTAATAAAACATTTAATGTGAAGTTTATTTTATTTTATCACAATTTTATTTACAATCTGTTCGTTTTTAGAACATTTAGCAAATACAATAACAACTTTTAATAAAACGTTAGTTAATCTCTGTCCATTGACAGAGCTAACTTAAAAAATATTTCAATGAAAAAATAAATATGTAAATAAACAAGGGAAAATTAAATTGTTCAAACAAAACGTGTGCTTAGATCCAAAACATTAATCCTTTTTAGCCTGTATATACTGGTAACTGTTGTCCAAGAGGTTTAGAGCCAGGTGTTTAGGGTGATTTTCAAGTTTCTTTAGATATTTTGCACTAAATTTGGTTATTTCCTCTTCAACCGTAGGAATTCCACTGTCCTTGTGAAGGATATTTTTATTTTTATTAACATACCACGGGGCTTGCAGAATGAATGTGAAGTGACAGATTACAACAGTACAACAGCTGAGCTGACCAGCTGATTTACAGCCAGTGCTGCCAAAACGTATTTCGCGCGCATACGACGTTGCCTGCATATTACGCGCTCACTATTTCGTGCCTTCACGTTACAAATCTGGAGTGAGACAAAGTAATAAGAGTGAGACAATGTTAACATTGTCTCACTGATGAGCGAATTGGCCACTTTGCTTTCTCAAATCAGTGAGAGAACATGTACATTGTTAGGTGACTGTAGGAAAATAATCTTGCGATTTTTAAAATAACACAAAGGTTGAAAATGCTCTTGAATAAATATTATCCCTAAGTCCCAGCTGGACTAGTCAATAGACAGGATTTCAAATTTGTTTTTTTTCTAGTCGTTTGTTTGGCTCTGGCCAAGGCCCCACTAGAAAAAAAACTTTTTCTAGTGGGGCCTTGCTCTGGCATACTAGTTTATTGTTCAAAATTAAAACGTTCTGTCTCATAATACTTACACTTACTACTGAATGTAGTTTTAAAGTTGTATTTGCCCAAATGTTTTCTTTTCTTTCAAATTAAACTTTAAGATAGTTACAGATTTTACATGAAATTGAATCAGGATCGGGGGCACCGCAAAGAAGTGATCGCAACATTTGCAGACGACACTGTTTGTTAATCATCAAATCAGCTAGGATCCTATTTTCGCACCATAAACAGACTGCATTAGACAACTTGTCTCACTATCTAATATATAAAATTCTCGTGTCACAGTGTTTGTCTGCAAACTCCTCCGGAACGACTTCACCGATCGTTGTGAAATTTGGTGTGTAAATTCTGTAGGTATGCGAATCGGACGTAAACTATTTCCCGTTTCGAAATTCCTAAAAGGGCTCCGCCCCAGTGGCTCTGGAGTTTCCCATGTTAACCTTATGAGAAATGGAATTAATGAATCTTAACAGCTGTTTCAATTAAACAAGTTGGTTCTGTTCTATGATGTTCAATAGCATTAAAGTTACAAGGATTACCAACAGGGTGCAGCACTATTATTTCTTTTACATTTATGACAACAGCTAATTTGCAACCAAAAGGTGAGTGAGCGTAGCGAACGAACATCAACCTGGAGGCGAGTTAGCGTAGCGAACGAGCTAACCTGAAGGCAAGTGAGCGCAGCGAACGAGCTCCAACCTAAAGGTGAGTGAGCGTAGCGAACGAGCTCCAACCCAAAGGTAAGTGAGCGTAGCGAACGAACTTCAACCTGGAGGCGAGTTAGCGTAGCGAACGAGCTAACCTGAAGGCAAGTGAGCGTAGCGAACGAGCTCCAACCCAAAGGTGAGTGAGCGTAGCGAACGAACTTCAACCAGGACGTGATTGAGCGATGCGAACGAGATCATCTTGAAAATTAAACGTAACGGTACTTTCTTTCCATCGGTCTGTCTTAGGGGAAACCTATAACTTAGGCGATACGAAGTTCGCCGGGTCAGCTAGTATGGCTATAAAAATCGGAAAATTAAAAAATGAAACAGATCCCTTCAAGTTCTATTATTCTCAAGAACGTGCCCCCAGTAACATTGAATAACGTAATTTTTCCAAACTCAAATATCTTTATTTTTGACAGTTGTTACAAACTGCATAATAGCGTCAACAAATTTTTTCTTCTTAAACATATCAAAACAATATTTTTTTATGGATAAAATCTAAAAACTAAAGATCATTGTTTTCTTAAAAAGTCTTCAACACTGTAACAAACAGCATGACAAAAGAAGACTCTTAACCCCTTTGCCAAATTTGTCCACACTATTTTCCATCTTCAGGGGAGAGGGCAGTGCATTAAACAGTTAAATGTCATTGTAAAATAAATGATTTTTTAAAAAAGCTGTTTTGTGTTTTGAAATGTCTAAATCTTCTCAAACCATAGGAGATAGGGTGAGACCGGTGAGACAGATTTTGAAAAAGGTCGATATTTTTCTTAACAAATACAAGATAGTTTAAGATCAAATTAGATTAATTAGAAATTGGTAGAATCCTTATGACTGTTCTTATTGTTTTGTTACACAAAGACGATACTTAACAAACCGCTTCATAAAATTAATAATTTTATTTATTTTAAATATCATATGGTATAATATAACGTTGTATACCAATAATTAGGCTGAACCCTTACTCTATGCCTTTAATTCGACTCAAATTGTCATATCATTCTCGTCTGTCTTGCTTGAAAAAATTGGTGGTTTGGTTTTTGTTTTTTGGTTTGGTTTGAGTGACTGTGAGCAATTCAACTTTGAGGTTACAAAAGTTTACATAATATTATACTAAATTTTAATATTTTAACTTAATTCACAACTATTTGTAATGGCATTTTCCGGGCCATTCTCTAATGAGGTTCCATTTTGGGGCAATGGACCATCTCCAGGCTGCATTTACGATTTTCCAAGGGCTAATAAGAGTTTGATGAACGATGGCTTCAGACAACATTCACAGTAAGTTCATTCAATTTTGTTTGATGACAAATCTGTAAAACTAGATGTGAATAAATATGAGGTTTGGATTTTATATGTAAACGTGTCAAATCTATTTCACAAGGGTTGCTGTCTGCTACACTCTTGATTAGCCTGTAACATTGGTGGAATTCTAAGATCGCATAAGGATTTTGGTGTCACCTACCTCAAGCTCAAGCAGTGCTGAACATGAACTTGATCAAACGTTATTTCAATAACTCGATCTAATTAGGGCAACAAGATGGTACTTGAAAATCTCCTCAGTCACTTGTTACTACAGTTAATATTAGATAGGCCTAAGTACTAACTTATATAAGTTAACTTAGGCTATGCCACTGCATGTCTCCCTTCTGTCCAGTTTTAGAGGACGGATAGGCCTAGGCCTAAACAATTTGATTCCCATATCAGCTTGGTAAGATAAACGTGATCTGAGAGTCTTGGGTGTACAGGAATGAGCATTGATAGTCGATGTTTTCGAAATATCAATGTTTCTCTATCGATGGTGCTTTTTACATCAATGTTTTGGCCAAATATTGAAATATCAATGTTTTCAATAGGCTAACTAAAATGTAAGTTTATCAATTTTGATGAAAATTAAAATTGAATTAACTTAAAATACCGTAGTATTAAGTTGACTTACCGTAATTCTAAGTTGAAATGGTGATGAAGTATCGAATCCAAAAATATTGCGATTGTGTAGGCCTACTGTACTAGACTTAGATAAGTCTAAGTGTTCAGTGAGTAAGATAGGCTAACTAACTTATGTTCATTTGTGATGCTTAGAAATCAATTTATCTGTATTATAAATTCCAGTGGCAGCACAATCATAAATTAATATACCGTTATTTCGTCTTGCAAAATGTGAAAGAGTAACTGCCAATCTAGAATGTATAGCTAGCAGCATAGACATACCAATGCAAGGGAGAGTGTGTTTAATTGATGCTAGTAGAGTATGCTAATAAGAATAATTAGCTGAGGCAGCCCCGAAAACATTGATGTTTTTGCAATGATGTTATCGATAGACATACCATCAATGTTCACCTTTGATGGTACATCGATGTCAACCATCAATGTTATCATCGATGCTAGGTCTATCGATGTTCATCCCTACTTGGGTGTACTCTGGGTTATGACCTTGACCAGTTTTAGCGAATTTCCCTATAGGGAAGTAGCTATTACCGTAGGTGGCACGGTAAGACCTAGACCCGGGACCGATTTACTTTTTCATTTTGATGTCCCCAGAGGCCAAAAACACTATTCAATTCATTTCAAATTTTTATATATGTATTTATATATATATATAGACTTATATATATATATATATATATACGTCCGTGAACGCGATAACTTGAGTAATTTTTGTCCGATTTTGATGAAATTTGGTTTTAAGGTGTAAAGCGGGATAAACTTGAATGAGTTCGCGAACCAGCACGATCGGACCATGGGAACGGGGCTTTACGGGGGGTTTTATGGGGTAAAAATTGGTTTTTCTCACTTTTGCCCCTCAAAACACAAAATTTCCCAATTTCTGTTTAGACCTTTTTAAAGAGCTTTAAAAAACTAATAATTTAGTATATAAAAGTATTTTTGTTCTATTATTAGTATAACGGAGAAAATTTAAAAAATTGTAAATTTAAAATTCCCATGTTATTCTTATGGAGAATATTGTCAAATGTTGTAGTTTGCTTGTTTATGAATATATTTTGATCAAACTTGTCAAATTTATTTATTTTGTACTAAGCTATCAATATTTTACTCAAAAACACACTTTATTTGTTTCCTTGTAGCAGCAAACCTAGGTACTCGTTAAACCTAATGTTATTAAAATATAATTTAACTGAAAATCAATTCAGACAAATGGAAATTCGCTTAGTCGGCAGGTTTGCTGCGGCGGGGGTATTTTAATTATAGCAGAGGTTCAATGTTCTACTAACTTCACTTAACTTAGCCTACTCCATCCTCGATGTCATGTTCAAGACCCAATCTTTTGCTGCTTACGACCTACATTCTACAATTGTATAATAACTTAAGTTAATGACTTATAAATTTAATAAATTCTGAGTTAGCCTAACTGAAGTTAGGATTCTCCTGAAATACGTTCGAAAATGCTTTGGGTATGAACAACAGTTAAACTTAAACCTAGTTAAATAGTAAAAATAATATCTAACTTAGGGCCTACAAGTTTTTAAACAATTTACATAATCTAGCATTGTTAATATGCGCTTTGTTATTGATTAAAACATAGTGTAAAAAAATCAACCTGGTTCAGATCCCTGAGAATGCTTATTGTACATGTTTTATTTTGTCAGGAGTAGACCTACCAAACGTTTCCAAATTAACGACTCCATGGCTTATATCATTCACATTAGACCCATAGCCTACCTTTAGTAAGTCAACGGATTTATACTCTAACAAATGAATGTTTTGAGGTTTTGCAGTGAGGGTTTTATATTTTAGTTAAAATAGTGTTTTAGCCTAACTAACGTTTCTTACACCGTTGTACTTATTGTTCATGTAACCATTAACTTATGTGCTACAAAATATTATTCAAGTCCTAATTTATTGATGTTTTTTACAGGAGACCAATTACAACCACAACATCAGTTCTGGCTATTAAGTTTGATGGTGGAGTGGTCATGAGTGCAGACCTGTTAGGGTCCTACGGTAGTCTAGCTCGGTTCACCAACTGCTCCCGAATTGTCAATATCAACAAGAACATTATGATTGGAGCTAGTGGGGACTACGCAGACTTTCAGTATCTTAAGGATATTGTCCAACAGAAAATGCAAGTATTTAAAGTCAAACAGCCACATTCGGTGGAAGAAATATAGGCTAATTTATGATATGCATACACCCTGTTCTTAGTCCTATGAATTATAAAAAAGTAGGCCTACCCACTTTTGAATAGGCCTATTTCATATTCATGCGGTTGAGTGTTGAATAAATCAAACTAATTATTTTTACAGGGTGTAACAAATGTCGGCCTTAGTCAGTAACAAGACTATAAGATCATCTCTTCTCCACCATACTTGGCTTAAAATACCTACCTTCGTATGGTCGCCATTTTAGATTAAAGTAAACAGTATAATGGGAAAAGCGGGAGCTATACATCATATTTGATGACATGTCTTATTTGAGTCTTTGAATTTTATTTGGGACAAAGAATCCCAGAATAATGGCCAATAGCTCATGGATAAACTTAGCTTCCATTCATTGAAGTTCCATTGATTCTCATTTAATTTACTTACTTACTTACTTACTTACTTACTTACTCCCTCGACGTCGTTGACCAGCTCTTGCTGGATAGACTGAGTCAAAATAAAAATAATAATAATATATATATACATATTTACAAGTTTGGCGGCAGGTTAGACGCAAATTTTATAAAACTCATCTAGGGAGTACAAGGGTCTTGCCAGTAGCCACTCCCTCAGTTCGTTTTTGAAAACTGAGGCCTCAAGGTTTTTAAAGTACAGTGGCAGTCGGTTGTACATCCTAATTGCCAACATAGGAAAGCTGTCCTTTTTTTTGTTTAGTCTGCAGAAAGGGATATCAAGGTTGGATTTTGACCTTGTATTGTGATCATGTTGGTCTTCTCTCAATGCAAGACTAGAGATGTTGGTCCTTACGTTGTTTAGGGTGATTAGAATGTACTGTAATGTCGATGTATGTACGTAGTACAATTAATAATCCCATAAATGGAAGACTTATTGCCATTAATGCCTAAATTCATTTGACTATAGAATCGATGAGGATTGTATGGACGATGGATTTTGTCTGAAGCCCAAATCTCTCCATTGCTGGCTGACCAGAGTTCTATACAATCGCAGATCCAAGTTTGACCCGCTTTGGAATGATTATGTGGTTGCTGGATTACAGGATGGTGTTCCGTAAGTTTTGAAAGTTAATTACATGTGTTTATATGTAAAGTATATAGTTTTTTCCTATGATGCAGACACATTTTTAGCCTGTAACCTTGTGCAAGCATTGTTTGGCATTTCAGTGGACATTTATACCCAAAACAACTTAAAACATTTGATAAAATCCTTTAATTTAAATTTAAGAGTTGCACTGTTGGAAATTCAATAGTCTGAAACTCAATAGTCTTAGGCTACATTCAGTAGCCCAACTCTGTGCCACATGAATCAAAAGCTCAATTACAGTTCTAAAACTTGACTTGTTTTTATTAACACTTTTTTTGTTTTTTGTAATAATGCCTAAAACTCATTAATTTGTACCCCTATGTAACAGTTTAATAGTATATGTTAAGACATCAAGTAGCCTTATCAGGTTCATAAGTTAATTTATTTCATTGTCAATTTTTGGCAATCCGTGTTTCCTGACATCCGACACTCTGTCCTATTATTACACTATCAATATTCAACTGTATTTACACATTGATTTTTAACCAGAGAAAGTTCAAGTTGCAAAAGTGTTCTAAAGTAGACTTTCAATGGAAATTACTCGGCAAGTACATTCAACTCAATATTATGAAAAATAGGATGATAAAGCCATCATCGAGATAGGCCAACCTTAATTATCTGTCAAAAACAATGTAGGCCTAAGAAGACCTATTCTATTTTATTTTTTATTTTCTAGATTCCTAGGAGCTGTGAATATGCTCGGCACAGCTTATGAAGACAAGCATATTGCGACTGGCTACGGAGCTCACATCGCTCTTCCGTTGATGAGGGAAGCTGCAGAGAAAAAGCCAAACTTGACGCAGCAAGAGGCACAGCACCTGCTGGTCAAGTGTATGGAGGTGTTATACTATCGTGACGGTCGAACCTTTAACAAGGTATAGACACAGTCACTAAAGTAACTCCTAAGAAATTCTTTATAATTCTTGTACCTTATGTTCCCTGTAATACTTTCAAGCTTTTCTAGTTGACATTTTTCTTACCACACTTTAACCATAGTCAATGCTTAAACTGACAGATTAATTCTTGGTGATCAACATTCGAAAAGCAATTAATTACTGATACAGTACTATTATTTATTTTTGTTTTTGTTGTATAGATGTTATAGTATGTAGCTTAAACACACTGAAGTTAGGAGTGTTCAACAATATGTAATGTGGTATTTTCCATCACCTTACTCTAGAGTGTGTCAAGTAATTATTGCCATGTTCAGTATTAAATAAAGTAATATGCATACGTTATTACGTAGCAATGGACTAGTTTCTCTTTGATTTATTTGTTTTATTCCTAGTACCGGGGGATCGAGCCTTGCTCCATTGTGGTTAATAGGGTTTAACAGTTAAAATAGAATCGTTATCAGACACATTTCATCATTTACAAAAATAGTTTTATTACAAATCAAAAATATATAATCGCTGAAATAATATTAACTGTGTAATGTTTGTCCAATTAAACCCGTTTCATCTATATAAATAAAGTTAGAGTTTTGTCTGTACATTGCTCAGAATCGTAAATTTTTAGGTTATTTTTACGTTTTATACATTAAAGAAGCCGAAACAAGTCTCATCTAAATTTCTGTCTGTCTGTCTGTCTGTCTGTCTGTCTGTCTGTCTTTCTGTCTTTCTGCAACACTCAAGATGGCATTTTACGCAATCTTCTCCAGGAAAACGAGAGTACCTATCAAGACCCAAGTCATTTTAATGTATTCACTGGATTGGCGAGAGTGTCTTTAGCCATTAAAATATGGCCTCACTACTTTGTAATTAAAATTACGGACTTTCAAAAATGCAGTTTTGTGCGATTTTTGTCAAGTTTTCGTCCAATTTTTATCACATAATCATCTATGAAATAACGAACAGCTGTTCGGATCAAGATTATTTTTTCTAGCTGTCACTGAAATGTTTACAAACACCGCAACCATTTCCGATCACGTTTTGAAGGCAAATCCCATCCAAGTGAGATTAAAAACGTTTTTCTGACATAACGGATTTAATTAATCGCAAGTGGAATAATATAGTGTAATCGTAAATTAAATAACTAGGCATCATCCAGGTCAGGAACCAGACATTCTTTGTGTATAAAATTGTTCTGGAGTTTTGATAACCAGAAAGAAGATATTGAATCAGTGTTGTATAAGGCTGGCAAACTTAAATTTACTAATGATCGTCACCAATAGCTTAGAAACAAGGTTCCACTCATTGACGACTCTTCAATGGCGGTTGTGTAAAGTGTGAAGTAAAAAATCACAACTGCAGAGGGTGATTGTAACAGAGGTTTACGGATGATGCTAAGCTCGATTTTCCAATGTGTCACTTTCTGTTCCTACCATTGACTATATATAGTTAATAGTTCCTACTCACCGTGTGATGCAATCGCTGGACCATACAGCCAATAGGCCCATAGCCCATCTCTTGGGAACGTACTCTTACAGAATTATTTTTATAACAACCTTTTCGACAACGATCCTTGATACCGGTACTTTTCCATAGAATACACGGCCTACCTAGGTACTTAAGAAATAAAATTACAAACGTCCAAAAACCCAACGTTGTGTAATTTTTGTCACATTTCCTTATAATGTTAATAGATATACCAGCAATCATAAATAAATATAAAAAATCCGCTGCCATGGTGATGATTTTAGAGGTTTGAGGAATTGCAGTGCACTGATGTTCTCCAAACGTCGACCAGCGATTTGTCGACACTCCTGCTGAAGATGATTGGCCTGTTGTTGTTAATTATTTATTTTACACGGCCATAAGATCTTAGATTATATTTCTCCTTTTATTCTTTGATGCGCGACTTAGCCGAGGTTTTGAGAAATTTGGTGAGATGTATGAGCTGGTTGGAACTGGCTTAGTTGTAGATAAGGAGGTTAAATTTGTTTCCTGAGGATTGATTGTAGCTTCTCTCCCTTCGGATTATTTATATTCGCTTTCGAGGCCTTCCGCGTTTAATTCTTAATCTTGTAAATTAACATTGAAAACATTTATCAGTTAAATGTATGAAAACCAAACTGAATATAACTACTCTTTAAAACATTTAGTCCAAACAAACCAGTACAGTTATTTTTGTTTACACGCAAATCAAAATGATGACAGTAAAAATAATCTGTATCAGCTGTTTTTGTTAACTTCAGCTACAAAAAGATATTGACGATAACACGGACACTTTCAAGGGCTGAAGGACGGAAAATGGATTTTCCCAGCCTTGTGACCAACTCCAATCGATTTATCGTGGCCAAATACTCCATATTAAATAAAAAATAAAAAATCCTCGGACAGAAAAATGTTTGCCCGTACATGCGCTTGTTTTAGATTATAGTATTCAAGTCTAGTTCATGTCCAGTGACACGGATCGCTAGTGTTGACATTTTATTTCTATTATTTTAGGATTAATTTGATGATTTTTGCTTTACTGTTTTGTTATAAAAGTAGGGGACGAGTTAGTGCTTGATTAAATTGTTTTATTTGGTTAAAAAATGTTTTAAATGACTGAAATATCTAAAAACTAATTGTAAACAAAACATAACCTCTACTGTGCACCGGACAGAACTAACAATAACATTGTCTTCAGCTGATCCACAAGGATGAGAAATCTACTAAGGGAGTATCTTTTATCTCTGCTATTACTGAGGTCTCATGGCAAGACCTAGACCTGGAATAGATTAACTTTTTGGTTTTGTTGTTAGTCTTGTATCCGATATAACAGACGCTGGTACCAAAAGGGTTACTCTGACAGAGTTCTGACTACACGTATATGGTGTGATCAAGCATCTGCTTTAGTGAAAAGAACCTTTTTTATAAACTAAATGTATAATCTTGATTAATCATTTTCAGTACCAAATTGGCTGTATAACCGCAACTGGAGTGGAAATCACCGACCCATTAACAATTGTTGGCAACTGGTCCACTGCAAAGGTCTACTGAGTTGTTAAAATGTTCAAGGTCAGTGTAAAAATGTTGAAACCGTAACTACCAAGTATTTACTCAGTTCAGAATGAATGACTGTATATTGTTCAACAGTACAGTATTAAGGTTTTGTTTGTTTTACGACTCAAAAAAATATTTTCACAAGACAACATATTTGTTCCAACATTTTTTTAAAGCTATATGATAAAAGATAAGGTAAAAAAGATATTATAAAAGATATAAAAGAATTAGGTATAAATAAACCTTCCCACTCCTTCTAGCTCAATTTTGTGTCATGTTACAATGTTGTATTTTTGGGAAGATTCAGTTGATTTTGTGTAAATTAATACAGATGTATTAGTTTGATCTATTAGTTTTAAGTCTTTATTTAACCATTGACAATATGTCCTGTGATTATGATATACTGACATGTAACTCAATAAATAAATTAATATGTAATTATGAATAAGTGAGTAGGCTAGACTATTACAGTAGACTCTTGCTCATACGGACTAATGTGGCGGACGTCCGGTCTGGATTACGGTAAATCTGGACTATCGAGAGTCGAGCAAATACAGTACTGAATATAGCATTTTTTTTTCAATTTTGGCTAGCAGGAGTCCGGACAAGGCCGATCCGGACTAGCGGGAGTCTGGACAAGACCGATCCGAATGAGCGAGAGTCTACTGTAATGAGTTACTAAAGAAGCAATAGATTATCTTTTTATCCAATCACAAATGTTTTATTTTATATACACTGTTTTTTCTCTATTTTTGCAGGTGCTGAGTTTTCTTCAATGATGTTCTTAATACACGTTTTGTCCCTTAATTTTATATTTATAAAATAAATTGTGATGATTGAGTGTTTTGTTTTTGTATTCCCCTTATTACTTTCTGTTTTGAAACAAGTTATGTTAGTCAGTTCAGTTCTACCACAAGATTTGATTTAGACCAAGTACCTGAAAGATTTCTTGATTAGCTGTTTGGTTTTCTTCTCAAAATGTGTGGATACAGTATAAATAACCCGTACCACTTCCATTGAAAAAGAGCTGCACTGAAAAAAGAAAATGTATCACACCAATCAATGGTTTCTTTTAACTTGCCCAGTAATATCTATATTTAAATTCCTTTAATTTTGTGATTGCTCAGAATTATTACCTATTAAGTTTTATTTGCTAAGAAAAAGGTATTATATGAAACTAGTTGATATTTAAAATTTAGGTGTTGCCTCCAGAATCTCCTTGTCTGGAATAAAAAAAAACCTGTTTGGCTTGATAAAAAATTACAATAAAAAAACATTAAAAATCACCAGAGCCTAAACCAAAAGCCCCAAGGTGCCTGGCTGTCAGTCTTTTGTCAATTTCCCCATCCTTTACTGATTGGGGGATACATGAATCTCCAGGATTGAACACTCTTGCTAACTAGACTAGTAGTACAGTGGACTCCTTATCTGGGCACCTCTTAACTGGACTACACTTAACAGATGTAAAATCTCTATAAAACCGACAATTGTTATCAGCACATCGGTGGACTGGATCAGCAAGAAGTGGGCGGTACTGAAACGACCTTTCTCGTGGAAAAGATTTGATTAAGTAAAAATAAAATAGACGAGTTTTAGGGGATGTCGGTTTAACCCTAAAACCTGTTACCAAGACTAGCCTCGGTCCCGAGGAGTCCGGATAAGAGGGAGTCTACCGTACTTGTGCAATATATAGGATAAATTTATCTTACTCTAGCAAGGCGTATAAAAGAAAGTGTGTACATAGCGAGGCGTAAATTCGTCCAGTTTGCGCAGCTATGTGCGAGCTGAAATGTGTTTTTGGTAATGGAGAAAATTCAAAAAATTGTAAATTTAAAATGTCCATGTTATTTTTATGGAGAATATTGTAAAATGTAGTTTGCTTGTTTATGGATAAATTTTGATCAAACTTGGCAAATTTATTTATTTTATACTAAGCTATTATATTAATACTTTATTAAAACATGCTATATTAGTTTCCCTATAGCAGCAAACCTAGGTACTCGTTAAACCTAATTTTTTATTCAAATAGATTTTATTGAAAATCAATTCAGACAAATGGAAATTCACTTAGTCGGCAGGTTTGCTGCGGCTGGGGTATTTTTATTTATCCCTATAAAGACAAGTATTTTCATTATTTTCTAGAAGTGATATTTGTCACGATACACACACATGAATTAAATTGATGAAAATCTGGTACATAGAAAAGTTTACCTTGGTTTTTCATCTATGAATACACATTTCTTCTGTACATAAAAGATAAGTAAATTCCAGATATGCTTCAGATGTTGACAGTTTTAAATTTCAGTGGCACATCTGTTTTTAAACTATTGGGATTTTTCTGATCCACGAACTCCCTTCCATTTTTTTTATTACTTACTTTTGATTACCTTTACAGGTCGCGGCCTGGTAGATTTTTTTTTTTTACTTTATTTAATTTACAATCTGTTCAAGTTGAACAATAAGCAAATTATATAAATAGTAGTACAAAAATAACTTGAAGAACATGAGCTAGTGATTGACCAGAATTGGCAAATTGTAAGTAGTGATGTCTAGCCAGACATCCCATAAGATAACATGGCTGACAGGTGACACCAGCTCATTAATTTGCGTATTCATTTAAATTTATGAAAATAAAAGTATTAATATATTGAAAATAAAACATATAGAATTGAAAACCAACAATATTTAAATTGAAAATGTATTTTTGTACATTTAAAGTGAATTCAATATTTTTATAGCCCAGTAACCATAAGCCTTTGTTTTCTTAAAATGTACAAAAATACCATTAGCTGCCTCCTAAAAAACAGCTGTTACAACCCTAATTGCAATGTTGCCACTTCGAAGGCCACACGGCCTCCAGTTAAAGGGGGCCGTGCTTGTTAGTGACTAAGGCCGACATATTCCTTAGTTTAGGCTGTTAATTAATAGCCTATACAGCCAATGGAAACTATGGGACCTACAGTTTGTACTAGGATCCGAACCTCCTTTTTCCCTTGTAATTTAGCCTAATTATCAGGATAGTACCATAGATTAAACGGCACTTTCCTGTTAAAGGGAACGTTCATTATTATCGATGATTTTTTTTCTCGGTGTATCGATATTAACAAATTGAAACATATCAGCTGACAACTACGAAAATTTTTTTCAGTATCAACAAACATTAATGAAATGAAACTGTTCTAAGAAAATAACCTAACATAACTAACCAAACTTGCTGTGATAGTACTGCGGATAGTCGTAGTTCTCATTAGTGCGGACGTTAGTCCACATCAGGGAGAATCGCATCCACGGTGCATGCCTATTTCTCTACATATAAAAATCCACAATTCAATTCGTGACCTCATAGTAGCTGGAGTACAGGACGACGCCACCGTCCCAATCTATAAATAGTTAGAGGATTTAATAATCAAAGCGCTATAATCGTCTACAGTACTTATCAGCTACATGATTAGAGTAGTTTGACTAGCCTGCTTAGAGAAGAAAAAAAAGTTCAGACAGTTGTCATCTGTCATCTGTCAAACATTTCAGAACAGTACTGTTGCTCAGTTCACCAGTGTCGTCTGCTAAGATGTTCAAGACTGTCCATAATTAGTTTAGGCTATTTAATTTTAATGTAATTTATGTAAAGTTCAGGTTCACACAACCATCCTTTGTTAAGTTTTAAATAAAAATAAATTCTGCATAAGTCCCACCTTTCAGGATTGTATTCAAGTTAATTATCAAAGTGAATTTCAGAGAAGTTTTAACACGTAAATTTGTTACAAGTGTATGAACTTGTGAAAATAAACACAATGAAAATTTACTACACCCTGCTGGTCCAACTTAAATTGCCGTAGTATAATTACTTATCAGAAGTGAAATTGCCTATACAAAATGATACCAGACCATCGCTACTGCAAACAAGATGTTTAACTCCATTGGAATAAAATTGGCTACAGGTGGCTTGCATGTTTTAAGCTTGTGTTAAACATTTTTCATGCTAAGCATGAACACCATCTATTTATGGAAAGGGTCTGCTAAACTTAACGTAATCGGGTTTGAATCAGGCAACCTATGCAAATTTCCTACAAAAATTGGTTGTTTGGGAGAAACACTTGTTCTCTTGGACTCAAATTACACAATATGGTTTGGAACACTGTCTTTAGATTCATCAATACATTTTATGGATTCTGGCATTAAAGCGGTTGATTTTGTTTGTTCAAATAACACTTTATATTATTTAAGCGATGGTGGTCGAGTGTTTAAAGGCCACTCTGAGAATTTAGACAAGTGGACTGAAGTGGTTTTGTTCGAAGAAGGCAAAAGCTGTGCACATGGTCATACAACAAGTAGTCAGCATATATTTGTAAAAAGCGTTGCAGCTGGCAACATGGGGGTACTCTTTCTTTCAGACACTGGTCATTTGTGGGTGTGTGGTGAACATCCACAGTTAGATATCCATAAAGACGATGAACCAACAAAAGTAAGCTTTTTTGAAGGTAGACATATAACTTGTATTAACAGTGGCAAAGACTTTAATGTAGTTCTAACACATAAAAGAGAGAGCGGTGTTTGTCCAACATATCACGAAGATCAAAAGAGTGACGATGGAAATGCTTTTTCGGCTGCTTGTCCTCAGTGTCTTAGTGAAAATATTATTTCACCTTTATCACCACAGACATGTTTCGATTCTTGTCCGTTAGGACTCCCATTAACAAACAACACACCTAGTCCCTCAACCCCAACCAGTAAAAATAATACCTTAAATAGTGAAGATAGAAACAACGACATTGATAATACCTCCTCTTCAACAGAAGAAGATTCTTGCTCCCTCATAAGAGATGATCATTCTTTATCTGAAGCTAAAGAAGATGAAGATAGTATTAGTGTTATTGTGGAAAAAGGTGATGGAATGGGCCTCCTTCATATAAATACAGAATCAGCTCGCCAGTTTCTAACTAGGCAGCTTTCTTGGATGTCTTCCGGAGGTGAAGAACTATTGGCTGAGGTTTCAGTTCCAACTAAGATTATCAAACAGAATGTCTCAACAGTGGCAAGCTTTGTTTATGAAGGTGTAAAAACTGTTGGAGATAAAGTAGTCACTTTATCGAGGCACATGAGCGGTGGATCAGACAATAACAGTGATTCGTTCGATGATTTTGCAACTGATGACTTCAATTTGTCACATGCAAGCAACACTTCCAGTGTTAAGTAAGAGCATCTATATATTTCTAACTTAGTTAATCATACTAGATCATGTCTTTTACTTATTATTAAGTGGTTTGTATGTCTTTTACTTATTAAGTAGGTAGTTTTTCTTGTAGTCAACAGAAGGTTAACTTTACTGAGAAAAGATATTAACTGGACCCAGCTGACCTTGATCATTGGTAATTTAATAAATAATTTATGCTTAAGCACGGGTAAAACTAGGCTGGCATCAATTGAAAGAAGCCGCTACTGTCAGTTTAATGTTACCACAAAAGTCGCAGCTGGCACCGCCAGCCGGCGAGTATTTGTCAGCGGCTGGCAAAGTCGGAGGTACTTTGGTATTATCCAGAGGCCACCTTTATGCAGCACGCTGTGGCAGTTATGTTAGGTTGGGTTATCATAAATGGACAAAACATACTTTAATTGACTTACTGTCCATATTTGACATGATATAAGATTACAATTAATGGCCTTTGAGTTCTGCCTCCCAGTAGGCAGCAATGTCGGCGAGGATAGAGTCGAATGTGTCGCCGCCACGAGCTGCCACACCAGATACAGGCGGTGACAGATAATGCGCACGCTCCGGTCAACGACCTCACCTTGGCCTACTTGAGGGGGATTTGGCAAGCGAAAGTATGACTCATCTGGTATTGTTTGATTCATAATGAATCAAGGAAAGTCCTACAAACATATTTATGATAACACAACATAACATAACCGCCAAAGCGCTGTATAAGGGTGGCCTCCGGATAATACCAAAGTACCAAGTCGGACATGTTCAACATTTGGTAGCGAGGCAGCAGCCACTAGAGTTCACGTGATCATTCGCTGACGCCAGCCACCAGCGTAGTCTGACCACCTAGCGTGCCAGCAGCGACCAAAAGTAATTTTCAACTTGGTTTTAAATACACAAAAGCGCCTGTCTCTTTTTTTCAAGAAAGGTTTAAAACTAATTCTAGCAATTGAGAGAATATATGTAGTGACATTCGTAAAACAGTTTTGTATGTTTCTGATTTTTTCCCCAACCGACTTGAAGAAGTCTTAACCGTTCCTTTTTTTTGTATAATGGCCTGGCTCACTAACGCCTCTTCTTGCGGTTAAGCATTTTAAAATAAAGTTCCTTCTCTTCCACTCACATCCTCAATAATCGATTATGTAGGTTTGAGGACCCACAGACGACATGATGACAAGAACTGCGCTTTAAACTAAGCTATTAAAATTTGTGTAGCGTAGAAATAACTGAGCTTAAGTGGTCGTGGAGGCAGTGAGTCGTTGCAAAACCTCATAGCTGGTCTTTCTTACACATCCTCAATAATCACTTTAAAAGTATCCGTTACGAGGTCCCACGGACGCTTATCATCAGCAGCTGGCGAGTAGCCTAATGTGACTCGTGCTTTAGAAGCTGATCTTGGTTAGTAGGCCAACAAGGCCATTTATAATATTCATTCAACACCCAGCCTTGTTTTAAAATACATAACTTGGTGTTCGGTGTTGCATGAATCTAATCTAATCTGATCCAAAATGTGCCAGAAATTGTGACAGGTCTCAATGCACTCTCTGACCTCTTACATTCAATTCTACATGTGACATTGAAGTGCTGAATCAGTCATACATGTTTAGTTACTATTATCTGTTTACTGTATCTGATTAAGTTACTGATAGAGGCAGCCTATCTGACAAACATTTATGCATTGTAGTAAGTTATTTCTATTGATTTGTAAAAATAGAAAATTAAAACAGAAGGCGAATGATATGTTTGAAACAGTTAATAGGTGAATAGAAAAATATCAGGCGAACCAGCATGATCAGACCATGGGAACGGGGTTTTACAGGGGGTTTTATGGGGTAAAGATGGTTTCTTTTCTAATTTTTGACATTCAGAATACAAAATTTACCAATTTATGTCTAGACCTTATTAGAGAGCTTTAAAAATAAATAATTTAGTATAATCAAAGTGTTTTTGTACGGTTATTGGTAGGCCTAAAAGAGAAAATTAAAAATTTCCATTTTATTTTTATGGAGAATATTGTAAAACTAGCTAGCCCGACAGAATCTGTCCTGTCCTAATGTGGGTTTATGTCAAATGCTCGTTCATTTTCAAGATGAGCTCGTTTGCATGGCTCAATCACATCCTGGTTGAAGTTCGTTCGCTACGCTCACTCACCTTTAGGTTGGAGCTCGTTCGCTGCGCTCACTTGCCTTCAGGTAAGCTCGTTCGCTACGCTAACTCGCCTACAGGTTGAAGTTCGTTCGCTACGCTCACTCACCTTTTGGTTGCAAATTAGCTGTTGTCATAAATTAAAAAAAATAATAGTGCTGCACCCTGTTGGTAAACCTAGGCTATTAACTTTTTAATGCTATTGAACATCACAGAATTAAATTGTTTAGTTGGACCAGCTGTTAAGATTCTTTAATTCCATTTAAATATGAGTACTCATAAGGTTAACATGGGAAACTCCAGAGCCACTGAGCCCTTTTGTAGGATATGCACCAAATTTCACAAAAACCATCCTTGAGTAATGCTTAATAATGCCTGAAAGTTTCATTACAATCTGTCAAGCGGTTTCGGAGTCCGTAAAGGACAAACAAACAAACAGACAAACAAACAAACATACAATGGATTATATCTAATATATAAAATTCTCGTGTCACAGTGTTTGTCTGCAAACTCCTCCGGAACGACTTCACCGATCGTTATGAAATTTGGTGTGTAAATTCTGTAGGTATGCGAATCGGACGTAAACTATTTCCCGTTTCGAAATTCTTAAAAGGGCTCCGCCCCAGTGGCTCTGGAGTTTCCCATGTTAACCTTATGAGAAATGGAATTAATGAATCTTAACAGCTGTTTCAATTAAACAAGTTGGTTCTGTTCTATGATGTTCAATAGCATTAAAGTTACAAGGATTACCAACAGGGTGCAGCACTATTATTTCTTTTACATTTATGACAACAGCTAATTTGCAACCAAAAGGTGAGTGAGCGTAGCGAACGAACTTCAACCTGGAGGCGAGTTAGCGTAGCGAACGAGCTAACCTGAAGGCAAGTGAGCGCAGCGAACGAGCTCCAACCTAAAGGTGAGTGAGCGTAGCGAATGAGCTCCAACCCAAAGGTGAGTGAGCGTAGCGAACGAACTTCAACCAGGACGTGATTGAGCGATGCGAACGAGATCATCTTGAAAATTAAACGTAACGGTACTTTCTTTCCATCGGTCTGTCTTAGGGGAAACCTATAACTTAGGCGATACGAAGTTCGCCGGGTCAGCTAGTATATATATATATATAGAGAGAGAGATGTTGTATTTTGCATGCTTATGAATATATTTTGACTAAACTTGCCAGATAAATTTATTTTTTACTAAGCTATTAATTAATACTTTACTAAAAAACACACTTTATTAGTTTCCTTTAGCAGCAAGCCTAGTTACTCATTAAGCGTAATGTTATTTAAATAGATTTAATTGAAAATCAATTCAGACCAATGGAAATTCGCCTAGTCGGCAGGTTTGCTGCGGCTGGGGTATTTTAGTCACCATTAGTCACACTGCTAAATAATATAATGACAACTAAATTGTACAAATCGGTTGAGTAGGACCGCTGAAAACGGGATGTAATAGGGAAAACCCTTATTGTATTAAGTAGGGCCTGTATAGAAAAGTGTTTACTGGCAGAAATGAGTTTTCAAATTTTGTTCAAACATTAAACATAATTTTAAACAGAAATATGAATAACCAAAAAGTAGGCCTAGGCCTATCAAATTAAAAAAAAATATCTTCCCTCCTACCACGGGTACATAAGAATAAATATATAACAAATATCAAATATAGCAGGGTTTGAATTTGTTTATGTTTATGATCCATACGGGTATTTTTCTAGTATTCGTGTTTGATACTAACATTCTGGTTTACAACAGCTATGGCCATAAAATTTTCATTTTGTTAATAATTTTGCCGGGATACTGATGTTTTTAGACGTAGCCTACAGAATAAGTGAGATGTTTTGTGTGGCAGATGTGAATGGTCCTGCAGTGGAGGATGTAGTGAAGTCTCGGACCGAGGCACAGTGGAGCGTTTGGCGCAGATATTGGCCCGAGGAGCTCGATTGGTCAAAACTGAAGTGTGGACTTGGGGCGGCGTACAGCACGGCCAACTTGGCACCGGCGACATGGTCAAGCGGCACAGGTGAATCTGAATTTTCTTATTTTTACTTTTGGTGACTAGTGGTACTGTACTAGTTGGCTATAGGTTGGCAGACCTTTAGTGACAACATGTACCGGTGCAGGACTGGAGCAGAAAATGCATAGTTCTGGGAGACCGGTGAGTTTACCGGAGCTCAACCTCCACAACCACTCCAATGAACTTTGAACTTTGACTAAAATGTCACTGGCGTAGGAAAAGCCAAATAACCCCCAAAAATACCATAGCAGATGACGGGGATTTAGGAGCTTTTTATCATCCACTCATTCCCATCCAATTTGTACCGTAAACCGGTGATTAACCATTCTGGGAGCAGAAGACTCTTGTCCCGGGGCGGTAAGGAAGTAAGTCACCGGTGCATGTTCCTAGAACACAGTCAATGATTCCTAGTATATATTTTAGGTAAAAGTCTCGTTAGTGATAGTTGCAAGTAGGCCTATGCAGGGGCTGGTAGACCTGTAGTAATGACAATTCTTAGTAAAATTCAATTGCAGGCCTGTGGTGGTAATGATAAAAAGTGTGTATTGGTTGGTGAACCTGTGATGGTAATAATAAGACATGTGTATGGTTGGCAGGCCTGTGGTAGTCAATCAGCTGATGTGGAGTGGTGTAGACCGGGTGGTGTGTGGTGACCATCATTGTTTGGCAATCACATTGGCAGGTGTATGTCACAGCTGGGGTGCCAATGAAGTCGGCCAGGTAACCAAATCTTTGCAATTATCTTGCTTAATCTTACTTAGTTGTGGTAGTTTGTAGCTTACCTTTTGTAACTTGTTAGTCATTGTCGTCCTAATTGCCATTTCTTTAGTGCTGCAGATATGCAAGGAATAACCCATTCATTCCCAAATCTCAGTATATTTTGTGTTTCAACCCAAGTCAATAGACTTCAGGTGTTGTAACAGTCATCACTGTTGGTCAGGTTGACAGCTCGTTGCAAGGGCAGGACCAGAGCAGTCCCAGGTCGTGGGGCCGAGTTGTTGACGTTGCTGCCGGAGCTAGACACTCCGTTCTCATCGCCAGCGATCACAGATTACACTGGATTGGCAAATATAAGTGAGTAGTAAATGATACAAATTATATTTTCTAAAATCACCCTATTATAAAATATTTATTTGCTCATCTAGAGTTGACTTATGTCCATAAAAATTAGGTAAGCCACAATTTTTTATTGTTGAAACAAAATTTAAAACAAAGAAGTAAATATAAAATATTCCCCAAATTAGTAGATAATTTGGTACCTAAACATCTATATATCTAATTCCGTAAGCCCAAAATTTTTCAATGAAATTGTGAGCGAACGGGAGGCTGTAGAATGCTGGGAGAGGTCTCATTTTAACCCTCCCAGTGTTACTTGACGAAAATTCGACAAGCAGCACACTTTGTGTAGTGTTACTTGTCGATTTTTCGACACGCAGACATCGTTTACGGCGAAGGCTCTATGACTGACTGAATCGGATTGAACTGGATCGAGTTAGGTATCGTTCTTTCCGTAATATTCTAAGCTTTCTCCAGAGGTCTGTCTCTAAGCGCTATTCATTTTAGTTCCGAAAATGTTGTAGCAGACAGCTGACGTGCGTGTATTTGTAAACAGCTAGGTTCCCCCGGACCGATGACTGATGTGTTTTATTACGTTTATCATTGTTTTAGTGTTAAAAATCAAAAGTAGTGATATACGTGGTGCATTATAAGAAGATTTAAGTGGTTTTGAAGTGCTGGTTGATGATCCTGAAGAAGTAGGTAGTGATATTGATGTAAATTATCAGCCAGATTCCTAGCTATGGTTAGGCTATGCATTCTTAGCTAAATGCTATGTACTGAAATCAGTTTTTTGCCCATAACTTATTTATTTGCAAATATACTTCCTTATATTATTATATATTTGTAATCCTCATAATATTTAGAACAAAGTGGCTATTTTCAAATATTTATAGGCCTATAATTTATACAATTTCATTGAGCGCGAACTTATTTTTTTTTTTTTAATTTTCGAAATTATATTTTTTTTACCTAAAAATTTTTTTTTTGAAAAAATGTTCCTTATGTTTTATATATAATATTGAAGCCCATGATTTTCCAAACAAAATGGTATATAGAACATTAGAATTAACATTGTTTTAAGCTTCTCAGATCCGTTTTAATAAAACCTTGCAAATGCGCCAAAAATAGGTGGACATTAAGGCCTAAACTATGGACACTTGGAGGGTTAAAGGTCTCGGCATGAAATTTTGGGGAAAATTATTCATTTTTCTTAATTATGCACCAAAAGGTTGTTACGGAATAATATAATTCACATTTAAATAGCATGGGAATCTAATTTAATGTATTTTTATTTAGTGTAAACACAGCTGAGATTAAAAAAATTATAACCACACCTGAATGTGCATTATTTTGTTATTCAAAGTAAACATTTGATAAAATCTTTTGAACAAACAATTTGCTACTTTTAAACTTAATACTTTACAATGTATTGTTTTTTGCACAGTAATAATGTAGACCAACATGCAGAGGTACCTATCGTTCCTCGAAATAAGAACATTAATAGAAGAAGAATAAATGAGCATCGGATGAACATGAAGTAGTGTATAGATTACCACTTTGATTTGGTGAAATTGTGGTGCAAGGCCGAACCTTCACAAAAGTTGGCATTTATTTGAAAAACCCAGGTTTACCTTGGGTTTACCCATGGTCAACTTAATGTTGCCGGGTAAAGCGGCCAGATGATGTTAAAATAGTACTGGAACCAAATAAAGATCAAGGAATCAACCAAAAAGGATACTATACAACAAATGTTGTTTTCAGAGATATTTTGTTAGTAGCATTTTACAATTACGATTTGGATGATGACATTATCTCTATGTGTTTTTCTAAGTGAATTTGCCTATATTCAAAGAAAACTCTATATAGATATAAATAATAGTAGGTAGTGAAGATTATTATTAGAAAATGTTACTTAGTTGTATTATGATTAGAAAGTTTATGTTATAAACACACTTTATGTCCTTTGGAATTTTTATTTTAAACAGAACGGACATCAAAATGCATTTTGCACAGTTATAAACAAAAATGTTAAACGATAATTCAAGGTAGGGTAACCCCTTGGGGGGGTAACCCATGAGGCTAATAATTTGTAGAAAATATATACTAGAATATATATAGGGGCTATTGCCCCTGCAAGCCACTAGTTTGATCAAATGGAGGATTTATAAAATATATACTCTTGGAATAGTCACTCACAAACTAGGAGAACTTATCAATTGTACAATTATTGTTTGTATCAATCCAGTGACGGATCCAGGCTTTTTGTGGCCATGGGCAATAGACTTTCTTTGACAGGGACCTACTAACTGGGTGGTTCAGGGAGTATGGGATACCCCCCAGGTAACTGAGGTCCTCCCCTGGGATTTTTTGAAAAATATTTCCCTTAAATGTGTTTTTGAGGCTTTTTAAAACTAGTAAGCTGTGTTTGATTAACTTATAAAACTGACCTTACTTGTGTACTATTATAGTATTTTCTAATGTACTAAAAAATTAACAGCCTGAAAATTTGATCAGTTAGCACTATAGGTAGGTAGTAGGCATTGACTGAAAATAAATATTTTAAGGGCCTCACACTTTTAACCGACCAACCCAACCAGCGTATTGTTAGGTCAGGGCCGCGGGGCCCTAGCGGGTGCCCGGCTCGCCTGGATTTGGATCCGCCACTGTAATCAATCAATATGTACACTAACACTAAATATTATAGTTATCTCTATCAATAAGTAGTACTCGCTAAACACAAAAAGTTTCTCATATATGCGATTCACAGAATATATATTTTTCAATATCCGGATGTAGCCAATTCATATCCGGATATTCATTTTTTATATGTAATTAATACCAATGCACACTTTTTTTTTATTGATCTATTCTGAAAGTAATCTATAAGTATAAAAGAGGATGTTGGTTTGTATATTTGTATATACAGCGTGACAATTAAGTCTAAAGAAACGAACAGTGAGATCATAACCAAATTTGGCATGTATAAACCAGTAATAGTAAGCTACTTTTTTGTGTACATGGTGATTATATGTCACGTATGGGGGACAGCCCATGGCGAGTAAGCTGAAAATCTTAAAGGTAAGTATAGATTGGTATGTACATCTTAAAATTAAAGGTCTTGATAAACTGAAAGCAATGCCGCAAACTGGACCTCAAATGGACAATCAAGTCAAAAATGATCGCTGTTCAAAGATTCATTGGATTTGCAATGCTATTATACGCACATTAAACGCTACCTGTTCAGGGGGGCCTCCGCTAGAAGACGGTTGTCCATTTGAAGTCTGGTTTGCAGCATTGTTTTTAGTTCAACAAGACCTTTGAATTGATGTACATATGAACCTATGCTTACATTTAAACTTTTTCAATTTACTCCCTATGGGTTGACCCCCATAGTTGACACAATTACCAGTAATGATATGCCAAATTTGGATGTGATATCTATTTTCGTTTTAAAAGTTATAAAATCGTCCTAAGACTTAATTGTCACCTTCTATATTTGGCAGGGATAAACTCAGACACCGCTGGACCAATGGTCAGGAAACTTGGTATACATGTAGAAATTTATGAAGTAGGTTTATACACCATTGATTTCGTGATAACTTTCAGGGCTAAGCCCTGGATTGTCTTAAAGGTACCCATGTCAGGGATTTAGAAAGAATTTTAGTTAGATTTGTTTACTAACAAAACATATGAAAGTAAAATTTAAAATAAAAAAGGTGATGAAAATTAATGGTATGTTGATCATTCTGCTTTAATTGTATTTATTTATATAAAGAATTTGATTCTTGGCCCCCATTGCGATTGCAGAGCAAGAATATAACTGCAATTATGTATATTTTAAATGTAGGCCTACACTATATAAAATGCTGGAACTGTATACAATTACTGATAGCAGGCATATTCCCTGATGCGAAGCACGGAGACGACAACTAGTTATTTCTAATCATGTTTTGTCATTGAAACTTGTTTGAACATATGATCATGCATGCCTCAATATCAGATTAAATATTTTTCCCAGCAAATTATTGTTATCAGTTCAAATCAAAGTGATTTACTGATTATGCATCTTCACTTAATGTACCACCATTTAAATTGTAATGCTTTTAGGTAATTGTAAATCTACCTTTTCTGAGTTGTTAATATTTAAATAGTACATATATTTATCTATTAATAGGCTGAATTAAAGCAATCAAATTTATAAATAACTTACTGTCTCCAAAAACATGCTTTCTGGAGGTTGTAAGTGATGAGTCATTGTTCTGTAGTTAGCAGAAGTGACAGAAGCAGATAAACTATCTTGTGTTTAATGTCTGTGTCTGGACATTTGTGTTATTCATGTTGTGTAGGCTACTAGGTAAATGATTAGTGTTTGACGATAGTTGGATTTTATTTTGAGTTTTAAATTTCTATTTTACTTTCTCTTAATGTGTTAATTACAATCAAATCTCCATAATGACTGAGTGGTTCTGTGATATTTTGTAAGGCTCATTACAATACTTTGTCTTAGTTCATACAAAGTTAAATGAATTTTAATGTTACAATATAATATTTTTGATTAATATGAGAGATTTATGGGATGAAATTGGTTTTCCCATTTTTGACCCAAAAACATAAAATTTAGCAATTTCTTTCCAAAACATTTTGTAGACCTTAAAAAACAAATAATTTAGTTTCTTGAAGCGTTATTATGTGCCTAGTGGTTATGAAGAAAATTCCAATTTAAATTTAATATTCCCATGTTACTCTTATGAAGAATAAGTAGGTAAACACAGTTGTAGTTTTCTTGATTATGAATATAATTTGATAACATTTTGAAAACACATTTATTTCATATCATACTTAACTATTAACATAAAAAAACATGTTTTTACGCTATCTGCAGCAAACCTAAGTACTCATTAAACTAATGCTATTCAAACAGAGCAAGGAGACATTTTAGTGTAGATCCAATCAGGCAAAAGGAAATTCACTTAGTCTGCAGCTTTGCTGCGGCGGGAGTATTTTATTTGTCCCAAGAATAGTTTTAGGTTATTTTATGTATGCAAGTAAATTCCTAAACTTTCTTTTAATTCTGTATATTGTAGAAAAAAACTTAACGTGGTTCAATTGTAAACAGTCTACCAAAAAAAAATAACATTATTAAGTTATTATATTCATATTAAGTTTAAAAATGATTTAAACCATTAACAACTGTATTTGTGTTTTTGTACACCATTAATATTTTATACCTTTTTTTGTAAGGAGTAGGTCCAAACCCTTGTCCTATTCTAACGTCAACCTTTACAGGTCCAAACTGAAATGTTACTATCTCTCAAATTTTGACTCGTTACTATTATTTTTTAACGGAGAGTAAATAAACGATTTAGAAGTTATTATTTTTTTGTTCGGCCTGGAGATCCTCTTCGGCTAGACTGCGGGAGTTTTTATTGTCATTAGACACTAGGCAAGAGCCCTGAATTGTTTTACACATTACTTCAGGCTAAACCTAGGGGTTGCGGCATTATCACTTAGATAAAATTTATTGGTGATTTAGCGGGATTTGAACCCGGGACTTCAGGGACCGAAGTCAATTATTTAAGATGAGGACGCCACTAGCTCACTCCCCGGAGAGTAGTCACTGCAGTGTTTGTAGTTGATGCACATGTTAAATCCTCTGTTCCAGAGAGGAGATGCCGGAGATAGAGTTGCCACCGGGTCAGATCCCTCTCCATGTTTTATGCTCCGGGGAATACTCTTGTATCATAGCCGGATCACTCGACAGGCAAGTATCAACTGCAACAAACCTATCTTATACTAAAAGTATTTTGTTGAAGCAGGTTTAGGAAAAGAACCCACTATAGATGAGAACACGAAAATCATTAAAAACAGAGACCCTGGTGACATGTTACATAATTTTTCATAAAGTTATATAATAAAGTTAGATAATAATAACTACCTTACTCTTCCGTTGGAAATTCACAGTCAACAAGTTTTCAAATTTAGGCCTTCTCTGAAAGAAATTTGGAATTTTATAACCTCTAATGGGAGAATTTTAAAATAAATTTTGCAGATGTAATTTTTAAATATGTAACTTCACACTTTTAATATGCAGCTGTAATTTCACACAAAAGTGGCTTCATCCTCACCACAATACATTTAACTGTGTAACAACATTCTTTTCCTACAGTCACCCGACAAAGTTGGCTTCCTTGTACTGTTTATAGTACAGAAAGCTGCTAATTGCTGCATATATATACTTTGTCGTACGGTTTATACTTTGTCGTACGGTTTATACTTTGTCGTACGGTTTATACTTTGGCGCACATCAGGATTCCACCGAAACAACCCAAAACAGCGTGGTTCTATTATGCACGTAATCCGTGTACGCATGGAAATAGGTTAGCAACACTTAAAGATAATAATACTATGAGCAGCTGATTGACTATTATAACTACGATTTAACCTGTCATTTCTTGTTTATAGTTTATGTTTTCTTTCCAGTATTTCTGAACTTTCTGGACTTTTCTTTTAAACGTTTTTAAAACATTCCTACGATCTTAATAAACAAGAAAATACCTTTAAAGCAAACGTGTTGTATAGTGTTTGAAAGACTAATTATTTATATGCTTTATAGTGACTGTAGGAAAAATATAATGTGTAACACGAGTGCAAAAGGCCTTTGCTGCACTCGAGATCATTCCGCACGAGCCGCAGGCTCATGCTAAGCATTGCTCTCGTGTGCAGCAAAGTGCCACTTTGCTCACTAGTTACACAAATAACTATTTTGCTCAAAAATTTAAAGAAGTTAAATTGTCTAGGAATAGGAATACATATTATTTTAGAGTTGAACATTTTTTACACTAAACACGTTGTATTATTAGGAGGGGTAAAAATGTAAAGACAATAGACAATAGACAATAGACAAATAATCTTTATTTACACATTCATTAAGAATAGTAGTAGCGTCAATTTACAATTTTTCCTAAATGTTTGGTTGAGGTGTTGTTTGGTCAAAGACCTGTTGATGGTATTCTTCTAAGGAATAGAAAGGTCGATTAATGAGCCATTGATGCAAAGCTGGTTTGAGGTCATCTTCTGACTTGCTTCTTAGATCTGGAGGTAGCCTGTTGTAGATTTTCATTCCTGCGTATGAAGGTTTCTTTTCAAACTGTGCCGTGCGATGTTGTGGAAGGTTGTACTGCATGGTGTTTCTCAGGTTGTGTTGGTGCATTTCGCCACGCCTTGTAGGGTTATTTCTTACTGCAAATAACACAACTTCCTGGATGTAGAGTGCTACAAGGGTAAGTACTTTGAGTGACCTGAATGCTTCCCTGCAGCTGTCGAGTCTGTGGAGTCCTGCAGTTATTCTGACTGCCTTTTTTTGTTTTCTGAGAACTCTTTGCATGTTAGTGGCAGAGGTTCCACCCCATGCTACAAGTCCATATCTCATATGCGACTCGAAAAGTGCAAAGTATGCTACTTTTGTTGTCATGTCATCTGTTGCATTTTTTATATGTTTAAGAGCATAGATGGTTGAACTTAATTTTTTACATATATTGTCCACATGAGGGGTCCAGGTTAAATTCTTGTCGAGTGTGATGCCCAAAAACTTAGCTTCATCTTCCACTTCTACATCTGGGAGTCGTGGCACTTCTTGAGATTTACGGCCAAAAGCTATTTGAGTTGTTTTAGACGTGTTTACTGCGAGATCATTGTTATAGCAGTATTGGTAGGCCATACTGAGTGACACATAGGATTTTACTTCTAGATTTTCAGCTAGTGGTTCATTAAACACTAAGGTTGTGTCATCAGCATACATAAGAGTAAGGCAGGCGTCTCCTATTTGTTGCGGCAAATCGTTGGTAAAAAGAATAAACAGTACCGGACCCATAACTGAACCTTGGGGAACTCCTCGATTTATTGGTTGAAAATTTGATCTTGTTTTTCTTATTAGGCTGTTATCTCTGTGCCTTAGTTCTACAAACTGACTCCTGTCTGTAAGGTAGCTTTGAAACCATTCTCTTACTATCCCTGATACCCCCAGGGAATCCAGCTTTTTAATGATTAGCTGGTGGTCAAGGCAGTCAAATGCCTTACTGAAATCAAGAAAGATTCCTGTTGTTAGATTTCCTTCATCTAGGCTGTCAATCAGGGACTCAACCATCTGAATTATTGCTGTTGTTGTGGATTTCCCTTTTGTAAATCCATGTTGAAGGTTGTTTAGTAGGTTGTGATTTGTGCAGTGGTCTAAAAGTCTTTTTAAAACAACTTTTTCGTATATTTTGGAGAAGGTGGAAACGAGGGAAATTGGTCTGTAGTTGCTTGCTTCTAATGTGCTACCTTTTAGCGAATTTCCCATATAGGGAATAAGCTATTACCGTAGTACTCATGGTAAGACCTGGACCCGGGACCGATTTTTTTTTTCGTTTTGCGGTCCCTAGAGACCAAAAACACCATCCGTTCAAATTCATATGTATATATATATTTATATATATATATATATATATATATATTTATATATATATATATATATATATGTGTCCGTTAGCGCGATAACTCGAGCAAAAATGATCCGATTTTGATTAAATTTGGTACAAACGTGTAAACCTACGTTTATTCGAACGAGTTCGCAAACCAGCATGATCGGACCATGGGAACGGGGGTTTATGGGGGCTTTTATGGGGTAAAAATGGGTTTTTCCAACTTTTGACCCTCAAAACACAAAAAAATGTTGCAATTTCTTTCCAAACTATTTTGTAGAGCTTAAAAAAACAAATAATTTAGTATATTGAAGCGTTATAATGCGTCTAATGGTTATGGAGAAAATTCCAAAAAATTGTTAATTTAAAATTCCCATGTTATTCTTATGGAGAATAAGTAAACTGTTGTAGTTTGCTTGTTTATTAACATATTTTGCCCAAATTTGGAAAATGCATTCAATTCATACTAAACTATTAACATTTTACAAAAAAAACTAACTTTTTACCCTCCCTGTTGCAGCAAACCTAAGTAGTCGTTAAACTAATGCTATTTAAAGGGAATAAATGTGATATTTTTAAGGAGACATTTTAGTGTAAATCCAATCAGGCAAATGGAAATTCGCTTAGTCTGCAGGTTTGCTGCGGCGGGGGTATTTTAAATTTCGGGTATACTTTAGTTATTTTAAGTAGTGAAGGAAAGATGCCTTGTTTTAGGGACTTATTTATCAAATCAGCCAATGGTAGTGCTAGTTCATTGCAGCAATGCTTAAGTATTTTTGACGAGATTTCATCAATTCCAGACGAGTTTTTTGCTTTAAGTTTGTTTATAATCATTTTAACTTCCTTCTCGTCTGTGCTTTGAAAGGAGGAAAACAGTGGACCTGTTTGAGTTACGTCAGGAGTTTGAGCTGTGGTCTTTAGGTGTTTTTGTTTCTCTACTGTTTTTTCTCCTACTTGTGTAAAAAATGTATTCAAATGCTCTGCAACATGGGTCACATTACTTATGAGTTGGCCATCTACTTGAAGGGTTATTTCATTTAGGGATGTTTCCTTTTTGGACCACACTGTGTTTATTGTTTCCCAGATAGCTTTAGATTTATTTTCAGCTTTCATCAACTGGTCAGAGTTAACCTTTTTCCGCATCGTTTTCAAGTACAGGTCATAGTTCTTTTTATTTTCAATAGAAACCCTTCTGTCATCTGGATTTCCTGTCACCTCAAACTTTCTTAGAGCTTTAAGAAATTCGGCTTTAAGTCTCACTGCTTCTGGGTCCATGGAGAATTTTAGTTTATGTTTTCTTTGTATTTTTATCTTCTTTTGGGGGCAGGCTGCATCCATAGCTACTCTCACTATGTTACTAAAAGTTTTAAAAGCTTCTTCGGCATTGTTTATTGAGGTAACACTAAGCCAGTTTTCTTGACTGAGAAGATACTTGAGGTCTTGCAGGTTTTTATTTTTTAGACAGCGTCCAATTTGGGCAGGATAACTTGAGTTGATGTGTGAGTTGAAGTTTACAGTACAGAGTTGAGCAGTATGATCCGAAAGTCCTGCATTGATGATTTCTGGAGTGAGTTGGTTTGTGTCCATATTTGTACATATCCAGTCAATGGAGGTTTGTGTTAGATTTGTTATTCTCGTAGGTGGAAGCTGTAGTCTCTGGATGTTGTGCATAGCAAGAGTTTCATTTAAGATAATGTGTTTCCTGTTTGGGTTACACAAATCAACGTTAATATCTCCCATGATGATAAGAGGGGAATTTTCAATTTTTGTTTCCTCAATTAGTTCTGTAAAGGTGTTTAATGATTCCTCAAGGTCTCCGTTTGGGGGTCTGTAGGTTCCCAGTACAAACAGATTTGAGTTCTTGAATTTTATTTTTATAAGAGCTGCTTCAAATAACAGTTCTTTACAGTACTTGGAAACATCTATGGCTACTGTGCTGCTCTCAAGGCTTTCTTTTACAAGAATGCAAACACCTCCTTTTCTGTGTTCTATTCTACTATAGTGAGCCTTGAGGCAGAATCCAGTAGCTATGACGGTGCTACTTATTGTCTCAGGTTTCAGTCCATGTTCTGTCAGAATTACTATGTCAGGTTTGGTTTCTTCTAAAAGGTGCTGTAGTCTATTTATTTTATTTGAGACTTCCTGTGTATTTTGGTGCAGCAGGATGAGTTTGGAGTTTACATCCTGACTCGATTGTCTAAAAAACAGTCAGGTTGCGTTTCTCTTGTCTCTGCTGATTTTTGCAGTTTTCTTAAAGTAAAATCAGGCTGCGTTGGAATAATCTGAGAAGGTGAGGAAAAAACAAAGTTATTATCCTGTAGCGATGCAGCCTCCCTTTTTACTAAATATCCATAATGCTTCTTCATATGTTCTGAATAAAATCCTATATTTTTTACAAAGAAATCATTGTAATCCTCGTCTTTGCTCTTTGGCTTAGCATTTAGGGGTGGAAGTTTATTTTTATTTTTAGTCTCTTTCAGGCTTTCTTGAGCTTTTACTGTTTGTGACACTTGTGACAGTTTTTGTGGCGGGGTTTGGCTGGTTCCCCCTGTTGATACTTGTTCCGTTGAGGTCTCAGATGACAGTTTTTTCGTAGGAGTTTGTCTGACTCTCCCTGTTGCAGTTTCTGTTGGCAGTTTTTTAGTAGGAGTTTGTCTGACTCTCCCTGTTGTAGTCTCGGTTGGCAGTTTTTTAGTAGGAGTTTGTCTGACTCTCCCTGTTGTAGTCTCGGTTGGCAGTTTTTTAGTAGGAGTTTGTCTGACTCTCCCGGTTGTTGTTTCAGTTTGCAGTTTTTTCGTTGGAGTTTGTCTGGCTCTCCACGTTGTGTTTTTGAAGGTTTTGCCGGTTATTTCTCGGCAGTCAGTAGCAAGTTTGTGATTTGTTTGTTCTAGGTATTTAGCATTTTGCAGGGATACGCTGAATATGTTAGTTCTGTTATGATTTCTTTGAGCCCTTTTATTTTTTAATGAACTTGGTGTTGGAATGGAAGGATTTGTATGAGTTGTCGGAGAAATGGTGTTAGAAATCTCTTTGTTCATCTGCATTTTCAGGGTGTTAATGACGTGTTCCATTTGATTTTGTTTCATTTTAATTTGAGCAAGTTCAGCTAAGAGGAAAGGACTGTGACCAGCTATACATTGATGGGTCTGGGCTACAGCAGGCTTTGTACTAACCAGATTTTCCTCTTTTTCATCCAGCTGAACTTCATTGTGTTTTTGTGTCAGATCTTTTATGTTCTGTTTAAGTTGTTGAGTTTCTTGTTCATATTTTTTTAATGTGTCTTCTTTTTCCTTGTCCAATTCTTCAAAGGTGTGTTCTAAGTCTCTGCGAAGCATCTTCTCATTGTCGAGCTGTTTTTCAAGATTATTGATGGTTTCCACTAACGAGTTGTTTTTCATTAACAATCTTTCATTTTGGTCTAATAGTGTGTCTATTTTTTCTTCCCAAGCTGCTGCTTCATTTCCATTTTTTATTTTTGTTACTTGAAAAGACAGTTTGGCATTTTCGAGACTCAGCTTGTGTACATCCTCTCTAAGTTTATTGTTTTCTTCAAGGAGAGCATTTCCAACCTCCGCTGCTAGGTTAAGAGAACTTTCCAAATCATTCTCTTCTGTATCAAAATTCTGTACAATGTTTTGAAAATCGTCCATGGTAAGATTTAAATTGTTTAACATAGGTTCGGGCTTGTTAATTGAGGTATGACTTTGAGTGATGCAGCTAAGCAAGGTGTCGTCTGAGGTTTGACTTTCAGAGCAAAGAGGAAGTGTTCGACAGTGTTGCGTGAGTAGGCTGGAAATTTTGCTATTGGTCAACTTGCAAATAACTGATACTGTGCTGACCTAAAGAAGTCTGTTGCTTTAAGTAGGCCGCTTTACTAATCTAGAGGGCAGTTGCATATCACATTAGAATGGCCAGCAAATACAGTTAATGGCTTCAGACTTTGTTTCTTATCAATTACTTTTAATTTAACGCTTATATTAATCAATATGTTTGTTGTAAAACGTTTGTGCATATTACCTATGGTAATACATATATTTTTTTAATATTAGCCTACTAATCTCACCTACTAACTACTAACTATTTCATAAGAGATTCTATGCTGATTGAGGCTTGTCTCGGTTGACAGTGACGTAGCATCCACTACAGACCTGGCTAGCGAGCAGGCCTTTCTTGACGAGATGTTGACGGTTCAACTGTCAGTGTTGAAGCCCCTCGGACGACGGTCCAACTTGGACGAAGTCCTTTCTAACTTGGCCTCCAGGTGAGTTTAGTGACAAATGCATACTTCTTGTTTATCTACAATTAAACTATGTTACAATGGCAATCTTGTGGAAATATAACATACTCAAATTACAATCAAAATGATCGTCTTCATTTTACGATTTAATATACACCAGGGACATCATGGACGATATCATAAATAATACACAGTCAACAAGGAGAACACTATGTTAATTGCAACACAATATGTCACTATCTTACAAGTTTACCTGCTGTTTTAGTGTCTTGATTTACAACCCAATATTTTACTGACATTTTGGTTTTCTACTTCAAACTGAATTAAGATTTAAACATAAAGAGAACATGTACCGTAACAATACATTTAGTTAGACAATAGAGAACATAAGTTACATAGCACAACCATAAGCACTACCAAACAAATATAAAGAATTGTTACCAGTGACAAGTTCCTATAACCGCCACTGATTGTCTGTTTGATTGATTGGACTGTTTTTTCTACTGACTGTAATCTAAAAAAAATAGTTTTCAGCGTTTTACAAACTAACCTATTAGTTATAAATAGGCCTGACTAAGAGGTAGTATGACAAAATGGTTAGTAATAAAATGAGACCAATTTAGGTTCCATGATCAAAACTAATGTTTCTAGAAAAAAAGAACAGGTTTCTCAGGCAAAGAACTTTTTGTGTATTCAAAAACGTTCCGTACAAGAAAGTCTTAAAATAATTGAATTAATTGAACAGTATCATTGTTGTTTGGACAGACTGTTGATTCTCCTCTGTGTTTGTCAGGTACACAGATCTGCTTCATCTAACAGCTGTCAGTGTCAACACCATGACTCAGGGAGTGTCCAGTTTTAAACTGCTCCAGGAACACATTGACGAGTTCCTACAAGTAAGCACTGCAGAAACTTCTGTAGGAAATTTATCAAAAGATGTTTAAATAACACATTTTACCTTTATGTCTATGTACTACTCTATGTGTTCATGTATTTGTTTTGGTGACTATTGACTACACCAGTGGAACGAATTTTCACAGTAACCTGGTACTCAGCTAACAAACCTGGCTCAGAACCAGTGGTTGTCTGAAGAATAAACAGGAAAGTGAACAGTTAAGTATTTTTATCCTTTACACTTATATGATCATGATCCAGAAGCTAAAGGTTTTAAGCTAGGTTTTCCTTGGCGCTAAGCGGAGCGATGAGGGCAGATTCTGCTCTCCTCTTGTCTTAGGACAATTCCTCCTAACAACATTCCTCACACACACACATAACATTTTAACTACATTGTACACAACACAGTATTGTGTGTTGTTAACTAACATTGTAATCCAACATTTCCTCTTTCTTGTCCTCTTTGTCGAGTCATATTTTATGGTACTCCTTGAAGCGAAGCGGACCACCATAAAAAAACTACCTCAGTGTAGTTTCAGTGGGTTCTTAAGTCACACTACTGAAATTGCTTCTCCATACTCCCCTCTCCCAGTTCCGCATCTAGGATAACCTAGCTTAACACATTGAGTGCGGCCTACGTTATTTTTAAGCGTAGTATGGGGAGTACAGGACTGGCGCGCGCCGCGGAGTACGTTAAGCTACGTAGCACTCGTAACTCTTAAGTATTGATACAGCGTGAGTTCAGCCTCGTATGGGGAACGTCGTTTCGCTTGCCGCTTGATGTGCCAGTATTATACTTCAATCCGGTATAACTAGTTTTCAGATCAGACAACTTCATCAAGGGTGGGGACTGTTCCAAATTTAGTGTAGTGTGAGGTTTTGTCTTGGATTTAGTGAAATTGAATAGAAAAACAATAATTACTGTAGTGTAGCATCTGAAATTCAGCAAAGATTAAATGCAGCTCATAAAAGTTTATCGGCATGCCACAAATTGTTGAGTTCTCGCCTACTCTCACAGAAAACTAAAATCCGTATATACAAAACTATAATAAGACCAGTATTACTATATGGCTCAGAGAATTGGGTGATAAGCAAGAGAACTGAGAAACGACTTATAGTGTTCGAAAACAAGATTCTAAGGAAAATCTTTGGACCAACCTTTGAAAACGGAGAATGGAGAGTTAAGCACAACAGGGAGTTGAGAGAGTTGTAAAGGGACCCAGATGTTGTGGCTGAGGTGAGAAGTAGGAGATTGAGATGGGCAGGCCATGTGTTAAGAAAGGAAGAGGGATCCTTAGTGAGAAACGCCCTAAACAACAATCCCGAGGGTAGAAGACCTCCTGGAAGGCCCAAGTTGAGGTGGAGAGATCAAGTGAGAAGAGATCTGAGAAGAATGGGAAGAAGAGAGGATGAAGCAATGGATCGTGCAGTCTGGAGGCAGTGTGTTGGCGAGGCAAAGTACCTCCTTGGGTACCAAGAGCCACGGCAGTAAGTAAGTAAGTAAGTGTAGCATTGTGGAGGGATCCTAACCTTAAAATTGTGCTTTATGGCGTATCCGGGTTTTTCGCCCCTGCTATTTCCCTCCATTTGGCAATACTGAGGGCCTGCTTGCAGTTTTTTGTGCTGCTATCTCTTGAGTTTCTGTAAAATGACGTCCACATCAACTGGAATGCAGTACGGAACATGCTACAATATGCCTCTCATTTTGATGATTCTTAATTTAAATGTTCTCGCCCATTCAACCACACAGCGCATTAGCCACCGACCAGCCATCACGCAATCGCACTTGTTTTAAGATGTTTTCACTAATGAAATTTCAGACAGTAAAAGATTATTTACCTACTTGTTTATTATTTTTAAGGATAAACAACAGAAAATTAGGTTAGTATTCTATCCTTTAATTAATGTTTTGTACATTATAATTTTTTTCAACTGGTTTGGTTGCCCTTGTCATTTTACCTGATTGCCAATATGTATGTACCCCTGCAATCTATATTTTGAGTTTCATTGTCTTAAACCAACTATCTATGTTTTCCCACTACTGTTATTTCACTACTATTACTGATATGAAGGTTTTGCTGCATTGCAGTTTTTTAATAATGCACAGATATTTTTTGCGTGTATGTTCTGTAAATAAAATCGTACTTTAGTACTCTAATATTATGATGCAATTTTATTCTTTAAAAATCTTTTTAATTTTCCAAGCTGTAGTCATTTATCATAATTTGTTTCTGTTATTTCTCTGGTTTACGGGTTGTGGTTGATTTAATTTACATTTAGTGGCTGGTTGTGCTATAAATAAAAATACATACGGCAATACAACTGCGCAGGTTTACGAGCTGTACCTCGCTGCTGTCTGTGACATGATTGCCATGAGTGGGTTCTCTCAGATGGCTCGAGTCCTGGATATCCCCGCCAAACTGACTCTGATATTCTCTGATCGACTCCCCTCTCGGAAGACTTCCCCCGAGGCGATCCTGCACTGTGCGTTTACTCACCCTCTCAACAGGGTCTCTGTGTACAAGGTGATGAGCTAACGCCTTGACTGCTTAGTCCATTGACTTTGTATACTGCACGGAGAAGGAAGGTACAGAGGAAAATTGCTTACAGGACGACCGTGTGCATTTAGCTCTAGTATGTTGTGCCGGTAATATAATTGTGTTGAAGGAAGAGTCCGAACGGAGATCACTGTGCGGAAATTCCTATCGCAAAGAGCATAGGGTCTTCCTCCACCGAGAACGTTGTAGTCATGAAGGCGAGGGGGGCAGTGTTGGACTTTGCGCTAGACACCAGGGACTAGTGCCTGACACTATCAGTAGGCCTGCCAATGAGTGTTTCCTCTGTGCCTTACTTTTTAGTGGATACTGCAAGTAGAATTCAAATCTATACAATATTTAGATGTCTTAGAGTATGGTAAAGACTAATTGTTTCCTCTTAAAACGAATAAGTTTTCACTCAATCTTTTTGTTTTGCTTTTTGAATGCCATAGAACTGGTAAGAGTTTAAAATTTATATTAAATATTGATTTTATCTTACAATTTACCAGAGGTCGATATTATACTGTATATTAAACAAGTCCAGGGGTTGGACCGTTCTCTTACAAAATTGTAAAAAATTTGAATTTGAATAGGTACTGAAGAAACACAAATTCAAATATATATATATATATATTAAACTATGGTAGTATCAAATGAATTGTGGTGAAAATTGAAGCCATAGCTTGACAAAGATAATATGAGGTAAGTGCAATATTTTTGTTAGAAACTCAGTCAAGGTCTTTCCTCACTTACCTTTGACATTTTTTATCCTAAAGAACATACAACTTGAACTATACCTACTTATTTACCTACTTACTATACTTGAACATAGAACTGGTTGACTATTTTCCAAGTATTGTACATTTCTGCCTCCTTAGCTGACTGTGTAAGTAAAGACAGTTGTTTGTGTACAGATGATGTTGTCTCGGGGTCAGAGTTCTGTACCCGCTGAGGCCACCAAGTGGGAAGAGTTTTGTGAAAGGCAGGACACACTGAGGAAGCAGGCAGACAGCACGAGGCTATTTTGGGAGAGCTGCGGCCGGTTGGTGGACACATTGCGGTGAGTGAATGCAGTGTGTACAATGAATGATTATTCACCATTACCATTAAATCTGACTTTCTGATTGCAAACGATTGCTTTTTTGTCATTTTAACAGAAGAGCAAAACACATGCTCAAAAATATCCTACAAGTAATAAGAATAGTATATTTCACTTCTAGTCACGAAAGTGACCCGTTTCGGGGGCGAGATAGTGTTTTACATGCGAGTCGAAGAATGGGAAACACCATCAAGGCCTGAAATGGGACTTTCGTGACGGGTATTGGACGATAGTTTTTATCACGATAAAAAAACTAACTTCATTAAACATAAAAAAATCATCTGATATTTCGTAATTTATTCATTTTCTAATCTAAACACAATACGGCTGTACAATTATTTTAGTGTAAAATTCAGCTGATTGAACATCAACAAAATGCCAAAACAAACAAATAAATCACAATAACTTCAGTTGAAACTTTGTTGATGTCAGGCAAAGTATTGTGTGTAGCGAAAATATTGTTTCTGTCAGGGAAAGTCAGCTGATCACTATTTGTTTTTGGTGTATGGAAATTGGCGATTTGTAAAGATCTCAGCTGTATGGAAATGAGCTATTTTCGAATACAGAGTGATAAAAAAACATTTAGTCAACGGCGCACTTAGACGTCATTGACATAAAACACGCATCTTAAAAAGCTACAGATTTAACAATAGATGAATTCTATACAAAAAATGCACCATTCAAAGTAAATGGTGGCCACGGGTCAGCAGGCCAAGCATGATAGGATTTCATGTGGGTGTCCTGAAAAACCTTCCTTCATGAGTCAGGTACGATACTTAACGCCACATTACCAGCAACAAATATACAGGGTAAGTAAAATACAATCCATACACATTCGAACTAACAAAAATTAGCAATTGCAGTGGGCAGGGGTAGGTCTATAACACAAGGGGGAGGTAGCCTATAGCATTGTTGTAACCTATTCCAAAACTGAATGGTAAATTTACCATGCTCCAGCTAACTTTGCCGTTTACAGATGACTTTACTGGTCCCTTTCTGCAAACAAGTTTCACATTTCTCACTGACACATTCATTGTACTTGTACATTTATGAATAAAGGAGATTTTGATTTGATTTGGTCTAAAAAGAGTACAGAAAGTAGCTGCTTACTGTAAAGTGTCTGGCAAAAAATATTCTACATTATCAATGTTGTACATTAACATCTACCGTGGTCGTGGCAAGATTGTGAATGTCTCCTGCTGTTGTAGTGGAATCTTTACTTTCTCCTATTAATGCGGCAAAATCATTAACATAGACCAGCGTGACTCCAAAGGAGGGGAGAGATGCTCCGATGGAGGTGGTAAGGTACTCACCCCCACCTCTTGGGTACCATTCGGCGGGTACTTAACCAGGGTGTTTGGCACCGAGAAGAGTTGGGCCTTCGGGCCTGACCCCGCCGGATGGGCGTGCTGAGCCACCGGTGTGGGGCCTGATGGGCGTGTTGAGCCCCGGGCACCGTCGGACGGGCGTGTTGAGCCCCCGGCACCCTCGCATGGGCGTGTTGAGCCCGCGAGACACCTGATGGGCGTGCTGAGCCACAGATTTCAGTTTTGATTTCAGTCGCTCTGAAATTTTGAATTTAAATCACATGATCTTTGTAGACACTTTCTGCGATTGTAAATCGAGCATTTCAGCTCAGTCTACAATTTATTTCCCCCCTTAACCAGAGATTTAAGAGACCTGCAGACATCTAATGGTGACTTTGTATTGCAGCACCCCTGGCCGAAGACTTGTGAGGGAGTCTCGATCTCACCCTGTCAATGTTCCCAACGTGTCACGCTGGTCTAGCAGCCCTTGGCTCATCCTGCTTAGTGACACTCTGGTTCATGTGTCGGGAGGATCTCACACCTTGCATCAGCTCGACACTGTCTGGGTGGAAGCTCTCTCCGACACTGATACCGTACAGGTAATTATTCTGCGTTAATCATGTACTAATGGTTTATCCGCTTTTCAGCGCAGTAGTTGCTTTATTTATTGTTTAGCATTGAAATAGAGATGTATGGCTTCAATTGATGAAAGTATTAAAGTGCTGGATCAATAGTTTTCTGTAGTGTTGGCTATATGATTTGTAATAAATATTTGTCAACCTAAACTAGTGGTGACTATAATATATTTCAAAAACTGAAAAAGCAAATAATTCAATGTTTTTACTAAATTAATAATGGGCAAGTAACTCATCATTTACTGATGATGATGTTGTTTTTGTCTGTAGCGAAAAGCCCTTAGGCTAAATGTATCATATATTTATTTGTTAAACACAATGGGTTTGAACTTTTTCAGTTCCAATATAGAACTGATTCTACTTATTATGTTTTTAGGTATTGTTGAATAGTGATATAGTAATCAATTTTACTCAGTCTTATCAGTAATTGGTATCCGTCCTCACCAACAACTTCCTATTACGGTTTACCCTGTTTGATGTTTATCTCCTGTTTTTCCGACGTTCTTTTGAATTTGTTTCACCCAGGTTGTTAACTATATTTATTTTTGATCAGATTTTCTATTTATCTTCAAAAACATTTTTGGTGATGGAATCCTTTTCCAGAACTCTTTTCTGATAACCACTCCAGAGGAAACGTTGACTTTGGTTGCGCCGAGTGCCAATGATAAGGTAGAGTGGCTCCATGCGATCCAGAACACTATCAAAACAAAACTGAACAAACTGCAAGCACCCTCGGCTAGATCCGCGACCTACACCTTCACAAAACACATCACCTACAAAGACGCTACATACACAGGTATTTCATTCAACATATTTGTGTGTGTGTGTGTTAACAATATTATTTACATGTAGCCCAGTCATTTTATATTTAAAATATGTTTGAAAAATGACAAAAATCTTATAGTTCTGGAAATTTCTTTAAAATGTCTTCTTAGGTGTTTATTTTAACACACCAAAAAGCCCCGAGGGCGGGGCGTCGGGAAGTGGCCGCCATCTTGGATTTTAGTTTTCATTTTTAGGTTTCTCCTAAATATCTCAAAAACTATCAACTTTTTGTATACTACATTGAATTGGGAAATGAAAGAAGATTGAATTTCCTAAAAGAAAAGTATTATGATGTAACTATTTTGGTTCAACCATTTACAAGATATAATAATATATTATTCATATAGGCAAGGGTCAGCAAAAAAGTTGTAATTTAAGAAACTATTACAAATAATGCGGTTATTGTGAGCTGCCAACACCTTAATTTTGGCCCAGTTTGATGATTAAAGTGCCAAATTGCTGAAAATTTTGTCAAAATTTCGTGAATATCAGTTATATTGACCTTAGGTGGATAGACTTTGCCACATTTAGCATTTATTTTACATACAAATTTACACATCCTAATTGAAGGAGTACTGTATATAGGAATAAGATATTTATTATATCTTGTAAATGTTTAAACCAAAATAGTTACATCATGTACTTTTCTTGTATGAAATTAATTCTTCTTTAATTTTCTAATTTAATGTAGTGTTGTAGTATACAAAAAGTTGATTGTTCTCAAGATATTTTGGAAATACCTAAAAATGGAACCTAAAATCCAAGATGGCAGCCACTTCCCGACCCCCCACCCACGGAGCTTGCTTTTTGGTGTGTTTAAATAGACACCTAGGCACATTGTAAAGCAATTTCCAGAACTATAAGATTTTTATTTTTAATTTTTAAAGGCATTAAATGACTGGGCTAATGAGTATTTTCTGTTATTTTGTTTGTGTATGATATGATATAACCTTGCACCTTTAATGGTTAATGTTGTACTAACCATTTCAATTCAATAGATTATTCCCTGATTTAGTCATGCCTTTTTTTTAGTTTTTTCATGAACAAAAATGTTTAAATTATTATCAAATTATATAACACTTACACAGTAAAAAACTTAGAAATATGCCTGACTTGAGGTGTAACGCAAAGAATATACCAGTAGATAGGAAAGGCTGGTTATGGAAAAGGCAAAAAGGGAAGAGGGTTCCAGCCAAACCATTGTTGATTTTGTATGATGTTTCAATTCCGTTAGAAATATAATACACACTCTGCATATCAAATACCTTTTTCCTATAGCCTATATGTTAATAAAAGCCTTTAGTCACAGGACTAAGTTTTTTTCCACCCATCTCGTCAACTTTTACCTGAGCCATCCACCATTCATTAAAGTGAGCCTCTTCCACCTAACTCTACTACAGATAGGTAAACTTGAATAGCACAAAGACCTGACGGAGATGAGATTCGAACCCTCGATCAGAATGCTGTCTCCTGGTTGGAGAGACAAGTGCGTAGACTCTTCGGCCATTGATCATACCGATTTCTCTACTGGTAAAACAAAAGCCCAAGGAAATTGATGTTAGGGAACCAAGAGGAAAGTTCGTATTGGGTGGAGAAAGAGGCTGCCAATTTCTTCAAAAATGTTTTTATAATAATCGTTCAATCATTATTGGCGGTCCCTTGGTTTTCTTTTCATTTAATCGCATCAAGTAAGAAGTTCGTAATGGTGGGAAATAATGATGATGTTGCCTTGGTCGCTTAGGATGATCTTGGATATTGCCATAAAGGCAGGAGACAAATTTGATGTCCACATGATCATAACTGGAAACAGTTGTTTTTGAGCCCTGCTTGTACGAACGTACTTCTACTAACATCTGATGGTACCGAGAATTGTTTTCTGGTACCGTAAATCACTAGTAGCTTTGTAATTAATATCCGCTTTTTTTAATCATCAGAAGAACCACAAAAGCTTAATGATCAAGGACACCTTCCTCAACCTTCACACAATTAACAACTTACTGACCTCACTAAAAATCAAACTCAAAACAGTAATTAAATTTAACGAACTAGACTGCAATGTAGATTGTTATGTAGGTAGGTGGGTGACAGCCAAGATGGAGGGTCAGGGAAGACTACAGTGGGCTGACGGCAAGGTGTACACAGGACAGTTCCACTGTAACTTACCTCACGGCTCCGGCAGACTGGAGACTCCTGGCGTGTCTGTGTACGAGGGACAGTGGAAGGACGGACTGCAAAATGGACTCGGATCCACCAAGTAAGTGCGGTCTGGTTTACTGCTCGAGTTTGATTACGCTTGGAATCCATTATAGTCCCTGAATAGTATACAAGGTTCTCTATTTGTAAAAAATGAGGTGCCGGAACTGTGACATATTTATTATGATTAGTACCTATTTATGCCATTCTGCGGCGTTCCCCCAAAAATCGAGCACTGGTAATAAATATGACAAATGTAGGCTATTTTTCATCCTGTCAACAGTTCTTTAGTGTGATTATTCACCCTGACTTGTTTTCAAGTGGCACCAAAATACCTGCTTAGAGAACTGTATATTAGTCAAACAAGATATAACAACATCCTAAAAGAAAACAATAATTATGAAAATTGAGGGTATCCAAACTGGTTTGTATTCTACTTTTTTTATGATTTGTCGTGAAAAATATTGTCTACTAAAAAAGGTCCTCAATAGTCCCTCAAGTAACATAAAATTATCAGTATGAACCTCAAACAAAGGATTTTTTCACTGTACACTAGGTATGAGAACGGGGATGTTTACGAAGGCTACTACAAGGACGGGCTGGCAAGCGGACATGGAGTACGCAAGAGTGGAAGCTTCAAGTCGAACACAGCCACGGTGTACGTGGGGGAGTGGGTCAACGGACTGAGACAAGGCTACGGCGTCATGGACGACATCTTCACTGGTACTGTAGATATCAACGTTTATGAAGCTATAAATATTTACAATTTACTCTTTGTACTTCAAATTCTGAGCTCATTTGACTCTAACGATTATTGTGAGGATGCAGGATTGAATTGAAAGAATCTGCTATGGCACAAGATAGAAAACTTTACAATACACTAATAAATTAAAACATTTCACCGTTATGGATAGATGTGTGTTTAGAAGACATTGTAAGTTAGCCTATTCTAATATGAACAGTTAATGAAAACTCAATGTTAACTGCTGAAGTAAAAATGTAGACAAAGACTAAAATATTCACAATGGCAATATATTGTAAGTTAAATGTAATTATAATGTTATCTTTGGCCGCACTTTCATCTATGTTAATACAATGTATCCGTGTTCAGGTGTGTTAATTGTTGTATTTTTGTGTGTGGAAGACGACAATGGGTTTAAATTATTTTATGAATCAACTATCAAGAGGTTTAAAAATAAAAGTGTTATTTTGAAACTAGTCTCCTGGGACTAAATTAGGATTGACGATGAAAGGTGTGTAAACCTTTGGTCTAAATGTATATTGGTCTAAATTTAACTTGGAGGTTTGGCAATGATAAATGAATTTGAATTTTTATGTTAAGTATTACGTTTTTTTATATCTTCTTAAAATCCTAATACATTCAGATTAGAGGTGTTGATGTGTCATAGGTCATAGGATGTTAAAAACTGATCATTTGTGTTTGCCAGGAGAGAAATACCTTGGCAATTGGGGCAACAATCTGAAGAACGGCAACGGACTTATCGTTACTCTAGAAGGCATTTACTATGAAGGAACATTCGTTCAAGATGTTCTTACGGTAAATATATAATAGAATATGTTAAGACTCAGAAACTGAGAGTATCCTTGATGAATAAAAAGTGTTCTGCAGATAAATTTAGTATTTAGTTTGAGCTCAGTTTTTAAAACATTTTATCCTTTAGGCTTTTTAACAGTGTTGTGTGTAAAAAGGAGCGCATCCAAAATCAATTTTAATCTACAAACCAACTGAAGTAGCCCGTTAAATGTTCATATTTATTTTTTTAAACAACAAATCCTGTAGGGTACCTGAAAAAGAAACAACTAGTAGAATAATCTCTTTCTAGTTAGTGTAACTGTATCAGACTGCTACGATTATTGATAAATAAGTTTTTTAAAGTTATTGTTTTATCCTTGAATCCAAACCATGAAACCAAGGTAAGTTGCTTTATGGCGCAAATTTCTTAATGTTGAAATAATTTTCAGTTGATAAATTATACAGTATGAATGTGTGAATTTATACAGAGATTAAACTTACTTCCTCATATATTTGTCATTCCTATGACTAAGCTAAAGACTTTTTCTAGGTACCTATGTTTAAAGCCAGTATTTATAGAGTGTTTCAATATTTTAATTGGTTTCTTGTTATTTCATCAATTTATAAGTATTGCATGTTGCCATTATAAAAAAAGAATAAAGCACACATTGTCAAATTCATGGTAAAATTAGGGTAAAACATTCAGGTTTTACAGCATACGCAAAAATAACCAGAACAAGTCATCATAACAGATCTGGGATTTTACAATAAGACAATAAACCTTGTATTTAAAATGATTTTTGTTGAATAAAGGTTCCCCTCTATTTTACACAAATGTGTTTTTATTTTGCTAAAATTTAAAACCGATTGCAGGGTCACGGTGTGATGGTGTTTGAAGACGGAACTCATTACGAAGGCGAACTGAGAGCGGCAGGCCAGTTCAGTGGGAAGGGAACTCTGACGTTCAACACCGGCGACACGTTCGAGGGAAGTCTGCACGGCACGTGGAACGAAGGGATCAAAATAAACGGAACACTGCACAAAAACTTGCCTACATCCACTCCTCAACAACACAAGAACAAACCCAGGTAATGCAAACATAACAGTTACAATTTGGTTGAGGATTGATTTGGATTACTTTTGTATATTATAAAGTTAAACTGCATTGAATAGGACTCACACTAAATATCTCGAGGTATGGAAATCTCTTATACTTATAGCTGATCTAATTATTTCACTCCAATAATAGATAATTGCTTAAGATACTTTGTGCCTCGTATACTTGTCTGTTTCTAGGCCTGTATGTTTCTCAACGTTTGTTGAAATCTGTGGGGGTAAATGCAAGTTTTCATATAATTTTTTAGATATAACTTTTTAGATAGTTGCCGTTTATGTAGCTTCTTGTAATTATTGATATAAAATTATATTTAAAAGGAGAATTGAAGTATTTATTCAGAACTCGAGGCAGCTCAACCTTTTAAATCAAGTCCCCAAACAATTCTGCGTTCCTTGTGTTAAAACCAAAACCAAATTCAAACCCCTTTAACTAATAAAACTAAACAGAAAAAGTTAACAGAAAAATCCTTTTAATCAAATCTTTCCTTCAAAAAACTACAAGGAGGACCTAACCCAAAGACAGAATCACCAATACTTACATATTTCTCTAGTCCACAAAAAACCCTGCTGGCCGAATGACCCCTTCCACAAACACACGTGGCCTGAAAACCTTTTCTTCCCACCATGTTACAAACAATGCAAAAACACTTAGCTTACAAGGTGTGACCTCTGACCAACTTAGCTTTCCTGCCATCAGGTATTATATTTTCTGTGATCCACAGTTCGTTCGGCAAGTTGTGTGTGCCGCCTCAGGGTAAGTGGAAGGCGATATTCCGGCAGTGCTGGTCTGCGCTGGGTGCGGTGGAGGGGAAGGGTGACACTCAGAGAGCGTGGGACAACATAGCCGTCGCCCTGACGTCACACCCGGCCAGTCAACATAGACATCACGAGTCACTGCAGACCATCCCTCAGTTTGGCCGCACCTCCCTGGACACACAGAGCTACCACAATGTGTGTGCCTACTTGAATCAGGTGAGACAACACGTTTCACATAAAGTAGGCCTACTGTTGATATTAGAAGTTTTTTAGTAGACATTTTCCATTAAAATTAGTAAAAGACAAGTTTTCACATTTCGGGTTCTGCTCAGGTAAGAAAATTGTGAGTCGGTGGCTCAGTCAGTAGCGTCGCGGACTTCGGGCCCAAGGCAGCGATGTTGTGGGTTCGGATCCTGGTCACTGCCACTAAAATATGTCAGTACAGTTCACCTTTGTACTGTACCGGCTCACTCCTTGCTTTGCTGTAAACGATCCACGCACGGGCGCTTAATCTATGTGGACGGGCAAATGCAAGGTTAAAAGAGGCCGCCAAGCTCTTAAAAAAAAAATTATATTTCAATCAGAAAAAAAACAAGTGTAAAAATTATCTAATCTTACTGCAGTTGTACAAGGTTTAGGTTAAATAATAGAGACCCAACTTCATTAAAACCATTACAAAAGCTATAGATAACAATTCGGTGTTAGATGATAAAAAGAAAGTGTTGTAACGTTGTTGTAAGTGGTAGGCACCTTTTAGTACAATACTATTCCAAGGTATTACCAACTGGGGGAGCGAGCTGGTCTAGTGGTTAGCTCGTGGGACTTCGGTTCCAGAGGTCCCGAGTTCAAATCCCGCCCAATCACCAATGGATTTTATCCATGTGATAATACCGCAACCCCTGGGTTTAGCCTGAAGTAATGTGAAAAACAAATCCGGGCTCGTGCCTAGCGTCCTAGGACAAAAAAAGGTATTACCAACAGAAAGTCTGTACTTTGTATCCTCAACGATGTGAATCTTAACTAAATTTAAATTTTACTCAAGAAATTAGAAATTGATATGCAAATGACTTGCTCAAGGAAAGAATTTCATGCAGTTGATACCATACAATTCTATTAATTCGATATTTCACCCCCAATAAAGGAACCGTACGGTACTATTTCCTTCTGAAGAAGCCAAATAAGCGAAATATCAAATTAGTTGTGTTGTGCACTTCAGCTATCACTGCCTAAAACTCTTTTCTTGTGCAAGTTAGTCGTGTATCCATTCCTTACTCAATATATTCCGATCCCAAGTGCTCTTTCCTCCAAAAACTAACCTTAAATTTTACTCCATCACTGTGGTTTAGGCTTTCGAGAGCACCCACCACCCGCTGGGGATTGCGTTGCGTGAGCTGACGGGAGCGTTCAATGCTACGTACGGAGGCCGCGTACATCTGCTGCTGCTCTCTCACGCTGTAGACGAGCTGCATTCTATAGCTGATAGACTGTATCAGCTGGTGCGACTGCTGTTCCCAGCTCTACCATTGCCCGGGAGAGATATGCAGCTGACGGACAATGAGAAGTCAGTGAATATACAAACCTATACTTGTATGATTATATATTTAGTAAAACATAAAGTGTTAAGTGAAATTTCTTCCATTACCCACACCACTAACACAGCTAAGGCACTAAACTGTGAAGTTTGAAATATAATAATTTTGTAAAACACCATAAAAAACAAATTTAGGTTTTTCTGAAATGGTGACAAATGAAACAAGTTTAGCCTATGTTGTGTAGGTTTAAGACCATTTTCAGGGATTGTGTCATAATTGTTGAATCAGGAACCAATAGTTTATTATATACATTAGCAAAGGAACATCCTCTTAACACTATGGTGTTGGTCTTGTAGGCCAAGGCCTTCAGTCTCTGAGATTGTGGGTTCAAATTCTGCCAATCACTAACCGCTTTATCCATGTGATAATGCCGTGACCCTCTAGGCCTAGCCTGAAGTAGTTTGTAAAACGGTTCCAGGCTAGAGCCTCGTGAAGGAAGCCTGTTGGTAACATTACGTAACATATTTTCAGCCTAGTGATCAGCTTGGCGGGTATCCTCCACCCCATCTTGTTGCCGAGGTTTCACTCTGCCCTGTTTGAGTTGTACGCCCTCTACAATAAGGCACAAGACGACTGCTATTGGAAACGTCTTATTAAGTGGAATAAACAGCCTAACTCCACGCTCTTGGCGTTCTTGGGAATTGACAGGTAATAAAGGTGGTTTTTCTGAGTAGTAACAGTGTATTCTTGATTATCAGACTTATCAGCCATAATAAGGTCGGATAACACAGAAAATAAGAAAGAAAAATCAATGTATAAAATGTTGTAAATTATGTTTAAAAATGTAAAAAATTTTAAAATATAGGTTTATCATATTAAACAGTAAAATCTTTAGAATGGTGTGTCTTGATAGACCTGTTACAGTTTACAGTAGTTGTACAATCGTACCACACAGAAATAGCATGCGATCTCAATGGGGAGAGTTGGTTAACAGAAAATCAAGACTCCTACTGTATCAGATTTTGTTTATATACTCTACGTATTTCCAAGTATATTATTACTTTTAGTAAATAATATCAAGCCCTAAAATCTAAGATCTATAATATGCTGGTGTGGGCAAATATCTCCTTAAAATAAAATGCATGGCCCTGGGAGTAAGTAGCCAGGTAACATCTATATAGCCTTGTAAATCAATCTTTGGTATTTTAAAACTTTTATTTTGGCTTCAATAAAGTTGTTTACAAGAACAATTGTGTGAGTCTTGAATTTGAGGTGGGCGGCCTATTTTAACCTTGCATTTGCCCATTTACAGCCTGTGCAAAGAATGTATGAGCTAAAGCAAGAGATGAGAAATAACTGGATTTGCGTAATATTTTAAGTAGTACCTCTGGTAGCTCAAGACATCACTGCCGTGGTTTCTCTACCCATTTTTCTACCAACTAAGCTGTCACCTCACTGAATTTCCCAATAGGCTCTTGATGACTCAATGGTTGTGATAGGCCTACTTAAAAGGTCTTAGAAAAAAGAGTTAACATGGAAAACACATAATATAACTGTCATTGTTTCTTTTTTATTTTTTTGGCTGATAAGTTAAAAGATATTGTGAAGATTGTTTTTGAAACTATGACTTGACTGATTACAATATCAATATATACTGCCCGTAAAGGAAGTTCTGGTTTGGTGCTGATGAGAATCAGCAAGTGTGGGCGGAACATCGCTTCAGTACAGCTGTGGAGACTCTTCAGCAGCTGAAGACCACCTTCTGTCCTCTAGAGAAACTCATGGTCATACAGAGCACCTTCAAGCAGATGACTGAGGTAAGTGTCAAGCTGTTAAAAGATCCAAAGAAATACCTGTTGAATAAATAAATTATTTTGCAAAAAATTCAAATTCTACATATTTGGTGTAAAATAGGTCTTCGTTAAATTATGTTTGCTTTAATTCTGATAAAGTTGTTGCAGACTTTTGGTTTGCAGTTAGTTTTTTGTTATGGTAAGCTTAGGTGAGGGATTATTGCGGATATCCTACATGATAAGTACATTAAAACGATTTTATGATGTTTTGGTATCTGCAATCTGATCCTGTCCTGAATTGTTGTTGTACTAATCATAACAGCATTAGTACATAAACATGGCCAAAGCTGGGAAATCACAAATGAAAACTACTCAGATAACTATATTAGTGAAAACAAGAAACAAAAAATCTTCAAATAAAACACCAATTAGAACAAATGGTGGTTTCCAGATCCCAAAAATTTGTGGAAACTTGGATTTTTTAAATCAAGATGGAAAACGTCTTTAATTATCAGTCAATGGTTTCAAAGACTATAAGTCTGATTTCTTCAATCAACAGACATCTAAAAAACTCATTACAGAATAAAAGTTATGGCAATTTTGTGGTGGATAGTTTGAACAGCAGGCTTTACAAAAGTACTTGAAAGTACAAATAAAAACATGAAAAATATTATTTTAGGCCCTGCAGCATTTAACTAAAGAAGAAGCTAGTAGTGCAGAAAACTCTTTGTTTCATTTTTTATATGTATTTTCAACTATTATTATTATTGTCAGTAAGGTAAGCCTGGTGTTCAAAATATCCACAAGATCCTCAAAATCTGGTCTAATGCCGTCTTTACCAAATGATGTCAATACTGTTTTGGCTATTCAATATTTGTCATAGTTGTCTCCTTGACTACATTTTCACAAAAGATTACATCAACCCTAAAATCCTCTGTATTTACCCTGAAATCCTCTGTATTTAGGTGGTTAGATCAGAGTTAGGACCCAACTACCTGTGGACAATGGACGAGCTGTTCCCTGTGTTTGTGTTTGTGGTGGTCAGAGCTTGCATATCTCAGCTGGGTTCGGAGATTCACTTTGTCGAGGACTTCATGGAACCTCGTCTAGCTAACGGTGAACTTGGGATTATGATAACAACTTTAAAAGTAAGTAAAAACTCACATTTTTTTGAGGTCAGTGACAGTTTTATAACTTTTTTCACCCAAGAATTTGAACGCTGAGCTCCAGTGACTAGTAATTTATTTGACAAATTTTTATAATTTTTTTCTTAAATTTTGTGAACAGTATAATCATAATTCGTATAAAACTGTTTAGATGTGAGGTCAAACTCACAATGATTCTACCCTTTCTCTGGCGATTTCATAATTGGCTAATTTCCTCTGGCAAGGTTAAGGGATAGAGTTTGGAACTTTTGGCTGGAAAACTATATAAAAATTAAAAGATTTATTGTCCTGTGCTTAAAACTGTTATATTTAATAGACAAAATTCACTTATGTGTTTTCCAGCTTTTTATAAACATTGCATCTCTCTGAATTAAACAACCCGTGTAAAAAAACTCATACAAGTCATGTAGTTTAATGCTATGCGTCTTTTCCAGGCAGGTTACCACTTGATTCTTCAAGAAAAGACGACGATTGGGAGCTAACTGTGATAAAATATCAGTGATTCAGTATTCTTACTTTCGTTAGAACTTTTAGTACCTTAAAGTATTTGTTTTTGTTAAAAGTGTGTGCAATCAAGACTAATTCTTATGACATATCACATTAATGTTGATCAATACTAGGTTAATCGATGAGTATATTTTAGACTAGTGTTTTAGTATTTGAAATCGGATATTCCTCTATTTTTGTAATTTGTTCCTTGTTGAGAAGTTGTTTTCGACGGGTACTTTTGAAAATATTTTTGTGACGTGTACACTATACTCACGCAATCATATCTGATCATTCAAAAGGATGCTTCGTCGTTCAGTCAATACGCAGACCAACAAACCACTGGGATCTTAGCCGTATTTTTCCAACGAGAAGTTTCAAAAAACACCTAAGTGACCTAGGAGCTGCGATTTATATTTTGAAATTTTAGTTTTAAAAGTTTTATTTGTGATCTCAATGTATGTTTTCTTACACAGATTGATTGTAGCAACAAATACAATAGAATTGGCAATAAATACATTTTTCAAGATGTACAAAACTGTTATAGATAGTACAAAATGTGTTGCAGTTTTATTGAACACTGTTATGTTATAATTTTGTATTATATTATCTTTCATAAGTCCAAACCTTACATTGTTATATTATTTATTTACATTTTAAATTTTATTATTAACTACGTAAATAGGAGTTAAATCAAACTCACCATTTCCTTTATCTTCGTGAAAACTAATTGACTCATGTAACCTAATTCTCCTCTCTACCCTTACGAGATGGAAGTGGTTATTGCAGTTTTGACCAATGCTCTGTTTTAGTGTCAACTGCTTGCAGCATAATTTTATACTCACTGTTAATATTTTATTAATCACATAATTGTGGCACAATATTAGTATTTAAGTTATTTTTAAACTTAGTTGTAGCCATTTTTAAGCAAACCCCCAATACGTATAATTGTCCCTCTGGAGTAAGTAATAATACTCTTGTTTTAAATTGTCAAGGGCCAAAAAACCAAAGACAATTCCTATACAAAAACTATTCATTTTCAACTTTGGGATAGTTGACTTAACGGAAAAACTAGAGAAGCTTAACTTGTAGCTGTGATTTTGATTTTACATAATATTAATTGATAATTTTACCCTTACTGATTCTACTCATCTCTATTTCTAATAATTTCTATTTTGTTATTGCATTGAACCAAAGAGTATTTTTTTAAGTTGTGTATTATTTACCTGTTAGTTTGCTAACCATAAGCACAAATGATTGTTATCATTATGTTATTTGTTGTGTTATTTAGATGGAACTCCCATAGTTTTTTTGTTTATGCATAATGTAGTCTCGTGGATTAGGTGCCTCACCGTCTGGTAGCAGCTACACTTTGTTTACATGTCCTTTTTGTATAAAAGTATCATTTCGTAGCTACTTTTTGGAATTTTTTTATAAGATTGTCTTCAATAATGTTCAAAGTCAATGGGGTCACTGATTTTAACTAATGTGATTTTTAAATGGTTTAAGGTTTTATGGTGAAGTTGTAAGAGGTGGCTGCTATCAAAACGGTAGACCTTTTTCACATAACCATATAATGTAGTTGTAGTTAACTTTGTTCATCACCAAAATATGGATACTCATTTACTGTTTATCTCACCCTAGATTGATAAGGCAGTCTAGAAGACTTCATAAACCAATTTCCCCAAACCTTTTGCTCGTTTTAGTTGTTCGCTAATGTGAGCAAAGTCAGAGCGAAGCCTGTTAGTGGAGGTTACATATTTGTCTGCTGTAGTGTTTGTGCCAGACAAGTCTATTTATTAAAGCTTTTTTATTAAATGCCATAGAGTATGCTCGTTATAGTTTACTGTACTGTCAGATTTGCCCTTCCTTATTCAGCCAAATCATATTTTTTACCTGTGAATCAAGTTTTACATGGCAAAAATCTGCTTGTCCTTTAGTTTCTGGTTGGAATGTAAACTAATACAAAATATCTACCCTAGTTCAGTCGAGTAGGGCTGTCTGAGCTAAGTGTATGTATTGCACAGTATTTCACAAACACGTTTTTTTATGAATAGTCAAATTGTTTGGCTAAGGGTCTACAGTAGACCCTCGCTCATCCGGACTAATGTGGCGGACGTCCGGTCCGGATTACGAAAAATCCGGACTATCGAGAGTCGAGCAAATACACAGTACTGTATATAGCCGTTTTTTTCAATTTTGTTCCAGGTCCACAGTAATGATAGCCGGGCATATGCACTTCCACCGGTAATAATTTTTACGCCACACTACATTATTTTGATGAACTTTCCACGCAAGGATTTAGTCCAGAAAACAGCTGTTTGCCGCCAGCTTATTCAAATGGGGTTTCATTGCGTAATACTGTTCTGCAATGAGTTTTACCGGACACCAATCAGCTGATTATACTGTATTTTCGTGGCAATTAGTAGTTATAAACAAAAACATATATGACTAGTGTTTATTAGTCCTTTAGTTGGTGGAAATATATAAGGATTTGTACGGATTTAGTAGTATGCCGTAAACTATCGTACGTAACTCGTCCAAAATGTGTGTACCGGACTCGTATGGTTATCCCGTACTCGACTTCGTCTCGCACGGGAACGACCACACTCGTCCGGTAAACACTTATTTTCAGGACTAGTAACGTAATATACTATATCGGCCAAATTTTTTTGTAGGTCCACAGTAATGGTAGCCATGGCAAATGCACTTCCACTGGTAATCAACCATATAAGTTTTTTAATGTTGGCTTTGAATAATTTTTACTGCCGTGTTATCCGATTTTTTTCATTATTTGAGGTAGTCTCGGTCCCGTTTCGCTCGGATAATCTGACTTCTACTGTACTGTGCCGCTAAAAAAATCACAATTGCCGATCCGGACTACCGGGAGTCCGGACAAGGCCGATCCGGATGAGCAAGTGTCTACTGTATTTACAAACTGGCTGCACTAGGGCGAGACTTCGGAAACCGCAGGTGCACTCTGTGGAAAATACAACCATATTCTTACACAGTATTGATGCAAAGTGATTTTTCAGATTTTTTGTTACTCTTAACAAACCGTAATTATTACCATAATTTATCTCTATCTCTAGTTCACATTTATGACTAATTAAAATTATTCATCGAACAGAATAAAAGTATTTGAACCTATTTACAATTTTTTTTTTAAGTAGTCTCACTCAGACAAGATCTTTCTTTGCATTACCTAAACCTTACATAACCTTATTTCAGAGCCTTACTAATCTAGGGTGTGGCACAAATGTTAAGGTTTTATTATATTACCTAAAATAATCAAATGACTAGGCATAGTTGGATTAGTATTTTTTAAGAGACTAAAAGTTTTATTCAGATGTATAATTTGCAATAAGTAAAACATGAATGTAACTACACTGCCAAATTGACGATATACAAAGAAAAAATAGTTTTCCTGCAATAAGTACCTACTTACTAATTTAAAATTTCAGTCAAATATATGGACACACAGTGAGAGCATAATATAATTTCAATCAACATAATATTTTAGTACTGAAACTTACTTACTCTTTCCAATACTTACAAACTGCCCCATATAAGTGTTAAAAATACTCTGACCTTTAAATGGCCAAAGAGTACAAGTGCATACATAATTTTTGAGATATTAGAGAACTATTTACATTTGTGATTGTTTAAATATTAAATTTATTTAAATTAATAGTATGTAAATATGTCTGTGATTCTAAAGCACAATATGAATGTAATATCCTTAGTATTAAGTAATATTGTTTATTTTTAATAATGACTGTTATATTGAACTTCCATTATCAGTGTATGTTGAAAATAGTACATTCCATTTTCTTCCTTTAGATGTACCAAATCTTATAGTTAAGAAATAGTTGTAATATGTTTTTGTTTTATTAATAACATATCAAAAGATTTAATGGTGTTAAACGTATTAAAGTAAAATTGTTAGTACTTTGTTAGTTTGTTTCATTCCAAGATACAAACATTTTTTGCAACAGACTCAAATCAAGGATAAAAAAAACACTATTATTTTACCATATTAGTTGAACCAACTCAAATTATTTGTTACCAAAATTGTTCTCAATTAAAATTTGTTTATTGAATTATTTTAAAACAGGTTACTGAAGAAGCTCTTTTAGTTTTCATTTTTTTTCTTACAGTCAGTTATTACATAATAATACTTTTATATGTTTCTTTAGTACCTCTGATTACATTTATAATGTATGTATTTTTAATTTGAAAATTTGTCCATTTGTTTGTTTAATTTATAATTTTAATGCCTGGTGAAAACAAATGCTGACAATTGTCCACATTAAGTATCTTTTCCAACGTATATTTCCCCTCTTGAATCAAAAATGGCTCTTCTTAAATAAAGTTAATTAAAATTTCAAAGTACATAGGCCCCCTACCACATTTTGTATTAAGTTCTTCTTCTTCCAAAACTATTTGCATGACTAATTCAACCAATCTGAATGTTTCAATATGTGTCTTGTTTGTGTAGTCTTTTTTGATCTTTGAAACATAAAGTGTTAATGTTACCACCTTTAAAGCCATATAAAGTTACCTTAACGTTAACCTTAAAATTGAATTTATCATGTGATAAGGTTTGATTTGAATATCACAGTCTAATATAATAAGCAGTCCAGTTTGCAGTCACAATCTTGCATATCAAAAAATTTAGAAAGTTTAATCTACCTTAAAATGATTTCATTTAAAAACACAGTTTGCACAATTATTGGAAGTAATAGTTGGTATGGAAATAGCAGTCGTCACTACTTATTAGACTGTGGTTGAAGAAAAGCTCATTCAACATACATATTAGTGTACATAGTGAAATTAGCATTTTGTAATTGTTAGAATTGACTTCTTTCAATTTGTTAGACATGTCTATGAATGCTATCATTGGTGTTGAAGTTTACTGACCTGTACAATGTTATACTGGCCTACTAAGTAAATAAAAGTACCTATTACATTATGCAAGTATTTTTATTTAACCTTTATTGCAAATGTACACAATAATTGAACTAATATAGAAAGGAGGGTATGGAATGCAAATTACTAAGAAAATAACAATATAAATGTATTTAAAAGATTTTAACAACATTACATTACAAGATTACATTAAATAAAATACATATAAGATAAGAAGAGGCACGGTTTACAAAATAATGCTGATGATGGACAACACACCTTTACATGCAAGACAATCTGAAACAGATCATAAACATAAGATTACAATATGTCCTAGTGTTTGAGCAGTACAGTCGCATCTCGATAGTCTAACTTTCTTATGCACTCCAAAATCTTATTATCAAGAGTTAGTGGTAACTATTACCATAGACTAACCAACACAAGTAGACTTCTCATCCTATTGTAAATTTTGAAGCTAATTTTTTATGTCTAGTCTAGTTCATATCCAGTGACACTAACAAAACCAATGCTAGTGTAGACAAAGCTTTTGTTTAAATTATTTTAGGGTTAATTTCATCATTTGGGCTTTACTGTTTGGTTATATAACTAGAGGGCAAGTTATTGTTTATGATTAGATTGTTTTATTTGGTCAAGATTTTAAATGGCTGAAATAACAAGAAACGAATTGTAAACAAAACACAACCTTTGCAGTGCACCGGACAGAACTAATAATAAAATTAAAATTGGCTTCAGCTGTTCCATAAGGATGGAAAAACTATTAAGGGAGTATTAAGGTTATATTCAAGTTAGAGGTGGTATTTCAAGTTCCACAGCATTCATAGTACTCTTACCATATCATTACTATACAATTTTTCATCACAGTATGAAATAAACACAATGAAATTTTACTACAATCTCTGACTATAACTAGGAAACCAAACAAAACCTTAACAATATACTGTTTTGAGTTTGGTTATGGCTGGTAAGCTATGACAATTTAATAGTGTTCTTGCTATCCATGGCAAAGACAGATAAAGAATAAACACAAATTCCCAGACATTTAGCCTCAAGTATTCTTTTAAAACGAGTTTTACTCAAAAGACTAGAAAGACTAGTGCTCAACCATCCGTTAGCATTTCTCACCTTATGAATCAGTCTTAATTCTTAATTCGGGTAGAACTTCTTGTTGTGGTCCTTGGAGTGGTCGAGCAGCAGCTGGCATGGAGTGAATGGGGACCCATACTCCGACTGGAACTTGAGCATCTTGTCTACCAAGTTGTGTGCTCCGTAGGCGTCCACCCAGCGGAACGGACCTCCGGTGAATGGAGGGAACCCGAGTCCGAACACAGCACCAATGTCTCCCTCAACCTATGGGAAACAAAACAGTTGTCATTTTTAGTACAGTAGTTGTTAGGGAAAGCAATTAATTTTGTGTTGTAAACACGCATATAATGTTGTTAGCAAATTTACTATTAAAATCATTTTCCCATTATTGTACTGGGTTGGCTGGCTAGTGGTTGCAGGTTAATTTCAAAGCTCACTAATTACATCTTAAGAATGACTGGTTTTTCGTTGGCTACCAGCGATTGATGTTGAGCTATTGAGCTACCACCATTGAGCTATTTATGTTGCTACCAGCACTTCACTGTTAAAAATAGTAACATGATCATGGTCTGGCTGGACTGTTCCCTTCCATAATAGAAAAATTAAATACTGATGTTACATACACAACTAATGAACATAAGTAGTTTTGTTCAAGAACTAATACTGCTCAGAATATTTTTCCAGAACACTGTAGCAAAATACAATTTTCTACAAAACTCGTTTCCAAATCAAACAAACATGAAATTCAACTCACGGGTCCGTTGAGTATTCCCTCCTGAAGGCACAATACAGCTTCGTTGACAAATCTCGACACCATTCTCAACTGCATGTCTTCTTCACTCTGTGGGCTGGGTGGCGTCAGTTTGTACTTCTTCAGAATGTTCAGAGCACCATCGTTGACGGGCCTGTCCTTAGTGCCCTTCTTGTAGATGAAATATCCTTTGCCAGACTTGCGTCCTGCAATAATTCACTTGTTAAAACGGGGAAAAATGTATAATTATGAAAAGGATAATTGATATTTGTAAAAAACATTAAACAAAACATTGTTATAAGCTTTTGGTGAACCTAAAATATTAAATAACAATATTAATTATTTAATATAAAACTATATTGTTCCCAATATCGCAAAGACAATAGGCATATTATATGAGCTAACATGTCTAGTTTTTGTGGTATTTGATGTTGGTCAAACTACCTGTGAATTATGTTTGTATTTTAGTAAGGAAAGAAACATGTTTATTTGCATACCCAAATGATTGTGTGGAATTGATGGACTATAAATTGATATCAAACTAGTGTTATATAAGAATGCTGACCTAGGAAACCAGCATCCACCATGTCCTTGAGCACATTAACACTTCCGCCAGCAAACCTATCGCCGAAGATGTTGCCGAGGTCAGCCGCGATGTGAGCACCCACGTCCACTCCCACCTCGTCTGAGAGTGTTGCCGCTCCCACGGGGAAACCAAACTTCTTGGTCATCTTGTCAAGATCCTTAGGGTCCACTCCTTCCTGTAAACAACAGATTGCTAAGTGACTTCTTGTAAAGTATTCCAAATTCTGTTCCCTGTGAATTCACTTAGTTTCTCATACATAATTTCTATGGATTAGGAGTTGGAGGAATAAACTTGTCTTATTTAGCATGAGCAAGAGATTGCTAAATTATGAAGGATTGGATTGATGAAAAAAGAGACTATTCAGGTGATTGGATGGTTAAAGGAGATTTTAACAATGTGTATCGATTCATAGTATACAGCAAGATGGCTTTGCCATATTTATAAAATTCGCCAAGTTAAAATTGATCCTCTCAGTATTATAGTTTAAGAAAAAAACTTTACTCTGTTACTTCTAGATAAGTAACAGAGTATTTGCCAGCGAAATTACCACTGGCTTCTTCCTCTTACTTACTTGGCTTTAGTCCTCGGGCAGATATTGACGGATAAGAAACAGATTAAAAACTACTTATATTTTTGTTATACCAGAAAAAAATCAGACAAGAAAGAACACTCGACAAGCATTTAAATACCTAATAATAAGCTTCCAAAATCGTAAAGAAATTAGATCATAAAAAGATTAGACTTTTTTAGCCTGTAAGTAAATATCTCCTGTTATATTATTAATTTCTTTGGTAGTAGTTCACAAACTCTTCCCTAAGACTAACTGAATATCAACGTTTAATAGAAAACTAGTTTCAGAACACCATTGAAAGTAGTACCTGGTACCACAATCAGTGATATTACCTGGAGCAGTCTAAGTCCCTCGGAGGCCATGGTGGTGAGAATACGAGTGGTGTAGAAGCCAGGACCATCCTTGACTGTGATGACTACCTTGCCTTGCTTGAGTCCCACAGCTACAGCGGCAGCCGCTGTGTCCTGTGACGTCTTGTCTGTAGCGATGATCTCCAGCAGCTGCATCTTGTCTACCGGGGAGAAGTAATGCATCCCGATAACCTACATAATGGCACACATACTTGATATATAGTTATAAAAAAAACCCAATAGAAATGATTCAATTAATCAATGAACAACAGAACTTTGAATCTATAATATAGAAAAAAACAATATAAAAAGACTAGAATAAAGCCAATATCCACCATAGTTAAAGCAAAGGATTGTGAAAAGCAACTGCGGAGTCATCAAGGCCACCGCAAGAACACACTGATGCAGTCCGCAGTCTTAATGTGAAATTTGGTCTGCAGATGGCACCAAAGTGTGCCCAAACATATTACCAGATATGGAGCTAAGTAATAATATGCATTCCTCTCTCAACTGTAGACTCTCGTGGACTCTACTGTAAAGCCTCTAGATTCCTAAAAAAGGTCGGTTGAACTAACCAATTTTAAATTTAGGCAGCTCTTTTATTTTTACCTGGCCAAAGGTGGTTGATCTGACTAACAGTTGACCTAAAATCTGTTAAAATGTTTAAATGCCAATAAAGATTCTTATTCTGTTAAGAAAGGGTCTACTGTATTACCTTGTCTGGCCGCTTGCTGGCCTCAGCTATCTTGGTGATGGGGATGGCGCTGGTGTTGGAGGCAATGATACAGTGAGGAGGAACCACCTGCTCCAGCTCTTGTATCACTCTGTGCTTGATCTTGATGTCTTCAAACACAGCCTCTATCACGATGTCTGCCTTCTTGAACTTGTTGTAGTCCAGCGTTGTGTCCAGGTTGGCCATGAACCTGTCCCTCTCCAATCTGAGGACACATTGGTGGATTTAACTTTTACATCAAATTGTGGAGGTGATGGTGAAAAGAAATTTATTTTGTAAAACAAATATATAAAAATCACTAGGAAATTAAGCTTTAAGTGAACTTACGCGTCAATCCTTTTCCTTTTGACCTGTCCGTCCAGACCACTGTATATTTGTCCCAGACCTCGCAACAGTCCAGGTTCAGTTGTGTCCTTCATGATGACGTTGTATCCTTTGTCCACTGACACCTGAGCGATACCAGCACCCATCAGTCCAGCTCCCAATACTGCCACAGTCCTGCAACGGGAAACTAACAATAACGGTTGACTTCAAACATTAAATTTTGAATTTATGATGTGTCGTAGTTAAAAGTTTAGTTACTGTTTGGGATATCCTGAGTTAGAATTCTAATGATAACCAAAAGTAATATCCAAATATCTAACCAATATTCCATCAGAGGACATCAGCTAATCACTTCACCGCCAATGCACAAATTAAATTTGTCATACTCATTCATTTGTCTCTGACTCATTCTTGATGTAGATGACTTGGGTTTTAGTTTCTTTCAAGCCATGATCATATATATCAGCGCCTTTTAGATATAATAATCCATCTAGCGATAACATGAAGCATCACACATGAAGAGCACATAACACAACACAAAAACAGCAATGTAAAAAACACCTAGACTTAATAGTGATAATTATTGGTCAAATGGGAACGTTCACTGATAGTCCACGGACAATTTGGTATGTACATTTATATATTAGCTCTGGTGGCCAATCAAATTGAATACACTGTCGTTTAAGACAAAAGGTTTAGAATCATTTGATGGAGATTTCTTATTGACTTAGACCAACTTATACTTAAAGTCATACATCTACTAAATCCTGAATAATCAAGGATTGTTGAGGCTAGTTAAACCTTGTAACTCTTCTTGCGATAGAACCAGATGTATATTACAAGGCAAGAAATCTCACCACTCTGCTATCCAAAATATTTCCCAGAGCACTTATCTTGCTACTGCAAGTTTACCTTACTGGTAAACAATGATTACAATAATAATACTTTGCTAAACTGAATAAGTCGCTCAACGTACAGGCATAAAAATTTAACTTATGGTTTGATCAAAATACAGTAGACCCCCTCTTAACCGACCTCGTATTAACCGATAATCGGATTATCCGCCTTGGATCGTGAAATAATACAGTTTGTTTTAACCGACTTTGCTTTGAGAGCAGCTTGGTTTAACCGCCGCTTTCTAGGAATCTCGGCATTTCCGCTCCCACGCTGGGTGATGAGAACTGAACCATACGCTTAATCTCCACAGGATATGACTAAAAATAAGTTATTTCGTGTTGATCACAAAAAATATAGCATGGCCTATTGTCAGTTTGTCATCATCTTTCGTTATCGTAGCTCGAGCACATTTGATCTGATATGTTATCTGTGTGGCAAATTTATAACATCATAAAGTGTGTTACGATTTTGAGAACTGATTATCTTATCGCTGGAGTAAACAAACAACGCAACTTGTAGGGAGGGCAGGGAAGAGGGGTTAACAACTCCAAGGTCAAGCTAGTTTTTGTGCCTCGCTCCAGCCTACAGTGAGAGGTTATAAATAAACATCCTATCCCTTGTAACAAAATGGTTGCTTGTATCTTTAATTTCAACAAAAGGTTCTGTACTGTATTACAATGGATTTAGTGATTTAGAAAGCATCAATTAATACATTACAGTACTAAAGTTATTGAGATAGGAATTTTATTGACTGTTGCCTAGTATTATAATATATTCCACTGAAAGTAGGCCTATTAGACTTAACCATGTTTTGTGTTTATTTGTGACTTTTCTATCAATACTAAAAAGGAGATAATAGTAGTTTAATTTATAACTAATGCAAGTATGGCTTCAAAATATTGATTATATAATTCCAAATGAATAGCATTTCATTATGTTATGATTTTAGGGATTGCCCGTTTTAACCGACCTTTTGAGTTATCCGACGTAGGTCCGGTCCCATTAGGGTCGGTTAAGAGGGGGTCTACTGTAATTCTATAACTTTCAGGTTAATTCAGGAGAAAAACTTTAAATTTGATGGCTTCTAATAACTTTTAGTTGCAAACCATGCTATCACTGATTATCATAGAGGAAAAATTAGAGGTAACCTTACTTAATTTCAGTCTTAGGTACTCCAAATCTGTTCTTCTTGCACTCAGTCTGCCCCCGGAACAGCCCCATCAGTCCCTTGCTCTGTGGAGTCATGGCTAGTTCCGCAAACCCTCTACTCTCTGCCTCATAACCTGCCTGGGGGCCTTTGTCCACTCCTGTTCTGATTACTTCCAGGATCTGCACCAAAAACATCAATAGATAATGCAGTCTCAATAACAAATCTAAGACTTTGTATTATGTGTATTAAAAAAATTGTGTTGCCTGTTATACTAAGGTTATGTACAAGACATTAAATATGGCTTTGAGCTAGATTTGTTTGTCTTCAACTATAGGGAAGGAAAACACTATATTGAAAAAAGATCCTAAACGTTTAAGTAAGGCATGGTTCAGCCTTTTATGCCTGCTGTTCAACCTATCCACCAAAAAATCTTTAGTTTTGGTAGTGTTTAGTTTGTTAATAATAAAAAGTTAAAAACTATACAGCATTTCAATTTTAATTTGGGCTATTAACAAAAGTTCATGTTATTTTAAATCAGTAAAAAGTGGTGATAGGGGATAGGGAATGAATACATTTTATCGACTTTTCAAACCCTTAAGATAATGTCAAAATATTTCTCACATATAGGAGTGCTTGGCCAATTTCGTAGCATTGCCCTAATATGGCCTAATACACAACTACACAATACAATTGAAAAAGTAAAGATTGAGGTAAATCTTTGGTAAAACTGAATGGAAAAGACAAGAGAAGTATATCAAACACAGTATGTAGGTAGTTAGTTTTATGTTTTAACTCTGTAAGTTAAGTCGTAAGTAGTATATCTATTTATTTGACAAAAGACAGCTGGAATCAAAACTAACTGATGAAAGTGATGACAGGATAAATTTAGGCAGTTTTAAATTTCAATTCCCGAACCTTTGGTAAGAGGTTGCTTCAAAATTTGTATTACAATTTTGACAAAAAATTACTAATTTTTTGCTGGATTTGCCAATAAAATTAGTCTGTTTAAGCACCAGAAAACTTACCTACTACCAAAACAACTAAGAACTTTTATTAGTCTAATCTACAGAATTTTTGTTGTTAAGTGTAATACTTAATTTTTAATTTAAAATCCATTACCTTCAAAGGGGCAGGATACAAGCCACCGGTTAACTTCATGACCTGATCTTTAGCTTTCTTGAACACCATGTCTTTGACAAAGTCAAGTTGGAAAGCAGCAGACATCACTTTGTCCATCATTCCCTTATTCCTCTCAATCTTCAACTTTCCATCAGCAATAGCTGCTGCGCTCTGCACTGCTACTTCCTCTAGATACTCTATAGTCCTGAGAGATGATAATACAAATCAGTCTGATTAATGAAATTTTACTTAAGAAACCATTTTTAAATTTCAAAATGCAATTAAAACAACAAATAAAAAAATTAATTTAGACTTACACTTTGTCCTTTTCTATTTAGCTATAGTATTTGAGCGAGTAAGCTCAGAAACATCATTCCAAATTACAATTAATTCATCTCATTATTTTTTTTATTTTAAAGAATGTGCCTGAGGAGTTATTTTAGTTTACTTATCGTTAGCAACTGGTACTATACGCTTAGTATACAACCAAGAGGTACGCTCTGCCCTCACTTTTTTAAATCAAATCAAACAGAAAATTTTTGTTATTCATATCGTACATTTAGGTGCCTGCATTTGACTACACATTATATTACAATAAATACAAATAACCGCACTGTTTGTCTACTCCTCATACATGCATACCTCTCTGTTATTCGTATGTCTAAGTGAAAATGGAGAGCTGTGACATGGTGGAAATTAATAGCTTTATTTTATACTGTTTCCGTGGTGGTGTTATAGCTCTTTTTTTCAAGTAGCCTAATGGTGGTTTCCACATTATAAAAGTGTTTGAGTGTAATGTGTTATTATGTAACTATAAAATGTACATTTATTTAGATTAATGTCAAAATAAGTTTAACATTTTTACAGAGGTTTTCGCAGGTATCCATGTTACCCAAACTTACTGCGACCAAACAGGAGTAATCATCACAGAGTAATCTACTATATACACTAACCTCTGTTCAGGGCTTCCCAAGCCAGGTCCAAGAGGATCCACCAGCTGGTCGACTATTCTCATTTTCTTCGCCTTATCTGCCTTCACTGTCTTGCCAGTCAGTTCAAGGTCGAGTGCCAAGGGGATGCCGGCTAGTCTGGGCAGCCTCTGGGTCCCGCCTCCACCCGGCAACAGACCAAGCATCACCTCGGGCAGTCCCAGCCCTGTTTTGCGGTCCTTCACTGCGATACGGTAGTGACACGCAAGGGCAACCTATAGGTACAATCATGGATAGTCAGTGATAACTTGAACGGTTTTACTTCACATTGATACTTTTTACAAACTGAGTTTACAAAACTTAGACCTTTGTGGAACTGCATCACATTATATTTTTAAGTGGTTTTGGTTATTGGAATTAATTGGTGTTCACAACTTCTTGTGGAAAACAAAATTGCTATTGTTAACACTGGAAAACTGTTGAAACATAGAAATGTCTTAGATAAAACTAAATTAAATTTTTTCACAATTAAAAACGTGTTGCAAACTCCAGTACGTAAATGTTGCTTAAACCATATCAAATATGATGTATTTAATTTATTTTCATGTATTACTCAGTAGATACAGTTGATGATGATCTGTATTCTTGACATGTGTTACACAACCGTACCTCGAGTCCGCCGCCCAGACAAGAGCCCATGATGGCTGCCACGATGGGTTTGCTGGACTCCTCCACCCGGCTGAGTATGCGCTGTCCCTCGCGTGAGATGGTCAACACCTCGTCGTAGGTCTTGCAGCTCTCCAGCATGCCGATGTCAGCCCCTGCGATGAAGCAGCCTGGCTTGCCTGAGATCAACACCCCCGCCTTGACTGTGGGGTTGCGCTGTACACTCTCTACTGCCTGCGCCAGCTCCTCCATCACTTCCTTGCTGAGTGAGTTCACCTGCAAAACACAGTAATGAAATTAAATGTTTTATTTGTCACACAAAATACATTGTGTTACATCACCAGTAAACATAATATGATAAGTGAGTTTATTTCCTCTTAAAACATTGTAAAGAGTATTTGTTGTAATTGGTAATATAAATCAAAATAAATATTTTTCAAATCAAGTCAAAAGATAATAAAAAAGAAAAGTGACACTGTAAGTTACAAACAAATTCTTCAACTGAATAAGTGACAAAGTAGTTCTAAATATTTCCCCACTTGTTTTTTTATCTGTATTTTTTCTGCCAATCTGATTTGGGTAGGAAGAGTGTGTGTGAGTAAAATTCCCCACCCACCCATATACAAAGTAGCTTTCTCATAAATAACATTTCTATGGACAATGTACTGAAGAGTGACCCTATGTCTAGTACTATATGAATGGCATGGTTTCTTGACAAGAAGGATCTGTAGTGTTTTTTTAACATATATACATAGTCAATATATATATGTCGATATGTGTACACAGCAAAAAACTGTAGTAAACTTCAACTCACCATAGACTTTTCAGACTAATTAAGAAAGTGTACATGATTTAGTAGAAGTAGACATCTTACAACATGTCGACTTAAGAATTATTTTACAATTACCGTGCGTGTAATTTTGTTTTTATATTTTTCTAGCTTGTAAGTCCAAAAAATTTAAATTATTTAAGAAACATCTCATAACTTTTATTTAACAAAAGTTTTAAGGAAAGCTGTAGAAATTCCACAAATGTTTGTCGCTATGGGGAGAAAGAATGTTATTAATGAAGGTTAAAATACAACATACAGACAACCCACCAAGCAGATAATGCACGGACATTCTCCAAATAATGAGTTAACTCCATAATATCAGTGTTTTCATTTGTATATCACAGATTTTGTTTTTAGCCTATTTCAAATTTGATTTAGCAGTATCAAAATATTTGTAAAATCGTTTTTTGCAGGTTAAGCTATTATGTGCTCATCTAAGTTAGTAATAAAACCCTTTTGTCCTCTTGCGCCTGATAGAAGAAAATAAAAAAATCTTACGTCAACAAATTTATTCCAATGTTTTGACACAAAGATTAAAGTTACCTTGAATTTTTTTGAGGCAGTAAATATGAAGGTAAGATTAAATTATTTTAAAATTGTTTGATTTTTTTTAATTGTGATGTTTACTAAGCTTGAGAAAATAGTATTAATAGCTGGGATTCACTTTAGAAGAGGTAAGGCCTTTTTTATGAGGTTTTAGAGTGATTTTACAGCTTTTATCAGGGTACATTCATCTATTACAGAATTATGCCTATGGCCTATGCATATAGAGATAGACATGTCAATGAGGTTATAAATTATCTAATTGAAGAAAAGAAATAAAACTAATCTTTATGAAAATTAGCCTATTGAAAAGAGTATTTAGGTATAGGCTATTATTAAATAATTTATTTGATAGAATTATTTAATTTCTCATTTATTGACCAAATTAGTGTAATAGAAAGGCACAGATAATGTCCACAAAATATAATATTTGTGATGAGTTGTGTTTTAAGTTGACAACTTCTTTTGACTTCCATCTTGTTACTGTAGTTTAATTCTTGACATTTTGAGACTTTCTCCTACCAAACACCTATCAAGATAAGCCCTCTATCATTAGGCAAACAGTAAATAATCTGACAAGCGCAAGTCATGAGCATCATTATAAGAAATATCCACACATAGTTGTAATAAAGTAGGCCTAGTACTCAAATTTTACTAATTAAAAAAAATTAGTTTATGGAGCAATTAAGTAGAAATAGGCCTGAACATTAAGTTACTTGTTAAACCACAAATAGTATCAAATAGGTTACTCAATGTATTGTTATAACAAATCATGTAAGTCAATCGGTTTATCTAATTCCTGGTTTTTTTGCAAACAAATGGTTTAACAGTTTGGTTTGCAAAACTAGTAGCTGATCAAATTCCAGTTGTAGACTAATGTAATTGTATCTCAGGGTCATGAGATAAACTGTCTGGCCAGCAGCCAGAAAACTATTAACTTCCGGGTCTCTGATAACAATAGACTACTACTAAAGCTATAAAACAAATCTTAAATCTATTACACTCGAGACAACTTAGCCTATATTTCATTTTTAAGAAATGCGCAATTTATCTTAAAAGAAGTACCTAAAAACAAATAATAATGTTGTAAAACCCCACTAATTCAGCACATCAAAACAAAAGGAATAAAGTTAGGAAAGGATTTTTACTGAGTAGGCTTTTGGCACATATAGTAGAGGTATAAAGGACTTGAAAAATGTCCTTTTGACTGAAATTAGGGGTTTTCCTGTTAACCTAACTAAAAAAAAAACAATGTTTGAGCAACGATTAGTAATCTATCGTTTAGTTCTGGCAATATAAACATCCTGGACGTGCTTGATTAGTAAGTGTCTAAGCAGAATTAGTACCAGGTTTTTTTTAGAGCTGCCTATTAAATAACAATAAGGCCTAAAACAAGGTTAAATATAACCTACAAAATGGAATAACAATTTATTTACAGTATCATGATGCATCTGGATGAAGTATGGTACGATTTACACACCATAAAATGTAACTGAATCAAAGGAAATGTGTGTTGATCCTTTAAATTTAAAAATTGGTGCAGAAAGATCGGCCCTGTCGTTAGCAAGCCAAAGCTACTTAGCTAGCTCTTTAATCAAAGTTGTGCTGCTTCATCTGTTGTCAAGTCAAGGTATGATCTCACCTAGTAATAGGCCTACTCAGACGATTGTTCACTAAAGCTCAATAAGAATTTAAGAAATGTTCTTGGAACATACAATTAAAAAAAGTGTAAGCCTATCTTAGTTCCTAGGCTGTTAAAAGCAGTCAGTTTAAACTTTAAAGTTACATACCTTAGCACCAGGGGTGTCGAGTGTGATGACACAGACTTCATTGACAATTTTCGTTTTCGTATGTTTTCCATAAGGTGTGGCCTCTGCATTGTAATTTCTTTTGGATATATATGAAGTAGCTGAAACAAAAAAAAAAATGATAAACTAATCCATGAACGTAACTTTCAACCTTACTGGATGAAACAAACTAAGTACCGGTAACAAGCAATAAAAAAATAGTCAAATTTTCATCTGGATAGGGAGGAAAGCATCCCATGGACCTGATTCTGTAAACTAAAAATTGTACTTAGTAATACACAACTTAAAAAGGAAAAATTTGCAGCCTAGCAATTAAAAAATCTTTGGCTTGATTTATACATTAGTCGTATGGGTCCCGACCATCCCGACCCACTGGCTATACAACATACGGCAACACGGTATACAACGTTGCTTAATAAGATTAAATGCTAGGGCTATCATCTATAATAGGCTATTCATTCTGACCTAAATTTAAAGATTTCGGCAAAACTTTGATAGGCTATCCTGAAAGTGAAGAAAAGTTTTAATTAAGTTAAGCTCTGTTTGTTCACAATAGACGAATTTTGGCTAGTGACTAAAGATAACTCAAATTTAATTTACTAATTATAGAATGCTAGAATATGTTATAAGGTGAAGAAGTTAAATTATGTTTATGTAAGGTTTAGGATTAACTGACGAGTTAGGAGATAGGGTACCACAATATGTACGGTACCTATTTTACTAACAATAAAGTTCTTGTATTTTGTAACTTGTTTTTCAATTGCTGATTCTATTTTAGTCTAGCTTTAGCTTAAGTATGAGGAAATGTATTACATGACTTTGCAAATATTGTGTAACTGTTGAGCAAATAAATAAATAGAGCAGTAGGTTACTTATAGATTAGCTGCAGTCTCACTACGATGTCTAAACATCTCCTAAAAATTTACTACTGTAAGTTACCTGAAAACCAAAATAGAAGTTGTAGATTCTTCAATAAGGGGAAAAATAAAGACAACTTAATTTAAATTTTAATTTAGCCTAGGCCTACAGTATAAAAAATGAATACATAGAAACCAAAAAACACTGTACAAGTAAAAATCGTGAGTTTGTTGTTGGATGAGAATATATGTTTCAAAGCTCACGCTGATTCTCGCTGACTGTCTCAATAAATTTTTAATTCATAGTTAGGTTATGTTCCTTTTTAAGTTGGTTCGCCATTTAATAATACCATTTTGAAATAAATGTACCATTTTGTTCAGAATGTAGAACATAGCCCACTAGGCTTAATATTTATCAAAATTGTACGGGCCATTAACTAACTTAGTCCCCAGCCTAGCCGAAAGTAGGCCGACCTACCTAGGCTTTTAGTTGATCTGATGTCCTACTCCGCGCCCTGGCATGATTTCCATAACCAGAAAGTAGTTGATAACTGGCGTAGACGATGAAGGGAACTGATGAAAGATTGATGTCGTAAAGACATAGGACGTAGGCCTTTCTCAATGTAGGCTATAATTAAGTTAGGCCCTAAATTTAGTAACTTAAGCCTACTAGCTCATCGCCCATCATATTCCTGGCATAAATTACCCTTCATAATTTACAAGAACAGTATTTTGTTGTCTTAGAACGAGGCATAGCTTGGAAACTACTCAAGTTGGCCCTAGGGTATGCTTAAATTGAACTGAGGTTCAAAGTAAAAAATAAATCTTACCTGGCAAACTGAACTTTTTGATGTTGGAAACAGATAACTTTTCAAGGGTACCAAACAATCTACAGGCTGCAGCCATGGCGAAGGAAATCTAATAACTGTAGATGTTTTATCTATCACGAAATGAATAGACAGGTTATGCGGAATCGGCACCCTGTTATGCCAGTGCAAAGGGCAAAGATAACAAAATAATTAAAGATAAAGTTCTCCAACAACAATTCCCTATAGAACGATCCACTAACATAAGAAATGACTATATTATTTAAGAACTTTAAAAAAATAAAGGTGTAGAAAGTTTAAAATAAAAAAGATATAATTTTAAATTCAGCAAAATTATTACAGAACATTAAAATGACAAACACGAATGCAAAAGAAAACAAGAAGAAAGCTCAAATATGCTCTACAGTATACAATGGGAGGGGCAGGCAGACGAATTTAGATTGCTCAAGGTTTGGTTGTTTGATTAATGCTTCTAAGCCCATTGATCACGTACACATTACAACCTCTTTTATTTCGTATTTTTAAAGAGGTATTATTTGGTGATGTTTCAGTCCAGGGGCCTCTTTCATAATAAACTAATAACATTACTAATAATATTAACTAATAATATTAGTAAATCAGCTGATCACCCAATGAAAACCTTATGGAAATTACAAGTTATAAGTTGTAACTTGTAACTTGTAGTTTATTATGAAACGGGCCCCAGGAAGTCGAAAACCCAGTCCTCGCTGGACTGAGGCTGTTCTAGGACCACGTCCTCTTCAGTCAGTGTTTCTAGGTTCTAGGGAGAGGAGGGGAAACGCTTTTTATTGACATAGGTGGCCAGCTACCAAAGAACCCTCTACTCTGTTGGCCACAGACCCGGGATTGTTTGTTTGTTACATTTCTTCAAGTCAGGCGAACATGTGAGTCCTAGAGCTCTCACTGTTTCTGGCATTCTGTATTTTTATGACCGACCGAGACCGCATCTCGAACAAAGCCAAGCTTCTTGGCACGGTGAATCACAGACCCTTTCCTCACCTACGAAATGCCCTCACCCTCTGTCATCATCGGGATGACCGTGTCTACTGTCAGCTATTGTCCTACATTGTATTAAGCCTCGTGGTGGGGCCTTTGCGAACGCGGGCAGACGAAAAAAGTGTGTTCATCTTGAGTTATAGTTTTGAGTACCAAGGTGTTAAAATGTACAATTTCTTGCCTGCATCCATCAAAAACCTGTGTGTTTCAAAATTTAAACATGTTTTAAAAACTACTCTAACCCAGGCTTGCCTGTATAAACATGAAGAGTATTTTGGTTTAGAGTTTTAGTTTTAGTTGCCATCTTGATTGTTTTCTTTTTCTTTTGACGATTGTCATGAACTTTGTACTCAGTTTTAACGACAATAAAGCATTTCATTTCATTTCATTTCATTTAATATGTCAGTAAAGTAAAGTCAACCCTTGCTAGCCATAGTATTAACAAGACATATTTTCAATCTGGGAAACCTTAAACTTTTAAAATAAATTATAAAACCTCAACATCTTAATGCGTGGGAATCTTATTTTTAGAAAAAAAACAGACCAAAATTATTAGTTAAATAATGAAGATGGCCCAATTATAAATTCGGAATTACTGAAAATAATTACATCAAGAACAACACTGTAACATATCCAAAATTCAAAAGATTAATTTTTCTAATATTATTTTTTATTTTTCCAATATCCTTTAAATCATCTGTTTTAACTTTGTTTAAAATTAATTTATTGAGTAAATATTTACTTTTTGTACTAGTGTAAACACAGCCTGAAAATGGAAACCAAGTTTCTGAAAGCACTAGTGAAAAAAAACAAATTATTATATATTGGCCTTGTTGAACATTTAAATTTAGATATACTGTACATTTCATCAGTGGTAGTATTTTTTTCTTCAGTTTGTTACCGGGACATTACGGGACATTACAGGATATCCAGTGGATTTTGTACATGTCCCGGGATGTCATGGGACATTCTGGGATATCCTATGGCATTCGTACATATCCCGGGACTTTACAGGATATCCTGAGGTTAACTTACAAATCCCGGGACATTACGGTATATTGTAGGATATCCTGTGGATTTCGTACTCGTCCCGGGATTTTGCGGGATATCCTGAGGATAGCGCACATATCCCGAGACATTCTCAGGACATATGGGACTACTATGGGATGTCCCTGGGATAAAGTGTGCTGTCTGGGCTACGATTTATCAGTTTAACTTGTAACAATCTGTTCATCAGAAGACCCTGTTAATGCGAGTAACAACTCTTCAAAATCACATGTTTTGTTTTAAGCGAGTGTGGTTAAACAACTGGAGGGTGAAAGTTAAGGCTGCAAAATATTATCATGTAACATTTACATTGAGACAAGGCTTTTGTCCCTCAGTGTACATAAATAACTCAAGAATTCCTCAGAATGATAGTACTCATTATCTTGGTCTTCACCATGATAAGAGGTAAACTTGGAAGACACACATTGCAACAAAACAGACTGCCAGGGCCAGGACCAAACTTTTTTTTTTTTCTTTACTTAAATTCAAATTATGCATACAATCTAAATTATTACTTTACAAAACTCTTCTAAAACCTATGTGGACTTATGAAATTCAAATTTTTGGCGCGGCTAAACTTTGCCACATGAAGAAAATTCAAATTTTCAGTCAAAAATCCTCGTTTAATATCTGGAGCTCCAAGTAAGCAACGGGACTCCACCATGATTTCAGCTTGGAATACGTCCATGAGACTGCAAAAAAATGCTACTTTAAGTTTTTCCCCTAACTAGATGGACACTCAAACCAATTGGCACAATACCTCTACACATTGTGGCTGCCAGGTGTAGTTCTCAGGCATCTGTGAAGACACTGGAGCAGGGACCTACTCACGATGTGAGCCTCGACGACCAAGAATAGCCAGCTGAGACGGCTGCTGAGCCACTATGAGCCTACTGTTTTTATGTATTTCATTGTTATTGTTGTTAACTTGTCAGCGTATTTTTTCCTTGTTTTAGCGAATTTCCTTATAGGGAAGTAGCTATTACCGTAGGTCTCATGGTAAGACCTAAGCCCGGGACCGATTTACTTTTTCATTTTGATGTCCCCAGAGGCCAAAAACACCATTCGTTCAAATTTTTATATATATATGTATATATATATATATATATGTGTGTGTGTGTCCATCCGCACTATAACTTGAGTAATTTTTGTCCGATTTTGATAAAACTTGGTTTAAAGGTGTAAGGCGGGATAAACTTGAATGAGTTCGCGAACCAGCATGATCGGACTATGGGAACGGGGGTTTATGGGGGGTTTTATGGGGTAAAAATAGGTTTTTCCCATTTTTGGCCCTAAAAACACAAAATTTCACAATTTCTTTTCAAACCATTTTGTAGAGCTTAAAAAAACAAATAATTTAGTTTATTGAAGCGTTATTATGCGCCTAATTGTTACGGAGAAAATTCAAAAAAAAATTGTAATTTTAAAATTCCCATGTTATTCTTATGGAGAATAAGTAAACTGTTGTAGTTTGCTTGTTTATGAACATATTTTGATCAAATTTGGAATATACATTAATTTCTTACTAAACCACAGTACCTTTTAATATTTTACATTTAAAAAAACATTTTTACCCTCCCTGTTGCAGCAAACCTAAGTACTCATTAAACTAATTCTGTTTAAATAGGGAATAAATGTGATATTTTTAAGGAGACATTTTAGTTTGAATCCAATCAGGCAGATGGAAATTCGCTAAGTCTGCAGGTTTGCTGCGGCGGGGGTATTTATTTTTAAAACAGTTCCAAATAAAGAATTAAAGAAAAAAATAGCATATGCATTTTTTAACACACTGTATAGACTCTGGTATCGTCACATGACAATCTTGTGAAGACATTTAATTAACAACGGTATCCTTTTCTTTTAGCAAATTTCCCATATGGGGAACATATAGTAGGGTGTGATCTGGCGGGATTTGAACCCGGGACCTCAGGGACCAAAGTCTTTTGCTCTACCACTTATATCTGAAGGCTTCGCCTCCACAGAGCATAGTGTGTTCGTCTCTAACCAGAATCCTTGGAAGACTGCATGAAACTAATTTAAAAATCTGAACTGTGATTACAGTGAGTCACTAGACCAGCTCGCTCCCCCTTAAGAACTGAGATCCAAAAGAACTGAGAGGCATAAAAAACTTGAGACAAAAGAGCAGTATTAGTGATATTGAAAGTTTTAAATATAACAAAATACATGGGGAGTTGGAAGCTCAGTGTTGTATTCATCTCCAGGATCCCCAAAGTAGAATTGTGCCTGATCGTTAGAAACAAAAAGATTATCTCTACTGAATATAATTTTAAAACCCTTCAGTCTGTAACTTTGGACATTATGTATAACCACATACAATAGACCATTATCCCATTATTGGTCTATAGTTGGTATATAATTGGTCTATAGTCTGTGGTATAACCTATTTAAGAGGTGAAAATAGACATTGTTGTTATCATTTCACCGGAATATTTAAAATTACATGATGATCCTTATTTCAAAATTTAGATCAAAATAACAAACTAGATAGACTTTTTCCTCAAAAGTTTATCACAGATAAATTCTTGTACTATGACCAGTGGATTGTTAAAGTAAACTCAAACTCCTAACAACAGTAAGGAAATGTAATTGTTTCTATAGAAACACGTTAATTATTCAATCACTGACACATTAAAGTGAGTGATGTAAAAAATGCTTCAAATTTCAAGTAGTAAGTTCAAGAATCAAGAAAATCAAGTAGCTGTGAAAAGAAGGGATTTATTCTATACATTCAAGAATGGAAGACCATGTAAAGTACCCAGTTGTGAAACTTGAAACTCTAAAGACTTCCTTTTGGGTAGACAAGATTGTCCATGTAGCTACCATACCTTCACTTAGAACACTGACAGAGAGGACCTAGTAAAACTAAGTCTCCTAGAAAGAAAAAAAAACATAAAACTCTCAATGAAAACAAGACAGCCTAAGGTAGAACTATATATGTTGAATCCTGATCAGAACCTAAGAAAAACAGTTACAACTACAAGAGGATCCAACATTCTAAGACAGAAAATAACTGGAGAATAGAAGAAAAAGATTGCTGATTGCACGAGAGTTACAATGGAAGCCATAGGACACCATAGCTTGGAGGAGAAGAAGTATAAAAAAGAAAAAGACTTAGAAAAGAATCAGACTTGTGAAGATGAAATTGTGATACTGATACATCGTGCAAATTTTAGAGTTAAGTATCTCATTAAGTCTTAGTTTTAATCCATTTTATAATCTAGTCTTAAGTATTTTACTATGTATACAAGTCTGACCGAGTGAGGTAGCATCATGATAGTGACGTTGCCTCACATTCGGAAGGTCTGATTATCAGGCCGACCATTCCGAGGGAAGTTTTGTACGTTTCCTTTCCTCACTAAGGCGAATGCCGGAATGGTTCCCTCAAGGGCCGTACCCCGCCAAGCAGAATGGAAGACAGGACTTTGTCCTAATTCTGCTTGGTTTCCCAAACCCTAGTAGGAAAATAGAAAATACATTTATTTAAAAAATTTTATTGTTCAATAAATTTCTATTTTTAAGTGTCCCAAAAATGAATATATGTTTTATTTATTAAATACTAGCAGAGTACCCGTCCTTCGTACGGGGTGGAATATAAGTATAAAATGCTTATTGCAGTTATACTCAAGCTTTGCGTTTGCAATAAGGGAGGGCACAGTTTGATAAAATTTGTTTTTTTAAATTTACAGTATTCTATAGTATTACACATATAGCCATAATGTTCTACCACTTCACCTAAACAATAGAGAAAAATAAATTATCAACAATTCACAAAATATCACAAATTATTCATGAAATGAAAAACATAAACATAACTGTAAACAATCCTACTTTGACAGTTCTCATTGCGAATCACAGTTTTTTGTTGCTGCTTAGTTCAATCAAATTAGCTGTTTTCATAAATGCAAAAAAAATATAGTGCTGCACCCTGTTGGTAAATCTTATAACTTTTTAATGCTTTTCCATATCATAGAACCAACTTTTTTAGTTGAACCAGCTAACTAAATTCTTTAAGTCCCTTTAAATATGAATACTCATAAGGTTAACATGGGGAATTACAGAGCCACTGGGGCGGAGCCCGAAAGGATTTTTGAGATAAGAATATGCCTATATGTTAATCGGGAATGTAAGCTATCATCATGCCAAATTTCAGCCCAATCCGTCCAGTGGTTTATGCGTGATTGAACTTCAAACACACAAACAAACAAATACACAAACTTTCACATTTATAATATTAGTAAGATAATTTTTTTGTTTTTTAACTTTATTTAATTTAAATCTGTTTTAAAAGTAAATAGACATTTTTTACATGAAATAAGGTATGTTATGTAACTATGTTGACTATTCTTATAGGATAACTGTTCATCAAAAAATGTTATTTGATCGAGATTTTCTGTGTCCCAAAAACAAACTGAGAATGTCTGCATTCATTGTAAGCGTAGGCTGTTCTACAGACAGCAAGAGAAGGTAACACAACTATAGTTCGGCCGCTTAGAAAACGACCTGCGCGCTAATGCTAAACCAATGCTGGAGGAGGTCGTTTTCTAAGCGGCCGACCTATAATGTCAATGAGCTGTGGCCACACAATGATGTATAATGTGGTTCAGGAAGAACGAGAAACTCACCCACCACTTTGAGACACACTATACAATCAGCATGTAAAATTAATTACCCATTTACCAAACACTACAAGTATCTATAATATTAAAACGTATTTCTTTAAAATAAAACTGTACTATTATTCTTTGTGAAAACAGTGCCTGATCTCAAAAGATTGAGGAAAAAATCCACTGGGAGCTAAATTCCTTCACCTCCCTTTCTCTAATTTACTTTTCCTTTTATTTTGGTAAATAAATTCGTCACTTATAACCCCCATCCCATTGTCAGAAGGCCAGATTTATCCTTCTGTAATTATCAAACGACATTAAACATTAGCAAATATTTAACTAAATAAAGGAAAAGAAGGGAGTAACGGTTGAGGTAAAAAAAAACTAAACAGATATTTTGTAATTAATTTATTACATCTTCCTATACAAAATAAAGGGATTTCAAACATAGAATATTCTGGACTGCTACAATGTTTATTTCTGTTTTTGATAGCTTGATTTAAAAAAATTAAATCAACTCAAAAAAATGAAAAAAATTGGGATTAGATATAATCATTGACTATACACAGAAAATACTCATAAATTAAAATAAGCATAAAAATTATTTTTGATTGCAAGCCGGATAATTTTTTTTATAAATGGAATATTTTACAAATAAAATAAATGGCATGCAATATAAATCAACATACTATGGGTAAAGTAAATATATATTTTGAATAACACTAGGCCTACCTACCTCAGTAAAAATTTACAGTTTTAATTATAATGAACGATTGAGGAATGAGACAAGAGTTCACTTGAACATGTTGTAATGATATATTTTACATAACAATGAGACATTTAATGATCTCATAAGTATATGTTGCACTGACTCAGTTCAGCAGTTGATTGTGCTTAGCTGTTGATATTTTACACAATCTCGTATTTTTCTGCAAAGAATACTGTTTCCGTTGAGAACTTGACGGGCTGTTCATCATCTACTGTAATGACCTCTGTGGCCTGGAAGGATAAAAATGTAAAATTAAAATTATGTATAGTCCAGATTCAACTTTTCCAACAGCATTTTTAAGATAAAAATATATTTTAAGAACGGGATACAACAGAGCAGTGTGGATTCTGTACAAGGTAGGCAGAACCCACCAAAAACTTGTTTGATTGTCCAGCTCTAGCTAGATGGTTGAAAATCATAGGAAATGTGACTATGGATCTAACTAAATAAAGAAATCACTCTCTTGATATGATTTACCAAGACTGCACTGAGGGGTGATACAAAAGGCTAATAAGTTGAAGTATAAATTGGTAGCTTTACCACTAATATATTCCTCACAAAACGCACAATTCATGCTACTCACTCTGAGATCGGCGTAGGGTTTTTTCGACACAAAGGAGACGGAGAGGGGGAAGAAGTCGCCGGGAATGGCGGTGGCGGCTGTAAACTCCAGGGAACCAGTGCGGTTGCTGCTATCTATCACTGCATGACTCCATGTGAGACTGTTCTTGCGAGGGTCGTGTGCGTAGTCTCCGTCACACTCAGTCACTACCGGAGTGCAGCCGATACTGCAACACCAACAACCTTGTTAAACTTAAAGTGGGTAATTGAATGATTGGAAATTCGTTGCAAAGGGGAGGAAATTAGAATCTACGGACTAATAGATGAACAAAAAGGTCACAAACATAGCACTGATTTGTAATCATAATATAAAACTCCTTTAGATAGTAGATTTTAATATAATTTGAGAAGTTTGATGTTAGGAATAAATATAATTTTATGTTCATTTTCTATCCCACTTCAACAAATTCCTTACTCGTAAACTTGTAAAACTTCAAGCCCCAATGGAATAAACAAGGTTTTATGTGTTAATGTTAAAAGTTATCAAGTGGCTTTCAGAGGAGAATTACTCGAATACAAAGAAAGTTCTCCTAAATGGAGAAATATGCATTTAGATAGGCCTGATCAACAGTTCATGTATTATCACATACCCTACCTGAACCCATTGATGATTTGTGAGTTTTCTCAAACCTGTACTGCAAAAGCGTGCTCAAACCAAGAGAACAGCTGCTCTTGAGTTACCCATTATTAGCCTTGTAATAGATAAAAACCAGAACAACATAAGAGCGATACACATCCATGGAATGCTAGACCAATCCATAATCAAAATAATTAGAGGAGCATTAAGGGTGTTTTGCAAAGTCCTTGTCACCATTGGGCATTCTTTTACAATAGTACTCACGGTAGAGGTATGTGAATGGAGACATCGTTGAGTTCCAGATGTGAATGTTCCAATTCATACTCTATGTTGACATCGCAGCCACCTTGTCCGTTCTCTGATGGCCAACAGTTGACTGCAAACAAGACAAACAGACCATAAACACTGCTTTTCATTGACGAGTTATAAATACAAAATTCAATATTGGTTAGGCCTAAAATTACATAGTATTAATGCTAATGCCTTAAAAACTTCTACAAGTGTGGTAAAGGCTGATAATGTGAGTTGCTTACACTACTTTACCTACGACTGTTTTATAATTGTAGTTGTAAAACTTCATAACCTATACTTATTCTGTCACTTTTTCAAGTTGGTTAGCAAATCGTTTAGTTAACCTTAGGTTTAGGAAAGAATGTGTGAGTTTCTAGCGGTTGCTGGTAGATCAACATTTGAATTGGCCATTACCAGCTGATAAGTTGGCATTTGGAGCATTACAATTTTACTTCTTTTCTCTCAAGCCTTGAACCCCTTGGTCTGTTACTTTACCACACTAGTGCTATAATGTGAGTCAAGAAAGTGAATCTTTTTTACTCTAAAAATTGAATTTAAAGGCTAGTTAAAAAACAGTTGTAGGTAAATTATATTAAAAATATCATTGTGACATCTGCGAAAACATAAGCTCATCACATTTACACAACCTAAAAGATTCTATCTTGATTCATTGAAGGATGACAAAGGAAAAATGAGTATGTAAAGTCACATAGAGTAACAAATTGGCTCAAAAGAATCTTTGTTCGCCAGTGGTAAGAACCAGCTCAGACCACAGAAAACATACTACTATAACCCAGAATGCCAACCGCATGGTAAAAAGCATTAAGTGTTTTGAGAGAGCTTTGCCTGTCAATCGTAGGCAGCGCCGCCAGCGTTGCTATGCTGAGTGCATGGCAACGCTGGTGGCGCTGCCTACGATTGACAGGCAAAGCTCTCTCAAAACACTTAATGCTTTTTACTATGCGGTTGGCATTCTGGGTTATAGTAATATGTTTTCTGTGCTCAGACATAGAGGCGGATTCTTTTCACGAGCTCAGATTTATTTTAGTCACCAATCAATTTTATTCAAGACCATTTACTTAGTATACGAATCTGTTTTTTATCTAAAAAAACATTTAATTTCAAGCAGGATTTTGCTTGTTTAATATTTTAAATATTTAGAGTCTTCACATAAATATATTGTGGATTATTATCTACTCACTTGATAGTGGAATGCAAGAGTCATCCTGGGACTGGAATCTCCACTTGAGGACGCCCACGTCTGTGGAGAGAGGGAACGGCTTTGATGGGTTCTTCAGTCCTATCTGTGACTTCATCTTAAACAACTCTTTGTCTACATTTGGATGTGTCTGAAAAATCACAATAAGGTAAAAAAAATAATCACAACCATTCTAAAGCTATAGTGTAATTGAAGCGATACTAATTCTATCACTATTGATGGTGAGGCTCAAGCTGTACAGGGACTCACCTGTAGTTGAATGCCTCTTGTGTCTTTATTCTCTAGAATCACTCGTACACGGCCGTACTTCTCGTCAGAGATGCGCAGTGTTACCAACCCGTGTAACTCCAGGTTCTGCACACCTCCGTCTCGTCCCACTCTCAACACTAGACGTTCCTCCTGACGCAGGTGGATACTGAAAATAAAAACACAATCGTAAGAAAGGAAAGTCAATTTCTTGTCGTCCTATCCTGGACATATGAAGTTACAGTAGAACCTATTTAAACCAAAACAACGACCCTTAAAAAAACTAGGGATGGTCAAGTCTCAAAATTTCGGGAAATTTTAAATCTCGTTACACGAGACGATATTTCTTTTTGGCCGAGATTTTGATCAAGACGAGAATTAAAAAAAAAAAAAAATTAAAAACGCCTGCAGAAAGTCAATGCAATGGGTGCAATACAGGAGCGCGTTGTAGTTGCGTTGTAGTTGCGTTTCCTTTGCGAAGGTGTTCTTGTTTAATTAATTCTTTAAATGTAAATATTATTAATTATTTTAATAATATTACTTTAATAACATTGGAGAAGTTTTGTTAAGTGTAAGCAGTGTAAGGAATGTTTTATTACTATAAAAAAGTCAAAACAAGTAACTATTTTATAAAAATTAATATTACTTTTATTTTATGATTTATTTTATTTTAGGATAAGTTGAACTCTATCCTAACTGATATCACTATGTTTCCTAATCGTAGGCATTTATAATATGTTAGGTGTGATTAATAAAAAAATGTTATGCTGATGTTTTTTAATAAAAGTTTGTAAATATTCTTGCCTATTATCATTATTTTTGTATTTAAACAGTCATCTAACAATGTTACAAAATCAGGTAAAGATTTTGAACGTGCATTTCCCAATGTGTATGAGAAGGCAAATCCCGTCTTGAAATTTTATGAGAAATAAAAAATCTCGTCTCGTCTCGTCTCGAACTAAAAATCCAATCTCGTCCATCCCTAAAAAAAACCCTTAAATATATCTAAGATAAAGGAAGAGAAAGTGAAGTGACGGAAATAAGATACGTGACACTTTTAGTTAGAGGTTAAAGCCATTGACTACTACACTACTATAAATAAAAAATCAAATGAAAATGAAAAGAAGGCTTAGTATAAAAAAGGTACCAAAATGGAATATAACATAAACTGTCAAAAAACATATTTTATTTGTGACAAATACCTACATTTGTATGAAGCTAATAAACTCAATCTAGCTATTATTAGTGATGTGTTAAACTCTTTCAAAAGGCACTATCTGTTCCTGACCAAAATCAGTTCTTGCTTTTTAGTGCCAGTACCTATTGATGACACTAAACTAGATAGAGCTCATTCTTTAAGTTGCAAACATTGCAGGCACATAACTTATTCATGCAGGTATTTATGTAATATAAATAAATCAATTATATCAATGAGAAAAAGTCTTAGTAAAAAGATACTAGGAGCCAAAGTAGTATATTAAAAATAGCAATGGTATTGTACAATTAGCATGGGAAACCCCTATGTTACATAATGAAAATATATTTAACCAGTTAAGGCAGAAAGGAGTTCCGAAACCTCTCTCTTGGAAAGATAGAAGTATTGGCCATAAATAGCTACAATCCCATTAAATAGGTTACAGTTCCAGTACCTCAATTCTTACAAATTGAGCACTGAATTTAACATTATCAAAAACTTCCTTCACTCAAAATTGACTTTCAAAAGTGTAGTAACTATTTCTAATTAGTTTACTCAAAACTCACTCATCAGTGTTGGCCAATGATGGAGGAGGCAGCTTGGAGTTGAGGGAGGGGTTCTGCTTGGCTAAGGAGGGGGCCACGACGTTCTCCCCTTCCGACTTGAGCTGGTCAACAAACGACTCAACATCACGAGACTTGCTGCCCAGCTTCATGGCCTTTGTGCTGGCACTGGGCTTTCTGAAAACAGAATAAGAATATACATGATGGTAAGTTTCAAAAACAAATATTATTTTCTTCACTAGTTGCAGTACTTAGCAATGTCAATACTTTGGCTATATAATTGGCTATGTCATTGTCTTTTAAAAGTAAACAGCAAATGAAGAAAGGAAGTATAAATTAGACAAGTAGAATCCTTTTTTTATACCTCAGGATCAAAACGTTGCGTAAAAAAAATTAAACTATCAGAAGTTCAGAGAAAAATGAATGGATACCTTTCAAAACCACGTGTTATGTGCAGAAAATCTAATTGCAGATAAAAAAAAACAATGTGAAAACATGTTTTAATCAACAATGAAAGAAAATCAGACAATAATAATCTCTTAAATAACATTAAGGGACTTTAAAGATAACTATTTAACCGTGAGACACTCACGAGGCAGGAGAATAAGGCTTGTTAATCTCTCCAATGGAAGCGGAATCACCAATGATGGGAGACGGGGCAAAGCCTGAAGAGCTGCCAAATCCCCCAGAGCTGCTGATGCCAAAGCCCCCAGCGCCGGAGCCCTTCATGAAGCCCCGCTTGCCAGCCTCCATCCTCTGGCGTTGAAGTTCCTTGGCCTTCTCTCTCATCTTGTTCTTTGCCTCTCTCTCTTGTGTCTGAGGAAAATCAAGTTTTGAAGTTCAATAATTTCCTCCATTGGTCTGTATCAATTCCACGCAAAACAAATCACTTTTACACTTTATCGTAGATATACTTAAATGTAGCTACAGATAATACATTACTAAAGTTTTTCCATAAAAATCAAGGTTATTGTTCATACTAACTGGCTAGAGCTTCGGTCTTAAGGTATAAGCCGAGTCCAACAAGACTCAAATGACCACAAATAGTAGCAACTTCAAATTACGAAGATACTATTGAGTTACTGAATTCTAAGGTTTGCCACCAGGATCATAACTAAAGCTGTGCACGGTTAAGTGAAATTAAAGAATAATTTATGTGTTCGTTGAGAAATCCAAACTGTGGTTTGTTAGGCTCCAGGTTTGCAAGCTTAACAGAATCATTTTATTTGGGAAACAATATTTTACTAAACTTGTGAGTTAGTTTTGCAATATTTACCTGACGGACAGCTTGGTAGACCTTCTCCTCGTGTGAGTCCATCTCTACAAACGTCCTGATCTGGGCAAGGTTCACACTCTCTCTGTATCCGAGGGCAACGATCTCGTCAAAGGCGAAGATCAGGTTGAAAGCGTTGTCAGCGATCTCTGATTCCTCCATACTGCGACAGTACTCGGGTATCTAAACAGAATAAAGGATCTTACATGAAAAGAGTGATTTAATTAGGTTTATTGAAATAATTTTTCAGTAGGCCAAAAGTAAACGCTGCACTCTCACATTTCAACTATCAAAAACTATCAAGTTTATGGAGAAATAAAATTTGATACTTTGGGTAGGTAGTTTTTTGTTTATCAATATTTTGATTTTATTTAAGTACGTAGCCTATTTGTGATAGACTAGCAAAACAAATTATTAAAACTAACACTCGTCCTTATGTAGCTAATAGCTTTATTTTAAAACATTTTAGTTATTAAATGTAGTTTATATAGTCCGTTCACTAAATTTTGGAGGTTTAAAGGGAAGGTTTCTTGTGCTCCCCCACCACATTTTTAAACGTATAAGCTGTTTTAAAGTTAGGAAGAGGTGGAGGGGATGGAATCACTTCTCCTCAAACCGCCTAAATTTTGTGTACAGAGTATATTAATCTGTATTAAAATACTATAATAAAGTTTATTAGTTAGCTGACACAATCTGTTAACTTTATCCCATCTACAAAACCATTTGAATTTTTTCTGTTCTAAGTTAGAACTCTTAAAGTTTAAAAGCCAAAATAAATTAAGTTTTAGTTAAGAAGAAGTGTTTTTCATCTGTCATGTTTAGAAGCATTTACAAATTCAAAGTGGTTAGATAATTCATTCATTAAATAAAATTATTTTTAATTAATTTAATTTAGGTTATTCCTTATACCTAGAATATAAGTATAGGTATAAAGTATAGGTATCCTTATACCAGATATAAGTACTTTGGTACTTATAAGTACTTTGGTACTTATATCTGGTCACCTTTTGAGACCTGAGTAAGGCTTTTGACTTTGATATTCTTTTAAACAAATTAAATTATCTTGGGTTTTCTGGTTCACCTCTTAGTTTTTTCTCATCCTATTTACAAAACCGTGAGCAAATAGTTTTTACCAATGGAAAAATCTCTCAAGAAAAAACATTGAAATGGGTTACACCTAAGGGTTCAGTCCTGGGTCCCTTATTTTTATAATTTATATAAATGATTTGCCTCTTTAAATAAAAAGTCCATTTATAGGCGGATGATACTACCTTCTTTCATGTCGTTAGTAAACTTATTGAGCTAGACACTAGACAGTACAGTTCATCAGACAATGTTGGCTGCATCAAGGTTCATTCAATGCTCCATTCAAATGGATTATTACTAAATGAAGAAAAAACATTATATTTACTCTAAACAAGACTTCTCCGTGACTAACACAAACTATGTTCATACAGAAAACTTTTTGGGTATACTCATTGGCTATCGTTTATCCTGGAACTCCCACATTGATTATCTGCCTTTCTAGATTATCCCAAATTATTTTTCTTTTGAGACGCCTAAGACACCAAATTCCAAACAATTATATAAAAACCGCATACTTTGCTTACTTTCAATCCATTATAAGTTATGGGTTGATATTCTGAGGTGGATGCAGCGAGATTAAAAATATTTTGAAATAACAAAAAAAAGGCTTTAAGAGTAATGAATAGATCAAATCAGAATTGAATATGTTATTTTTATAATACCCAACTTTTTTATCCATAATGTATGATGACAGACATACTCCCGTAGTAGATTTCTCATCCTTATGGAACAGCTGAAGACAATTTTACTGTTAGTTCATGTACGGTTTAAGTAGAGGTCGTGTTTTGTTTACAATTTGTTTCCCGTTATTACAGCCATTTAAAACCTCGTTTAACCAAATAATACGATCTTATCATAAACAATAACTTGTCCCCTAGTTATATAACCAAGCAGTAAAGCACAAATCAAGAAATTAACCCTAAAATAATGGAAACAAAGTTTCATCGACACTAGCGCCTTTGTGTCACGTACATGAACTAGACACGAAAAACGTGCTTCAAAATTTACAATGGGATGAGAAGTCTACTTGTGTTGGTTAGTCTATGATACAATGTACAGATGCTATTTTAAGGCTAAACTAATGAATGAAATTGTTTTTTGTAAGTTTTTTACTTTCTCCCCCTATACCATAGTATATGGAGAAAGTATTGTTTTCGTCAAAATTTTCGAGTTTGAGTTTTGAGTGGATATATCCGTTTTGGGTCCCCCTGGACCCAAAAAAGTGGTTTTCAAAGTGATGTCTGTGTGTGTGTGTGTGTGTGTGTGTGTGTGTGTGTGTGTCTGTGTGTCTGGATGTGTACAGAGCTAGGGACTACACCTGTGGTCCGATTTCGATGAAATTTGGTATGTAGGTTCTAATCCATGGTATCTCCAGGCGTTTTTTTCATTTTTTTGAATTTTTGATTTTTAATGGGGATTTCCCCATAAAAACCCATAAAAAACTGGAAAAATCGGATTTTCTCGAAAATGGCCCGAACGATTTTGATAAAAATGTAGTATGTTGTGGCCCTTTAAATTCTGAACAAAATGGTACAAATCCCATTTCTGTAAAAATTACGGTTCAAAAGTTATGGTAAATTATGTTATTTTCCCATAAAAACCCCATAAAATAACGAAAAATAGGATTTTAGAAAAAAATCCGGTTTTATTTTAACATAGTATGTTATGGTCCTTAAAACTTTGATAGTTTTTCATTTAAAAATTTTTTATTTTTAATGGGAATTTCCCCATGAAACCCCATAAAAAAACGGAAAAATAGGATTTTCCCAATAACGGCCCGAACGATTTTGATAAAAATTTTGTATGTTATAGTCCTTTATATTCTGAACAAAATGGTACAAATCCCATTTCTGTAAGAATTATGGTTCAAAAGTTATTGTAAATTATGTTATTTTCCCATAAAACCCCATAAAATAACGGAAAAATCCGATTTTCACAAAAATGGCCCGAAAGATTTTGATAAAAATTTAGTATGTAGTCCTTTAAATTGTGAACAAATTTGTATAAATCCCATTTCCGTATATTTACTCTTTACCGCTTACACATGATAAAGGTTGTTGACAAACTTATGGGAGAAAGTATGTGTCAGAATGCTGATACCGTTTATTTTAAGAACTGTTTGCAGTAAAATAAAAATATTTTACATTATTATTTAATAATTGTTCCACTAAAATTACTAAATTAGATAATAGGACAAGACAATTTTTTTTTATCTAATTTGTAAAATCATGATGGCCTTGAAAATGTGATTCACTAGTACACTGCAAGGAGCACAACACACTTCAATGCCACTGAGATAACAGACGTTTTGAACAAATAACAGACATCTTGCTATTAATGAACAACGGGCAATTAGCATACATTCAGTACTCTTCAGATTAACAAGGTACTGGGTCTGGGTCTCACCTGACAGCTAATGCTATCCATACTTTATACCTGATTTATTATCTTATAAATACATAGGCCCACCCGTAATAGTAGTTTTGTTAGGCCTATGTTACTCAATACTTTAAAATTACAAAATATTACAAATTTTTGTCAAAATCAAGATGAGATCCTCTTTTTATCAAGCTTTGCTATAAGATGTGATTAGGAGTAGAGTATAAAATTGAGGGTATTCAAAAATGACAATTGTTATCAAGGGTGACTTGCTATTGGGGATCTTTTTATTGAAATTCACCTCCATTTATTTTAACTTGTTTCAATTAGCCTTACATATTTTTTTTTACATTTTCAGGAAAATAAAAAAATCTTCAAGTTTGGAGTAATCCTACAATTATCGAATTGATAATTTATTTATAAAGGAAAATAACAATAAATTTTGATCTTCAAAAACAAAATGTTGGTACAAGAGATTGTATTTTAAAGCCAAGTTCAGAACCTTTAAAAACAGGCGATTTTGCATAGTGTTTAGACTGTATGAAAATAATAATAATAACAATCACGTTAAATACTAAGTTAAGGTTTAACTGTCTATCTTAATTCCATAGTTGGGAAAGTTAGTCAAATATTCAAACTAGGCCTAGTTAGAAGTTATTAGTTAGTCCCGTAAAAAGTAAGCTGATAAAAGTTATTAGTTAGTTCAAAACTAACTGATAGAAAATAAAGTTAGTTTTCAGAGAAGTTAACTGTTTGTTGGGCAGTTGTTTTAAAGGATTATGTATTAAATCAAATAATTATTACACATCTTAGTAGTAACTAACTTGTATTTTATGTAGAGGAGATGTAATTGTGTTTATTAATGATTAAACATTGTCACATTACCTTAACAACTTATTAAACCCATTACTTAACTATTACTCAAATATGACAAAAAAACACTTAAAAAGCCTAAAGCATGTACCCTCAACTCCTGAAATACCGTAGCCTAATCGTATTTACAGCATTGCCGCTTAACAGGGACAAGTAGGCCTACAGGGAAAAGTTCCAGGAAAACTATGTAAAATTAAATGTAGAGAGCTGGTCTTAATTACCAAAACAACACAAGTCAATGATTTTAAACTGTAATTCAATGTTTTTGAAACAACAGTGTCTTTTTCTCGGAAGAAGGGGCAGTAGGATGTAAACAAGCCATAAACCCCAGTCACCAGCCAGGCCCAGCTTACCCAGTTAGCAATACAATGCTCTAACAGCATACAAAATTTATCAGACGTTTCTATTTTATCCTGAAACCTGAACTAGAGAGAGGCATGAAAATCATTAGGCCTACCTATTATAAAAATTATTCTGCAAAGTCTAAAGCAGCATACAATCCACAGGTAGGGCAAAATAAGCTTCATCACCTTCTTATGTACCTAGTTAAAATTTAAGTTGGATCAACAAAATAGTCCTGAATTGTTTCATTATATTGTAAGCATAACATTTTCAAACAGTGATAAATCTTACTTTAGCTTACAATAGATTAAAATGCCGCTGGCGTAGAAAAGAAATTGTTAAGTTAATTATTTCATTCATATATCAAAATAAATAATTAAACATTCAACACATTGGAAGCTTCTCGCGCTTGCAACAAGACTAGTCAGCACAATTATTTGACAGAAATTCAGACAAAAAACAGAGATAAGAAAGCTTATTAGTTATTTTGTAATAAAGGATTCCTGGGGCTGTGATAAAATAAATCTTTTTTAATCCACAGATGACTAAAAACGCACTTACCACACGGGAGAACAAACGCAGAGTCTCGAGATCCTCCAGAATGTTGGACGCTTTGGTGGTAATGAGGAGCATGTAAAGCTTCTCCAGAGGCTGGTAAACATAGCGAACGGACTCAGTCTCCACAAACGTGTGTTGCTTGCCTGTCGACATCAACTTAGGGAACGCTGCGAGCAAACCCTCAATACGAGCCTTAGACATCTCCACAAACTGTCTGGAGACTATCGCTAATAAACAAACATCAAATGTTAAGAGTCTCGGAAAAGGCTTATGTGCTTCATCTTTAATGGATGATGTGGTAGGGATGTACAGTTTAAGTTATAAATACTAAGGGTTAATCTACGATGATAAACTAGGCCTATAGTGTTTATTTGAAATTAGTTTAGTCTCCCAGGCTTAGTTTGTTGGATTCACTATAGTGTCTGATGACAGGTTAATTCTTTCTTCTGAGAAATATTGTAGGAAGAAAAAACTACCTACTGAGAAATGAGACTTAATGCTCTGATGACTAACTTAATTGTGGACATGTGCCTAACTAAGCACAAGATAGGTCTTTTCAAAAATTTTGTAATCTCAAACAAGACTCTTAAATGACCTTAACAACAGTACCTAAACAGATATTTGGAGAAATGCCATAAAATTGTAGCCAAAGCAATCCTTAAGATTACCACTGGAAGAGGGACTTTACAGTTTCTACCTGCAATGAAGCTTCTAACTTTAATGTGCCTACATAAAACTTACTTTTCCCTGCCTTGGTGCAGACGGCAGCAGCAATGAGAACCTAAAAAACATTAAACATTAATAAAATAAAGTAACTTAACACATTCTTAGGTAAAGTTACTGTCTCACAGCATTAAAAAAACAAACCTATGTTTAATATGATTGACAATTATAAGTTAGACTAAAAATCACAATAGGTAGATTAATAAATCATATTAATAGGTGCTAAGATCAAAAAACAAATTTGTCTGCATTAACTTACATTGGAAAGAATAGTCAGCCCAACACATTCATCGTGACAGTGTAAAGTTTTTTTTAAACATATTTGAATAGCAACAACAGAACTAAAACCTAACAAGAGCCAAGTTAAAACCACTAGGCTACCTTTCTGTCTCTCTCTTTTCAAATCCCCCCCCCCCCTTAAACGTTATTGTTTTAACACTAAATGATATAAACAATATTAGTATTTTTTGTTGTAAACAATTTTTGGAGAATGTTTTACTTCAAACGACTCTTTAGATTTAGACAATGGGTAGACTTCTATGTCTGTTGGCACAAACAACAGAATGAAAATATCGATCGATATATCGTTTGGTTAGTTAGGAAAGGTTAACCTAACCTAACTAACCAAATAATATATCGAATTAAACATCCGAATAATCGATATTTTCATTCGGTCATTTGTGCCAACATGTATTGAAATGTACCCAAGGCTATCACTAGGCCTCTAGGTAACTTTTGCACTAAATCGGATGGGTTCTGATGCACTAAGTTATTAAATAGCTGGCCTAATAAGTTAGCCTAGGCATTACATCTTACATGCTACCAAAAAAAGGCTTTTTCCTAATTTAGTGTTAGGAATAACATCTGAAGAGTTAACGTCTTTTAAATTACTATAAGTTAGATGCAGGAATAGAATTACAAAGGAAGCCCTGATGCAATAATTATCAACCATTTTAGCTAGGCTTAGATCCTGAGTAATCAATGCATCACTCTCAAGTGCATCATACTAACATTGACTAGCCAACCCTCAACCTGCAGACTTAGGTTTGGGTACCTGCGCACTTATAATTAAAGAATTTTAACAAATCCATGCCCATATGCCTACTAAGAACTTAGAAGAACCAAGTGAGCCTAGTGTTTATTTTAATGACAAGGAACAGCTTGGGTAACTGTTAGTATAGCACTACAACCATAAGCTCACCATATAAGTTTATAAAATACAAAACAATATAAATAGAAAGCTTGTCTTACCATTTTTCTACTGTAGTTTCAAATTTGTAATAATAAAGGGAAATTAAAACCCTAATAAATCACACAAACATGCCACAGTTCTCCGGTTGTGATTTGGCATTTAGTCCAAAAGTCAGACGATACGGAAAAATATTCACAGCTGAAAACCGACTGTCGACGTGGGTCAATGCCTGCTGCATTAGACAAAGTGTTTGAAATTAAATTCAAACGCAATTCAATAAGTGTATACATACTAAAATACACAGAATGGATAATGGTGAAATGATTACAATAAGTTAATGCATTCCTTCAAAGGAATTCAAGAATTCTAAAATTAAAATCAATATTAATTTTGGTGTGTTGAAAATGACACAAAACAAATCTTCTAAAGGAGTTTATAGTATTAAAACAAATCAATGATGCTCATGATTCGCAAACATCACAGTGGATATACCAACACCCAATATAAATCAAACGTTAAAGTTTTTTGGATTCATGGAGGTCGAAGAACTGATAGATAAAATTATCATACTGTATTTGACTTGCATGTGTAATTAGACCTCGCATCTTTTAGTTTTTTTAGTTGTGAACATAATGGGCGCGTTCTGGGAACATGTACCGGTGCACCGGTGCAGATTAAACGGTGACTTACTCACCGGTACCGCCCCGGGGCAAGAGTCTTCTTGGTATCCCAGAACGGTTATTCACCGGTTTACGGTACACATCGGATTATAATTTACACATTATTTACCTATTATTTACTGTATAATATTTAAACCAAACAAGCTTGTCCTCACAGAATAAATTATTTGAAAATTATTCACTTAATACGTAATTTAACCCCCTCATAGAATAAATTATTCACTCATTATAACCTATAAAACTGATGAACATTATTCGATGGACCCACCATCTTGCCGTAGCTGCATGCTGTTGTCCAAGAAACAGACCAATCAGAGGCCGCCGGTGTATTATGCACCGTACAATTTCTCCGGTGCATAAATCTTGCACCGGTGGAGGAAAAAGAGGAAATAGCTGGCTGCTAGGTTAACTCACCGGTCTCCCAGATCGACACATTTTTTCACCGGGGCAACACCGGTGCACCGGTGCATGTTCCCAGAACGCGCTTAAAGTGATTATTTATTTATTGTAGAAATTTTGAGAGTTTTGTAGAAGCATGTTGATTGATATTGAATTTGCCTTGTGAATGCCTTGTGATCATTGTGCCTTGTTTAACTGACGATTCCATATGCATGTAATTTGTCAAAAGGAAAATAAATATTCTTTTTCTTATTCCTATTCTTGTACTGTGTTGTTTTTTTTTGGCATTGAAGTGAAGAATCTCAACACTGACACACTGTCACGAGATGGGGACGCCACCTAGGTGTGTATTTCAACCCAAATATGAGTGAAGGATGAGCGTAGCTTTTAGAATCGTAGAATAGTATGAGATGATCCGTGTAGCTTCTTAACTGATTAAGATTCATTTATTTTTATTTATTTATTTGTTTATGGCAAAATTGCCATTTTTACAATCAATTACATGCATAACAATTTGTGGATTTTCTCCTGACTCAAGAGCCCGTACTACATTTTGTTATAAGTGTAAACATTGCATTGGTTTTTGATTTCCCTTTTACGAATCAAAATTGGTCCTTAAACATAATATAATTCCTTTCTAAAAATGGTATTAATCTTGTTATTAAGATAAGATAATTTCCATATGAAAAATTAAAGAAAGGAAGTTAAAAATCACCACAAACTGTCCAAACGCTCCCAATGGAAAAAAAAACAAGCTATGGCCACAATTACGTAAATATGTAAAAAGAAATATAAATATGTAATAACTAAAGTGGGTGCGTTTCATAAAGTCCAAATTTAACAAATTCCAATGGTTGAAAAATAATAAATAAACATAGCGTTTCACAAGGTCCGAATTTCATAAAGTCCAAAACTATAACATTCAAACAATCTCCGTTTCACGATGTCAAAATTTCACAAAGTCCAATGTTAAAATATCAAATAAACAGAGCGTTTCACAAGGTCCAAATTTCATAAAGTCCAAAACTATAACATTCAAAAAATCACCGTTTCACAGTGTCCAAATTTCACAAAGTCCAACGTTAAAAAATTAAATAAACAGAGCGTTTCACAAGGTCCAAATCTTACAAGGTATTAAAAATATAAAAATATAAATTTGATTTGCACACTAATGTGTTAACACATAGTTGAGACACGTCAGTAATCAGTAGTTGAGCGCCGGCGGACGGTGCCTGCTATCTGACCGTGGCAACCACTGTAGAGACTTCTGGCCCAGACTGTACCGTTGGACTTTGTCCAGCGAAATTTGGACTTTATGAACCTCACCCCACCCCTAAAGTGATTAACCGTGGATTAACCTTAGTAACATCAGCGTATTAAGTTGAAACAGTGTAGTTACATGGTAGTTTTCTTAAGCCAGCTATTTATAAGCAAACAAGAATAGAGTAAGAAGAAGAAGGCTTCGGCTTTGTTTTTGTTATCATATTTATTTCAATTCAACAATCAAAACTTCTGCTTGTGCTTACTGCTTATTGTTTTTGTTTGTTTTTATCTTGATTCGTTTGGTTTATTTTGATTTGTGGACATTAATATTTATATTGTACGGTATCTTTGCAGTTTGTTATCATAATGAATTCTAAAATGTTTGGTGTCATTTGCCATCAAGGTTAAATTGGCTTAGTATGTGCCTAATTTTCTTTTAACTTATCAACTGTAACTGGTAAATTAGGTTAGTATACCACTAACTTACTGGTAGGTAGGCCTATTATGTGTTACAATTGCTAACCCTGATGCAACCGTAAACACTTGTATTTTAGATTAGAGAAATTTCAAACTTTTGATTTGATGACTACTCTTAATAATAAAGTTTCAGGCTATACAGCCTTATTGCTAATAGCCTATAGCTTTCATTTCAATTCTTTTAAATTGTACATCTAACTACCTAGCCTAAAATTACTTACCATCGATTATATCAATTATTTAAGATGGGAACGACACTATGTACATATTTTAATCCAAATGTGAGTGAAGGATGAGTGGCGCGATCTCAAAATATATGTTTGTTGCGGGTCTAAAGTAATGGTTAGCGTCTAGGATTGCAGCTGTAGAGGGGGAATGGGCACATGGGAGGGACTAAGGCTAAAGGTGTAGTGACGTCATATATCTAGTGGCTAATGTCTACTCTTGAGGCAACACGATTACCGTCGTAACGAAACAAAGTGTTTTCAGCGGCGTTCGTGGCATAGTTAGTAGCGTTTTGATTTGGTGTTCAGGAGGTCCCGGGTTCGAATCCCGCTGGTAGAACTAACTTTTTGTCAACAAATTTTTCATATCAGCAAGTTTGGTTGGTTAGGTTAGGTTATGACAGTTTAATTTTATAATAAACTTACTGAATTTTAAAATTAATTTTATAATTAATTAAAAATTATAAGTAATCACTAATTAGATTTGTATCTTATACAGTTTTTATATTATCAGCAAGTCTGGTTGGTTAGGTTATGTTATGACAGTTTTATTTAACCCTCCCAGTGTTACTTGACGAAAATTCGACAAGCAGCACACTTTGTGTAGTGTTACTTGTCGATTTTTCGACACGCAGACATCGTTTACGGCGAAGGCTCTATGACTGACTGAATCGGATTGAACTGGATCGAGTTAGGTATCGTTCTTTCCGTAATATTCTAAGCTTTCTCCAGAGGTCTGTCTCAGCGCTGTACGTTCTCTGAGCCGATCGTAATTAATTGTAGCAGACAGCTGACGTGCGTGTGCGTGTATTTGTAAACAGCTAGGTTACCCTCGGACCGATGACTGATGTGTTTTATTACGTTTATCATTGTTTTAGTGTTAAAAATCAAAAGTAGTGATATACGTGTTGCATTATAAGAAGATTTAAGTGGTTTTGAAGTGCTGGTTGATGATCCTGAAGAAGTAGGTAGTGATATTGATGTAAATTATCAGCCAGATTCCTAGCTATGGTTAGGCTATGCATTCTTAGCTAAACGCTATGTACTGAAATCTGTTTTTTGCCCATAACTTATTTATTTGCAAATCTACTTCCTTATATTATTATATATTTGTAATCCTCATAAAATTTAGAACAAAGTGGCTATTTTCAAATATTTGTAGGCCTATAATTTATAAAATTTCATTGAGCGCGAACTTATTTTTTTTTTGAAAATTTTCGAAATTATATTTTTTTTTACCTAAAATTTTTTTTTTTTAAAAAATGTTCCTTATGTTTTATATATAATATTGAAGCCCATGATTTTCCAAACAAAATGGTATATAGAACATTAGAATTAACATTGTTTTAAGCTTCTCAGATCCGTTTTAATAAAACCTTGCAAATGCGCCAAAAATAGGTGGACATTAAGGCCTAAACTATGGACACTTGGAGGGTTAAAAATTAAAAATTTATTTTATAATTTAAAAACAATATTTTATAATTAAAAAGTTAATTTCATAACTAAAAATAAAAAAAAATTTTAATTTTTTCAACTTAGCGGTTCTAGCGGCGAACGCTGACACTACATGATGTTAGCCTTAGTCCCTCCCGTGTGCCCCACCCCTGTAGAGGGATGGATTGGTTGCTGGCATTTCGACAAACATTGGATGTGTTTCAACCGCTTTCCCTTTAAATTTATTTATTTGACGGTACGGTAACAACCATTTACAATAATATACCGTACGCTAATATGCAATAAAATGCTAACAAAACAATACGTATGAAAAATTTTATGGCTAACATTGGTGTGGTGCGTTAAACATCATGACATATTTTTGACAATAGATAGGGCCTAATATAATAAATGTATGTGATTCCTTTTAAAAACTGCTAAGACTATTGTGGTCTAGACATATGAAAAAACCTCGTAATATGGTAACCTTCAGCCAGGTTGAATTGTTGGCCTACAGTGTGAATACTTAAAAGGCACATTTTAGATACCTAGGTCTAAATATCTGAAGCCCAACCTAAGTTGGAATACACTACAGAGAGTAGCAGTCGTGTATGCAGTGGCGGTTCCAAGGGGGAGGGGGAGGGGCTACAGGGGCTAAAGCCCCCCCCTTGGACCCTGGAAAACTAAATTTAAACGTAAATTTTGTTCTTAACACAATGTCATAAAACGGACATCAATGTAGCTTTTATTAAACTTAATAAGCGATGACAGGAGTAGTAGCCTATTAAGTTCCACATAGATAAACTTTGTGGACAATATAGCACAACTAATAAAACAATATTACGCTATGGAAAGTTGTACGCATTATCCAATTTTTACAGCAGTCAGCTGTTGACACGCTAGGGCAAAGGCGAGTGCCGAGCGCTAGCGAGGACGGGGAAACAGCTGATTTCCTGATGTTCCATAGTTAGTTGTCAAATTGTCTGCTAGCCACTAACTTTACATGGGCATCAATCAGCAAAGTGTTAAAGTTTATATAGTCAAAGCTATTACTGAATTCGATTCTATACAACTGTGACAGATCTATGAAATGGAGAAAAACGTATAAGGTTAAAAAAGTGTCTACTTGCTTTCGTGACATATAACAGGTAAAATGGAAGGTTTTAGGACAAATGGGCATAGTTCTAGATGTTAGAAATGGCTTTATAAAGTCACCAAACTGCTTTTAGGCGATATGGCTTCGTAATCTACAATAGGCCTATGTTTTGAAATTCATGAATGCAAGTTTGTCATAGTTTGATTTTTAAAATGTCTACTTGCTCATGACAAAGACAAAAATAACAGGTGAAATGGGAGGTTTTTGGACAGTTGGACACAGATATAGACATTAATAATGGCTTTAGAAAGTTAGTAAACAGCTATTAGGGAAATATGGCCGTAGCCATAGAAAACGTACTACTATAACCCAGAATGCCAACCGCATGGTAAAAAGCATTAAGCGTTTTGAGAGAGCTTTGCCTGTCAATCCGTAGTCAGCGCCACCAGCGTTGCTATGGTATTGCATGGCAACGCTGGTGGCGCTGACTACGGATTGACAGGCAAAGCTCTCTCAAAACGCTTAATGCTTTTTACCATGCGGTTGGCATTCTGGGTTATAGTAGTACGTTTTCTGTGCCGTAGCCTACAATATGTTTTGAGATATATAAATGCAATCGTCATAGTTAGTTTAAACAATTTCTTCTTATTCATGACAAATAAATGGGAAAATCGGAGGTTTTGCACACAGTTCTAGACGTTAAAACTGGTTGTAGAAAGTCACCCAACGGCTTTTAGGAGGATATGGCCGTAGGCTACAGTGTGTTTTGAAATTCATGAATGCAAACGTCATCGTTTAACTTATTTTAAAATGTCTATTTTCTCATGACAAACAACAGGGGAAATGGGAGTTTATGGACGATTGGGCACGGTATTAGATGTTAAAAATGGCTTTAAACAACCACCAAACTTTGACTTTGAAAATTCCAAATTTTCCCGGACCCCACTGCTTTGTTGTGGGGTGCTCCACACCCCCCAAGCCCCCCCCCTTGACAAGGTCCTAGAACTGCCACTGCGTGTATGCATTGTATAGCAGCCAAGGGTACTTTACTGTTGCTCTGTCCTCTTACTCTCTGTGAGAGTCTCCGTCGTGGGGTAGATCCTATACCACCACGGCTCTAGAAGTCTTGCGACCAATCTTCTTCCATACCAATCCCTAACACCTTCTTAGTGCTCATATTGATTGAAGTTATAGTTTTTTTTTATTAGCTCAAGTTACTTTAGAAAGTATACTTTAGGTGTTTATTTGGGCTTGGATTGACTTAGTGTATTGCTACTACTTAAGCCTATGTTAAAATATACTTACCATCTTCCTAAATAGCCTTTGATAAAATACAGGATGAGGTAAAATTTAATATTTGTAATATTTGTAATATTTTGATAAAATACAGACCACACGTACAAATACTTTTAAGGGACTACGATTCCCCTAGAAACGCGAAATAAAATTATTCTCCCATAAATCACTTATGAAGAATCCATTTTAATAGGTAGGTACTTAGAACATGATCCAAGCACAGGGTGTTCCAAAAATGAAGGTCAGGGGTTCGAATCTTGAAATTTCCTTCTGTAGGTATATCGCATTCGCATTGTGCAATTTTAGAATGTTTAGCCCTTGTTGGTAGCCCTGTAAATCAAAGAAATTAAATGGCAACATATGTCAAATAACATATTGTTTTAAGCATCTTGTTAAGATAAGCAATTTTCCAATTTATACCTACTGTCTTTTTTTTAGTATTTCAGTAATAAACCAAAAACTAAATTTTCCCATATAAAATGCATGTAATTGTATTATACAAAAATACAGATTTCAAGTTTTTTTTTAGTTTTAGGCTTTTGAAAATAGCATGCATTTTATATGACAAAATTTAGTTTTTTGCTCTCTAAAATTGTACAAAAAAATTGTTTCACGTTTCTAGCTATGTAAACATACGACCTGTGAAAGTATTTGGAAGGGTGGTCTGCTTTACTCTGTATTTTTATATTGTGTGTGACATATCTATATTCTAGCTTTATTGTTTCAGGTGGACCGAAGCAACACTATAATAAATTATTATGAAGAATTTTGACGGTGAGAACAGAAAAAGAAAGTTCTCAGAGCCCTTTAATCTACTGACAAGACTGTATGAACTCAAGACTAAAGGATCGTTCTGCGATGTTCAGCTCAATCTCCAGGGAACAACGATGTTAGCCCATGCTTGTGTCCTAGCTGCTTGCAGCTCTTACTTTCATGAACTCTTTGATCATCAAGAAACTCATTGGTGTACAAAGTGCCCCTTAGTTTTAGATTTGCAATCCTTATGGGATAGTCCTAAAGATTTGTGTTTAATTTGTGTTTCCAAAATAATAGACTTTATGTATTTAAAAGAGCTAGTAATTATGCAAGATCACTATGAACATTTCACGGAGATAAACACTTTATTCGGGATCTTTGACCTCACACTACCAGAGAAAACTTTAAAAAAGTTGAAGTCTGATAATCAATTTGCTAAATCTAAAGAAGAAGACTTCTCAGATTCCTCAGAAATAGTCAGTGGAAAGAACCGTTCACCTAATTTAATTGGAAAACAATTCACTGTTTCCAAGTCAAATGTCACCAATGGATTTTCTTCCTCAAATAAGGAGCTTTGTTCTGATAATACACAGAAAGACAATGATAGTAACATTGATAAATTGATATTGAATTTGAATGGATGTTGTAAAGATGATAACTTAGAAACAACCATATCATATTCAACTAAGCCTAAGGGCCCAATTGATTCTTCAGTGTCTTCTCTAGAGCTTTCAACTGAGGCGAAAAGAACAACTGATTTAAAAACGTCATGTGAGTTTATGTGTTGTAATCCAGAACCAGATATCAGTTCTCCTCTTAAAAAGCCACAAAAAAGGCGTAAAATTTCTTGCGAACTCTGCAATTTCTCATCAGTTTCTATAAGTAAAGTTCTAAAACATTTACAAAGTGAAGATCACCTCAAAGACAAGTGTCCAATATGCTTGATTGGTATTCCAAATGTTTGTGAACTCAAAGAACATTTGAAGTGTCATTCTGATTCAAAACCTTTTATTTGTCATATTTGCTGTAAAAGAAACCGCTATTGGGAATATCACAAAATGCACTTGAAAATTCATTGCAGGAACAAAAAGTTTTACTGTGATCTTTGCCAAAGAGGATTCCTATCAAAGCGTAGTTTGACTGAGCATTTAACAACACACAAAGAAAGCTACCTTTGCAGGAGTTGTGATTATTACACAACTGATCTGAATTTGTATCAATCACATATGCAGGAGCACAGTAAAGTCGTCAAAGGGGAAGATTTGGACCAGATACTTCACCTTGATACCGATCTTGAACCAATCAAACAAAAAGCGAAGAACTTTCAATGTCAGATATGTGACAAAAGATTTACCCAAAAGAAAAACTTGGCCAGACATGTCAAATTGAAACATTTTGAGGCGACAAAATTCGAATGTTCTATGTGCCCATTTTTTTCTAATAGGATTGATTTATTAAGTACCCATTTGAAAAAGAAACACAATTGTACGCTAATTAAAGAAAAGAAAAAACGAATCGCTAAAAAACAACCTAAACAAGTCAATGAACCACCTTCTGAGTTTGTTAGCATTCTGGTGCCCATAAAACTAGTTTCAGATAATTCTGTTGCAGAGGAACCTTTATTAGGCAATGGGGAACAGGGTTTTGATAATGAAGCTACACCTCAAGTCATCTACGATAATCACAGCACATTTTCTAATTCACATGTTGTCCTTAATCAAAACCAGACTTTATTAGTAGATAAGCTAAGTTGTTCAGTAGAACCCAAGAAATTAAATAACCTATTTTCACATCCATCAGATTATGAGCAAAACAGATCAATTCCAGAAAACTTGGGAAAACAATCAGTAGAGATTGATCATTGTGAAATAAGCAATTCTGATGATTTAAGTAATAACTTACAAACCAGTTACACATCCTCATCACAGTCTTTGAGTTTAAGCTCACAAATATTTAGAGACGTTACTAATAAATCCAACGATACCGACACTCGTGCCTCTGAAACAATCCTAGAAAGTAATCATTACATATGGCTAAATGAAGCTACTGGTGAACTACTGAACGATGAAACGCTAACAAACATTCAAGTGCAAAACAACTTTAGCAAATCTAAGCAATCCATTCCAGTAACAGAAAATTTAACTCTAGATTTGGGTGACCAATTGAAAAGTGGCATGGTTAACGAAGCTGCTGGAGAGTATTCGTTAGATTTTAGAGATGATAATGATGAGTGGCAGTTCCCTCAAACACCTCAACCTAATGTAGTGGGCCTTGATGATTGTGATGGGATATTTCCTTGGAATCAGATCGATAATAGTTTTTATTCAACTTGGGTGCTGAATGAGGCCACAGGTGAACTAAATATGGTTAGTTTCTTCAGTATACAATCTGTGAGAAATCCAACAGAGCTAAAAATGGATGAAAGTTCAGAGGCCCCAACTGCTATGGAGGATGATGACACAGCTTTGTTTCTGAATGAAGGCACGGGAGACTTATCCACTATATACTTCAATCCTAGCGGGCCGGATTCAAACAATCGCCCTATTGAGAAAACTAGTCAAGACAATATAGAAACTCTCTCAGATGTTTCTGATGATGATAGTGATTTTCTTAACGAGGAGTTCATGAAAGCATCAGCAGATTTTATGTCCAACGAGGAAAATAACAAGTTTTTGAATGAACTTACAGGAGAGTTTGATATTGCGGGTTTGAATACTTATCAGCCTGAGGTACTTGGCTGTCCTTTTCCTAACGAATCATATTTGAATGAGGAAACTGGCGAAATATGGAATGTTGTGGATGGCAATGTGAACAATGATCTTCTCATGAAATCTAATGGGCTAGATTATGATTTAGACGATTCTTTGAACTGTGAAGAATTTGAGCCCATCTTTAATGATGTGAATAGCTTTTCATCTCAGTTTTGTTTGGATGAAGGTTCAAATAACTGGCAGACTTCTGATGAAACTAATGACACTTTGGTATTGAACGAGTGTACTGGCGAGCTAGTGAAGAAAACCTGAAAAACAAAGGAACAACTTCAATGAGATACAAAAAAGTACCTGATCCAATAAACCTCTGAAAATCCTTGAAGAATTAGGTTCAAAATAATAACAATCATTATTGGAAGTGGATCTTTTCTAATTTCAGTTATAAGCACTGAATGTGAATATCTCCAGATTTAACACCTTGCTCTAAAGAAACTCAGTTCACAGAAATTGGTGAGTTATACCTTTTTGCTTTGCCTTGATAGAGTAAGTAATTAAATGCAACAAAGTAGACAGCTCTCCTTTTTGAACATAAAAAAATGTATTTAGAAATTTTGTGCAACATATTTCTATTGATATAAGAATTTTCTACAACCTGATAACTTAACACTCATCTGCGCTGAATACGCTAAATTTAGCCTACTTTTGATCAATTATGTTTAATTTACAGCTGAATACATAAGATTATGTCAGGCAATTTGTTGAGGTCTGAAAATTTATGATTACAGCTTTAAAAAAAGAGATTTGTAAATTGTAGTTATTTCACTCCTTTGATGTATAGAATCATTAGAGATAGACACGCTCTGATGAAGCTTTTAGATTTCATTTCGAAACATAAAGTAAAACCTCACTAACTTGACAATTTGTGGAACCAGAGGTTGTCGAATTATGCAGAACATTGAGATTTGTAATGTGTTTTAGTAAATGAATACATAACAGACTAATTTTTACATATTGAGCAAACAATCACCAAAAAAATGTTGAATATTCAACAATAAAAACTAAATATTCTGAAAAAAAAATTTTTTTTTGCTTGCGTTTTGTCAGCTGTTGACTGTCGAGTTACCGAAAAACGAGTTAGTAAGGTTTTGTTGTATATTGTATATTTGTTTCTCTAGACTTGTGAAATGAAATCTATATAAGTTTTATAAGGTTTATTTATAAGGATGCAAATCCAGTTGGACCAATTATTCTTGTGAGCTTACTATGAGTTTACTATGAGCTCACAGCTTTACACCATTCCAAATGTTACCATTATCTTGGCAACGGTTTCATTTATTAATCTGTCATGTTTCAGGATTGTGCGGTTCATGCATGATTCAGGAAAAGTCAAGAGCCCTTCATTACTTTCTGAGAAGATGAGCATTTCAAACTCAGGTTCATAAACTCAGGTTAGAATAACAAGTCATATTATTTTGCTCTGAATAGGCCTACACTTATTGTTAACCTATATCTTGACTCAACTTATTTAATTAAATCCTGATGTAGGGCTAAACCTATCTCATGAAGATTAATAATTCCAAAATGGAAAAATAAATTAATCCATTTATCATTACCAGTTTTGTAAAGTTTGTATCATTTTGATTGTGTATGAATGCTGAATTAAAATTAAATAAATGTATATACATTCAGAGTACATAATTGATTCTCCTGTCATACTCACAATCATTTAGTTATTGGTTCAGTAAATAAATTAAAATATTTTAATGCACATCTTTAAAGAAACTATCATAGACTAACCAACAAAAGTAGATAGACTTTTCATCTGGAGCTTGTTTTTCATGTCTAGTTCATGTTGGTGACACTGAGCGCTAGTGTTGACAAAATTTTGTTTCTATCATTTTAGGATTAATTTAATCATTTGTGCTTTACTTTTTGGTTATATAATTAACTCGATCCTTGCGGCATTGGACGGAAGTAACAATAAAATTGTCTTCAGCTGGTCCATAAGGATGACAAATCTACTTGGGGAGTATGTTTAACCCAGGACACTATTTTTTCATTTGAATTATTTAGAAATATTCTTTTCTCACAGCTTTTAGAGTGCACACAGCCTCTTGTGCTACTAATACAACCAGAGGAGCTCAGGGTACATATAAGAAACATAATAATTTAATTTAATAAACCTTTTATTTAAAACTAAATTTGAACATACACAGTGAATTGATAAATAATACCATTTGCTTATAAAGTTGGTCCCTCCAGCTTTTTACGTAGCCTAGAGATGCCGACATGATATACCGACTATAGGTATATTATGTTCTTCTAGAAGCTGGAATACATTTAAGATTTAAAATTATAGCTCTGAAAGTTATTACTAGTAGTTGTTTGTTATGGTATTCAGTTACAAATACTTAGCAATTATTACATATTTGTAGACAAAACTAATTCAAATTGCCAATACGTTACTTAATCTTCATGTCATCCTAATTTTCTCCCATTGGCTTACCTGTTTTAGTACTTTTGTAGTTTTATTGTCAATTAAAGTCTTACACTGCTTCAAGGGTATCTACACGAGTAACCCTATGGAAAAAAATTAGGATTACATGAGATATTAAAACTCTATTATTGATTATAACATTAAAACTTCAGTAAAAGGAATGTTGTCATTTTAAAAATCATTACACAGACTATTATATACATTCAGTTATTTATTTACAATTTCTTATCAACCTATAATAAATACTTACTTTCAAAAATATATTTTTAAGGTAATAATTATCATTCTAAAATTAGTGTTATTAACTCAGTCATTTGGGTATTTTTTAAACTGAATTCATTCCCACTCATAGCCAATGACTACCCTGAGCTTATCTGAAGTATTGGTCCAAGCATCGTATAATCAATTATGATCTAATAAAAATATAACTGTTATTTTACAAGCCTCTTGGTTTCAAGTCTTCTGGAAAACTATTTCTAGAAATTATTGTAATTCAAGTATATTAAATTGGTCCCTTCAAAATATAAAATTCCGTAATCTCAGTTCTTTTTTGTGTATGGAAGAAGAAGAATAGCCTACTTACTAAGTGAACTAGGATGTACTAAAGCTTACACGGAAAATACTTAAAATGTCATCAAAGTTGTAAAGTAGCTATTTGTGGTTTGAGTAAATTTACTAAAGATAAAAATAGCCTATATATTTTACTGTTTCAAAATGTGTAAATAAATTATATCATGTTGCTGTTTGACAACCAATATTCTCATGTTTGAATAATAATTTTTAAAAGTACCGTACTGGTACTGTAACACACTATAATATTAGTAAGAATTATATTAATTTAAACCTATCTTAAAACAAATTAACAATAGGAAAAAACCAATTATTATTCAACAAGTACAACACTTATAAAAACTCATTACTGCAAAGTATATTTACAAAATTTTAACTAAATATTTACAAAGTATGTAAAAATAAATACTAATTAATTACATATTAACAGCCTCCAAAAGTTCAAGTAGAACTTCCTATTTACATAAAATGAATAGTACATGTTATATCTAAGCTTGGCAATGTAAATTATTCACAGATCACTAACAAGGATTAAGGAACATTAGCAAATATTGTCCATTTATTTGAGTAAAGCTTATTTGGGACTTATCTAAGAACTACTAAAAAAACAACTATAAAATACCTTACCTTACTTAAAAGAATGAGTAATTACCAGAGACATTTTGTAATCCGTTTATATATGGAAACAGTGCTGACCCCCAATCCCACTTAAGTCAGATGTTGGCCTTCTTTCAGAAAGCATAGTTTATTAACAAGGTAAAAGGGGTTTTGTTTTATCAACAAGTGAACTTTATAAGCAGGAGAGGGCATGAAAATCAACATAAAAGTTACTTTACTATTCCTAGCCTTATAATGGTGGCACAAACATCTCGTTCTAAAAAAATTATGTATTACAATTTGTTCAGCTTCGCCTTTGGTTAGTCCCTGGAGTGTAAAGCATTCAGGTTATGAAATTCATACTTAGTTATTAGTCTTAACTTTACTGTAAGAACATTTTAGTATCCATACTATCTAATCTATTTTAAGCCTATAAAATAAACTCAAGCTGCTATATGAGTATAAAAAGTCCCAATATGTCACAGAGTGCTATTGATATCTCCTTCCTATTTACAGTTTACTGTTAGGCTTCCTATTTTCTCTGGATATGAAGTAAAAGAAAGCTGAAGTATATGAATAAAGTATAGAAGTAGAAAAAATATAACAGTACCTAAAATACGAGATAAACCTATGCATCTGTTGCACTTACATATAACAAATTAACATGAAATACTTATACATTTGTAGAGATAAAATTAACGTAGAAGTATAACTGGGCTAGCAGCAAAGATCCTAGTACAAAATTGAGTTGCGGTTCTTCCCTTCTCCAGTCAACAAACAGGGAAGAGTCCCCCTTTCAAATAAACGTTACCAACCACAGAAAGGTGCAGCCCCTCTTCTTGATGTGGACAAATAAAAATATTGTTTTCAGGTGATGAAAACTGTCTTCTTATTGGGATCTACCTCCACAAAAACCATATGATAAAAAAATTGCATACCATACAGTATTCATATCCAACCTTCAGGGTGGCTACAGACCGTAAATTCTGGGAATCATGTGGGAATTTTGTTGTATCAGAAAAACGGGACTTTTGAAATTGAACCAGGAAAACCTGATTTTAATTTACGGTCACGGCAAATAGTAAAAGCTTCTGTAGCTTCAGCAAAACCGTAAAATCGTATGTCCTTCCCTGTCTTGAGTTAACACACGGAAAATATGTGACAAAGTAGGGTTATGTGCAAGGTCTTTGTAGTCTGGTTATTAAAAGTAACCATGTAAATAAACTTATTTGGCGACTTGGCCATTTAAAGATCTTCACTGGATATCTGCTTCAGACCTGACAACGTTTAGTGACTTCTGGACCGTCCTTGTAAAATCCTCTGAAAAAAGACAATTTGTTTACAGAACAGTAATATTTTTCTCTGTCGCATTACTTTAGGTAAAGTATTACAAAAAATCTCACTAAAGAAACAATGAAACATCCTCAAGGTCTAATTACAATTAATTGTGCGGTTAAAATATATTGTACAGAAAGTTACATTAGCTCAACATTAACTGATTGTTAGAAAGATTTGCATTAATGAACTGATGTATTGTAAGAAAATGTACTTGCAGGTTAGCTATGTGCATTAGTAGAGTCAGTATGGAAAAATTTTATGTTACGGGAAGTAAAACTACCAGTATTTTTTAATTATATCCTATCAAGTTTGTCTTAAATTTTAACAGGAAACCAAGGCAAGAAATATTTACCATGCAAAGCAGTGAACCATTTAGGTTTTGATCTCCACTTTATTCCAATGAAGTAAACTGGGATTCCAGAGAGAATAATAATCACAGCTATCACTGAAAAAGAAAATGTAATGGTACAATATCTTAAAAAAGAAAAATCCAGAGAAAATAAATTAATTTGTCTCATTAAAATATTGCAAATCATTCTAGAAGAACTAATAAATATAGTTAGTTATTCTTAGGTCATAGTAGTCAGTCATAATTTAATAGCTGAATAACAAATGTCAACTTGGCCCACTGTCAATGTGTGACCTTGAATTATGCTTTTTTCCTCTGAGAAACCCCAAAGTTTATAATGTTAAATCACTTAATAACATCTCTGCAGTTGTGGTGTTAGTCTCGGTGTTGAGTTTATACAAGAGGACACAGCTACAAAAACGGCAAAAAAGGAACCTACATGACTACGACATAGATATAGATATACAAGCGGCCCTTACTTAAAAAAACCGCCCTTGTAGAATTGAAAATACTATAGTCACATTGAATTTATCACCCTTGTCACTTTTCTATTTTATTTTTAAATTGAATCAAAAGTTTATTTAAAAATACATTAGTAGGCTACTTACGAGTGTTGTATGGCTGAGACACACAAGGCACAACAACCAGGAACAAAACACAGATCAGGAACACAACTGGTACAGCTAGGTTGACTTTGATTGGTCTTGGCAGATCTGGCTTTGTATACCTGTAATACAAGTTGACTAGTATTGAAAATTGACTTCACTTCAGCTCAATTAATCATGGTTAAGTAATATGCTGAGTAAAAAGTATTAATTTTATTTGCCATTCAGGAGGAACATTTTATTTTCAAGGTTGTGTTTGTCAACACACTTGGAGCTGTTTCTTATCTCCCCCATCCCTAGGGTGAATTTTTCCGCTACTCGTGAGGAGTGAATGTTACCTGCCAAATAGAGAGTTTAGTGGCTATTCTTAATCTAGTTATATTATTTTTTGTATATTTAAAAGCTTACATTATCATAGTCATAATTTTTTTTTACTCTCTCTGTGTTTACTTGAAAAGTTATTTCACCTTCAGTAGTATTCAACATATTGAGTTTTTTAAGTTTTCAAATTGCAAATAATAAGGAATAGTTAAGTTTTACCATTAACTTAAGTTATCATCTAATACAAACACTTTGAATAACCCTTTAGTAGGTGACCCACCTCATATAGAGCAGGCCGACGATGCAAGCCCCTACAGACAGCCACAACGTCTGGCTGAAGTAGTTGATAAGAGCAAACACATCAGAAACTGTCACCATCACTAACGAGACAGCACACTGCAACAGTACACATCTTATAGTCACCTGGTACATTGCTACAGTCTCTCTCAAGCAGACTTGCAGGTCACAATAAACCAGTAACAGCAGCATATCTGTAATTTACTCGGTAAAAATCATACACTTAATTTCTTTTTACTTTGACTCCAGTCGTTTAGTAAAGTCCGTTTTTATTTTTCTCGCTCTGCCTCATCTTGTGAATGTGAACACAAAAAACTAAAGAGTTCTAACAAGTGTTTGGTGGACACATACAGTGATGAAAAGAAAATAGTAGAAGAGGGCCTGATTAGGAGTATAACTCAGGATGAATCCATTCATTATTTGATCTTCCGTTCAAGCTGTCTACAGTTTACTGACACAGATAAACTCCACATGAGTCGTCCACCAACCTGACTGTGAAGGGATTTGAAACCTCAATCTATGGTGCTGTCTCCTAGCGGGGGGGGGGGGGGGGGGGCAATGCCATAGACTGGTCAGCCATTGATCAGACCTGGCTGTGTACCATGCTAAAAACATTTGTCAACCAAAAGTCCAAGCATATTAGTTCTAAAATTTGACTCCCAGGCGGCAGTAAAACTTTGAGCCATTTTTTTATACCACTGTTTTACTCACACGAGATATATAGTGAGAGTTTGGTTGTGTCCCACATACATCTATCTTTGGATCTCATACTTACACAGAATATCAGGCCAGGTATGGGAGTTCTTTTCTCTACATGGATATGTGAGAACAGTTCTGGAAGATGTCCTTCCTGGGCTCCTGTACAGAACAGCCGAGCAGACGTGAACACAACACCGTTCACACCTCCGAACGTAGACAACGCTACAAACACCGGCACAGTCCAGCTGACAGGTCCAAACATTCGGTCTCCAAAGGTCTAAAATTTAAACAGAAAAATGTATGAGCTTGAAGGGAGAGGTGGAAAATATAAATAATCCACATTTGGAAAAACGAAAAGTGCGGGACAATTTTACCCCACAAAACAATTCTATAAAATAACTGATCTTATTAGCAATTTCATGAGACCTCATCAACTATACATATGCATTTTCTTTGTGACACCTATTACCTCATATTAGTTAATAGAGAACCACATACCAGTAACTTAAACCGTTTAAGTTATTTTAAATGTTTACTCATTTAATTAGTCAGTGGTTGGCAATATCCACTCATGGTGGTTCATAGCACCTTGAAAAAAATGTTATAGTTCTTTGAAAGTAAGATATACAATGTTCTAAAATTGCATAAAAAAGATATTCTATGTCAATATTTTAAGGCCGCTTTTACTTTGACATCCTTTGACCTCTACATTTGTTACTAATTTGTATCAAACATTTCATTTTACATACAAAACCATCTACGTATAAGTGTGAATTTGTACATGAAATACAGATTTCTCTTAAAGACATAAAACTGAATACGTACAACAGCGACTGCTGGTGAAGATATCATCTCTTCGCTGGTTACAACGGCAAAATAAGCAAGATTAGCCAACACATATACCAATGTCACCATTGGCATTGCTATCCAGATGGCCCTGGGAAGGTTCCTGGAAGGGAAATCAAGTGTGAATTTTATTTAAGTGTTTTTAATGTAATTCATGTTTGTTGTTTGGTACTATCTTTGACTATTAATACTAGACATTCCATCCCCATGTTAAAGTTGTCGCCAGTTTTTAAATCAAATTGTTATCCAGTTGATGTGAGCCACAGACAGATTGCGCTGATCTAAATTACAAATTTCTGTTGAATACAAAATGTTTTTACATTTAACCAAGTCAAACTGATGTAACGTTTTATTGTGAGCTATAGCAACTGTTATGACCCATCAACTATGTCTTAATGTCGGCAACAAAAAATAAGGTAGAAAATACCGGTAGGTACCATTCTAGACACTAGCACATTCTGTGGCTGGATCACACAACTACATTCTTTTTTAATAAAATATTTTTGACAGCTGGTCCATATAGATAGACAAACTAATGGGAGAAAAGCAGTACTCGATTTGCGGCGGAACGGCGTTCTTGTACCTATCTTTACAAAAGATAAAATATTGGCATAAATACATCACATTACTGATTATTTTTTGACTGATCACATTAAATAGGTTATACAGTTCCGGCCCCTTATTCTTTACAAATCGAGCACTGGAAAAAAGTATGCGTCAGATTGCTGATAACATACCGTTTATTTTTTATTATAGTAGGTATATCTTTCATAATAAGATGTTTTAAGGAACATTATTTTTATACAATGTCATGAAACATGGGACAATTCATTGTCTTCAGCAAAACCTTTGGCAAAACCAGAGATTGCCCCGAAAACCATTGGCGTATAGTAACCTTACCAAAAACATTTCTATATGGTAAGCGCTTTTTTTCTCTCACAAACATCTGATATCATATAGCTAGTATTTGTCTTCTAAAAATGTCAGTAACATTTTAGCCATGAGCATTGTTATTACTGAGGTATATCACATCCTCCTAAAATGTTCTTTTACACAACTTAAGTGTTAACAAACAAAATCATATTTTCCTATTTTTAGACGCAGAATACTTGAGTTATTGATCTGGCCACAAACAAGAGAAAGAAGAGAAAAGATAGGCATTGTAAAAGGGCATGTTTTATTAATCAAGGCTGAGTAAAGACTAAGAAATTGGATTCCCTCTGGAGAATTGTTTGTTTTCTTGATGTACAGAGAGAAGAAAATATATGTTTTATATTACTATAGGTTATTATAATATGATAAAATGTCCATAAAAATACTGATGTAGTTAATTACTTTTTGATCAATTAACTTTCTTTGTGATGATAAACATTATTTAATAATGAGGATTTAATTGCGTGGTTTTGAATTTCATTTATAAAAGTTACTAGGTCTACTATTCAGATGAATTTCATAGTTTTATGAAATAATGTTATAACGTACTACAATATGTATGATTGATTGTATTTTCCATTTCTTATACTAGTTAACACTTAACAAACTATGGTATCATTTACATCATATTTTCACAATGTAATTGACATTTTAGTTACCATACTATAATCAGTCTTATGAACCTAAAAATGATAACCATCAAATATCAGTAATAATAAATAACCAATAATGGAGAAATGTATTATTTATATAACTTAATTTAATTGTGACAAGTCAAACTGTACCTATTTAGTTTTTATTTTGTATAGTTAGTTTTTCAACATTTTAATGAGTGTCACTTTAAAAATAATTGTTTTCAAACTGTTTTGAGGCAGTAGATAGAAGGTCAATAGTCACTGGTAACAGTTTGAGAGATTTCTCATGTTCTGTTGGTTCAAGAGCTCACCATTTCCTAACTAAGCCACTTGGACTTCGATTCTGAGCTGCTTCCTTTCTTTCTCAATGTGTTGTCTTGTAAAAATGTTTTTCCTTATGAAAAAAATTATAAATAACATATGCTACTCTATTTTTCATAATTTAAGTTACAACAATTGGATTAAATATCTGCTTCTGTCTAATCTATTTTTCACAATATCACAATTTGAAAACATAATTTTAAATCTTACTTGTAAGGATCCTGAAGCTCCTCGGTGACAAAATTGAGATAATTCCATCCTCCAAAAGCAAAAAGTCCAGAGAAAAACGCGAGTGCAATTGATCCCGGGTCATAGTCTCCTTCAAATGCATTGTCAAAATGTGACGTATTCCCTGAAAAACACAAGTAAAACAATACAATATTGAACTTTATATTAATCCACAAATATACTGATTCAAAACAGTTAAACAGAATTAATAATAACTTTACTTTTAAATAAAATTTTGTCCTTACTGTAAAGGTTTTTTTTTAATTAATTGCTAAAAAAGAAAATTCCCTCTATCAATAGTGTTTGATTTGCAATTAGGTCTCTATACAAACCCAAAATTACATTATCCGAGGATGTCTCAGTTAGGAACAGAACTCTGAGACTATGAGTAAAATTTGATTTGTTACCATTGAATCTATAGTCTGCAGAAGTTCTGTGATTGAATTGTGCATCATTTTTATGTATTTTAAAATATCTTATTTTTTATAAGCCAACAAGTTTAATGTGATGAATGACTTTTCTCTTACTGTTATTCACATGAGACATTGTTTGTTATTTCATAAAGTGCATTAGGCTACCTAATTAAATAAATGATAAGTGTCATAATCTTTTTTACTTTATTTTTTTCTCACCATGGTACTATAGTTGGAAAATACATTATGGGATAGGATTAAAATAACTATATACACAAATAAAATAGCAACCATTACCAAAGAAAATAATCAAGGTATAGTTTGTTGGACTATGATTTGTTTATTTAAAAATTATATAATAATCTACTTAACCCATCAGATGATTATTTTCTTGCAAATAAATTTTTTCATCATACTGTCCAGAAAGCAGCTGTTTTTAGTCCACTAAATCGTCCGCAAATTTATTGTTTTCGGGTAACTTGAAATCGGGAACAGAAAAAATATATGGTAAATTTTTCGGTTCGCTAACTTCAAAATTGTATCAGTGTAATGAAAAAGCTGCCAATCACATTTATATATAGCTATGTTTGTAAACAATAGAAATGTAAAAATTCATGATGACTTTGTATAACCTCAAATTATGTGGTCTAATTTTGTTACATTAAAAAATTATTTCGAAAGTATGGTGAAAATAGTTGTTCATCATAAGGAGCAAAAGTGTCTTTTTGGTACTTAATCATATTTTCCATCTCGGCGATAGAGATACCAAAAAGAGCCACTTTTGCTCCTAGCGATGAAAACTACTATTTGAGGAGTGTGATCTTTTTCTCTAATCATAGAGAAGTGTTATTTAATAAACTATGTTCTAAATGTAGTAAATAATTCAAAATCTAAATATAGACTAAAATATGTACCTTTTTGTTGCTGTTTGCATTTCGTTGCAGCTGTTAAGAGGTAATTCATTTATCACTAAAAATGTACATGAAATCATGAATAAAACTGTCAAGTTACCTGTTGCAATATGGAAAACTCCAGCAATGATGATAGCGAAGAGGGCAAACAGCTTGGCATACGTTGAGAGGGAAAGAACTTGCAAAGACCAGCGAACACTGAGGCAGTTGATAGCCGTCAGCAAACCTGCAACATCACATGACGATTGTGGAAGATGTAACTTTTACTGTAAACAATATTAGTTTAGGTTAACAATACATTATACTCCGTTAAACACAAAATAAAGGCGGTTTTAGGGGAAGAAATCCATCCCGTCCACTTCAACATACCTTTTTGAAATAATAGCTCAACAGCTGAGGTTTGCCAAAACATCAGTCAGTTGCCATATTATGTATTTAAAAAAGGTTTTGGAGAAAACTTCTGCCCAAACCACCTGAATTTGGTGAATGGAGTTGAGTGAATAGTAATAGTTACTAATGTGTATTAACTGTTTTGGATTATACAGTCAATGGTTGTACTGCAGCTGAGCTGAAAAGAAGAATAAAATGTAGTTAACAATGAATGGGTCATGAGGAATATACTTATACATACCCAGTGCTAGATTTGAGGTGGAATGCAATGGAACGGCCTAGAACCTCTAACTTTTATTAGACGAATGAACAAGTGAGATGCAAATAAAAGTAGTATTGTGAGTATACCTTTATACAAACTAGTCATTTTAGAACAAAAAATCTGTAATAAAGATGTGGCGCGCACAATAAAGTGCAAAACATTTTTTTACTTAACTATGAAATGTATGCTAAAATGTAGAAGTGACTTCAGTCTTACCAGTGTTATTAGCAAGTGAATGAAGGATGGTGGGTGTATAATTGTCAATGTCGCTTGTCAAATGTCCATTTCACCAATTAGTGGACTGTTATAGTGATTATACAATCAAAAGACCTGGGTTAGCAGTATGTCCTTCAGTCCTTGATTATTGGGCTTAAAATAGTCCTGGCTTAATAAACAGCTGATCTCAGAAACAAAACTACACAGATCTTCTCCCACTATTCTACACACACACCTTTGTATTTTATATTTTAGGTCAAAATACTACTACCTATCTTAAAGTAATGATAATGATCTTTCACTCATTTAAAACTGAGTAGCTTGAGTTTTAAAACATAGACATTTGGTGTAAGTTTGCCGCAACAATCTTAGTTTATATTACAATCCCTATATTTTGCTGGTGGCATCTTTATTGTTTCCCTCTATAGGAACTGTCTAAACCTAATACAGTGTATGGCTAAACGTTTCTTTATTATTGTAAATAAACATGGTTTAAAATTATAAAAAAAATTCAACTGAAAACTTAAAATATTCTTATAAATTCTTTAGGGAAAATCGGGCTTTGCCCTTGTATTGCCATATCAACAAATAAACCGATGAACTTGACACTTTTGCTCTTGACAAATTTTGAAGAAGATAAATTGCTGAGCATGTTATCTTGTATCTTATTTTATCGCTAAAAGTTTACAAAGGTTAAACTTGTTCTTAACACACCAATAGTTATAAACTAGAACTGTAACGGCATAGCTAGAAAATTCCTTATTAAAGAACTTATAGTGCCAAAGAAAATAATGTAATTTAGTGTTTGTTTATAAGGTCAAAACTGGGACACCCCAATGACTTTCACCCTATAAAACCACGTTCCCATAGATTCAACTTATTAAAATAAACATAGGTTTACACTTTTGTACCAAATTTCATTCAAATTGGTTTATTTTTGGAGTTATCGTGCTAATGAACACATAAAATAAATTAATTTCAATGACGTTTTTGGCATCTGGGGACTAAAAAATGAATAGCGGTCATGGGTTTAGGTCTTACCATGAGACCTAAGGTAATAGCTTTCCTATATGAGAAAAATTCACTAAAACAGCCAAATACCAGTATTGTACAGTAGCTGTATGGTGAGAAGAGGACCAATGTACCAAGGTTGATCTAATGTAACCGGACACCTACTAGGCTGACCAGAGGTGGAAGATGGTTAGGTGGATGTGACGTGATTGTGGCGAGGGGCTCGGGTGTCAGTGGTTGACAATATGGGTGTCAAACGCACTTCTCCTGACAACTAACCATATACCACATACCACCATGGCATGGCTTTAGCAGCATTATAACATAAGTACGAACATTTTACGTCTTAAAATGTTCTGATATTAAAAACTGGAGTGATTTAGTAGTTTTCATGTGATATAATATCAATATGTACTGGTAGGCCTATGTATTTTATAATTTCGTGCATTTTCATAACAAATACATGCCTATGAATCTATACTGTAGTCCAAAAGAGATTCAGAATAAACATATTCAGCCCGGATTCTCAGTCTTTCCCTTTAAATCACAAAACTGATAACCTCAATTATCTCAACTGCTTGACTAAGCAACAGAGAATGGCTAACATTTATTGAGCTAAGACATGTTCTCCGAATATATACTAACTTTATCAACAGATTTTACAACGTTTTTCTACATGTTTTATAAAATCTAGAAAATGAAAAAAATGGGTTCTTCCTGCCTCCTGGTCGAAATTAGTTTAAATATCATTGACTGCAACTCTTATATTATAAAATTATAAATGGTTCTCTTGGTTAAAATGGGTAAAAAATCTTTGACTGCAACTCTTATTTTATTTCTTTACTACCAAATACAAAGTACTCTGCCCAGCTGTTCTTTATCTAAGAGAAGTGTACCATTGATGAACGTCAATGATATAACTATCAATAATGTAAATTCAGAATAGTCCGATAAAAGGAGTTTCAAAAATGTCGTTTGACAAAACTGCCTGTAGTTAAATTTTACTTAAATTATATAAATTTATTCTAAATGGCAAGTTTTACAGACATAAAATTTGTAATCAACCAATCAATTGGATCCTATTGGAATCGTGAGTGTGTTTATGGGTCATCGAAGCTACAGCAGATAATTATGTTGCTGGAAGGTGTTTGATAATGTCATACTAGCTGCAATGCAATAATGTCAACAGTTCGAAACTACGGACGACCAATGTATTAATTGTTTATTTCGAGGTATTAATTACACGTATATCGGCAAAAGCTTGAGGGCTAAAAAATAAAATTTGGCCAGGATTGCTTAAATTCCTCAACTACCGGTAATACTCTTTGAGAAATACCAGGGAGTAAGTAATTGAGATTCTCAATTTTCAAAATTTTCATACGTTAATCTATTTGACACTTTTATAACTAAAAAAATAGTTAATTTCTGCATTTAACTGGAAATATATATGGGTCAAATAAGCTGGTTATAACATTGAAATATCTGTGGTTGAGCGCTACGGTTATCAGCTGTTATCACTGCCTACAACAGACGCAGTGAGACGGGCACAGAGACGGTCTGTTTGAACTGAAGTAATTTGGCCTACTTATTGATTATCAGCAAACACTCTAGCTTTGACCAAACTGTTTAATTGTTCTGTTTTTCCCAGGGGAGTTCCAAAAACTACAGATAAACTACAATCGATGTGTACAGCGATTTCATAAAGTAATTTTTAAAATAAAATTGTATTAATATTAATTTTAATTTAAGAGTATTATTGTTTATGTAATAGTATAGATCAGGTAATTTGTGAGGATGGTCTAGGTTTGTGTCGATTCAAAGTGACAAATTTAACAATGCAAACTCTCAATTTTAAACTTGCTTGTCTAAATCTTGCTATGTTCAAGTTTTCTTGTCAGTTGGAATTGTCTTTAAGAGTAATCACATACACAGATTCAATTCCGGCTTGTCAGTTCGGCTTGTTCACGCGGGACTGACAAACCGAATTAAATACGTGTAGCTGACTTAAGTACCATTATTGATCCATACCGAAGTATTTTATTTAAAACTTACAATTCAGATTTTTATTTAGTTGAAATTCATCTGTAATTCCGTATTCCTACAAAGCGATTGACATAAGTAAACAATGCAATATTCATCACGACAAGAATAATAATGATCTTCCTAATAATTTGGTCTTGATGGTTTGATATACCTTCTTTGGTTTGGTTTCTTTGGCCTTGGAGATGGATAAAGAATTAGTTGTTTCTTATCGGTAACAATGGTTCTCGAGGCATCTCATGAAAAATGGGTTATTTATCTCACCAAGTTCACACTTATCTTTCTTTCACATTGGGCTTACAATACTCAGAACTTAGCGACTATACCCTCAATATTTTTACGTAGTGCTCCTTTTTATCCAATTCCAACTGTCAAAATAATTTTTTCTAAAATGTTAAAATACCGTAGTCTTATATTTACTACACTTTTATTTTATTGAATAAAAAAATACCCCCGCCGCAGCAAACCTGCAGACTAAGCGAATTTCCTATTGCCTGATTGGATTTACACTAAAATGTCTCCTTAAAAATATTGCATTATACCCTATTTAAATAGAATCAGTTTGACACATACTTAGGTTTGCTGCAACAGGGGGGGGGGTAAAAGTGTTTTTTATGTAAAATGTTAATAGTTAGTAAGAAATAAAAACATTTTCCAAATTTGGGCAAAATATGTTAATAAACAAGCAAACTACAACAGTTTACTTATTCTCCATAAGAATAACATGGGAATTTTAAATTTAAATTTTTTTGGAATTTTCTCCGTAACCATTAGGCGCATTATAGCGCTTCAATATACTAAATTATTTGTTTTTTTAAGCTCTACAAAACAGTTTGGAAAGAAATTGCAAAATTTTATGTTTTTTGGGTCAAAAATGGGAAAAACCCATTTTTACCCCATAAAAACCCCCATAAACCCCCGTTCCCATGGTCCGATCATGATGGTTTGCGAACTCGTTCGAATAAACGTAGGTTTACACGTTTGTACCAAATTTCATCGAAATCGGATCATTTTTGCTCGAGTTATCGCGCTAACGGACACATATATATATAAATATATATATATATATGAATTTGAACGGATGGTATTTTTGGCCTCTAGGGACCTCAAAACGAAAAAAAAAATTTGTCCCGGGTCCATGTCTTACCATGAGTACTACGGTAATAGCTTATTCCCTATATGGGAAATTCGCTAAAAAAACAGAATGGAATTGTTCCAACATGCTATCAAATATCGGTGCTAGAAACAGATAGCGGATCAAATCTGGCCGGTCACCTGAGAATATTAGTTTTGACAGCCTTGAAAAA